TGCAGCATGCATAACTCAAAAAACTTCCAGTAGGCAAAATAACAAAATTCATTAAAAAGCCATAAAAATATGCAACGGTTTTCATGATTTTTATTTTAAATTTGGAGTCAAGATCTAAACGTTTTAAAATAAATATTTAATTCACTACACAGTTATCTGAAAGAAAAAAGTTGGAAGAGGTGAAAATATGTTTCATCAGATCATGATGAAACATATTTTTACTCTTCGCCAGACGTGTCCATCACTATATGGCGTGCAGCCCAATACAGTTCAGAAACACAAATAAAATAATTAAAATTCTTTGCAGCATTTACAGCTACTACGTCAGGAAGTCCAATACAGCAATTCAAGTGATCAATTGCTCATGACAGAACCAGTCAAGCAGAGTGGGGAAATCGGAGAGGCCGTTAATCCAATTTTATGAAGGTGCTTCCTAAAGGTAATCAAGTCCGGTAAATATTCTGAAGTTAGCTACAACCACCGCCGGGCAGATCATATGGTATGGAATTATCCAACAAGGAATCTCAGTTCCTTCCACTGGTTAGATTGATAATAGTTTCATGATATCTAGCTTTAAACTTGGCTGTAATAATTTTTTTAATATTATGGTAACTGGGATTCTGGTTGAATCTAGCCTTAGCAAACTTGTTCCCTGCGATACCACAATAACTTGGTATCCAATGCAGGGAAACATAACGCCCACTTTATTATCAGAAAATCTACCAGAAGTTCGAATTCAAGAGCAGAACTACTTTTAGCAAACTAAAGAGATAAAAAAAAGATAGTCATAGGCTTAGCATGAAATTTTTTTTTGAAGAGGCCTGCAGTTCTTTCTCTTTTTTAAAAAATTTATTACTTAGAATAATCTACACATATATTAAAATTAAAACTCGAAAATAAATTCACAGAGAAAATTTTATAAATGTCTTTAATTTTAAGAGTAATTTTATACACTTAACAGAGGACAGAATAACTAATATATCGGCCTCACTTAAAAACTTTCGTAAAATATGCCGGATTCTGTAGTATATGTAAGGACAAGGGCATATTGTGAAACCATGGCTAATCTGAATTTGGATGTTTTATTTTCTATAAATTAAGAAAAAGCATGTTAAAAATTCTCATTTATAACCATTTTCTGCCAAGATTAAAATTAACAGTACAGTGCGAAATAAAACGACCACCCTGCATTATTTTTGATCATATCCTAGGACTCAATCCTAATGGTTCAAGGGGTCACCTCAAATACGCTAATTAATTAGTGCAGGAGCCGCGATGGCTCAGGGAATAGAGCGTTCGCCTTTCAATGATGTGAACCGAGTTCGATCCCAGGGATGGATTATCGATACGAATCCAGATTGCACCGACAACAGTGCTGACGTGAAATGTCCTCAGTGGTAGACGGATCATTGGTTAGAGTCCCTCCGCCGTCTGACTAACCGTTGGATGTTCTCGCGGTCTTCCTCTTCATGTACATGTAACGTAAATACGGGTTAGTTCCATCAAAAAGTCCTCCACGAAGGCAAATTTCACCCAATACTTGATCCAGGAGTTCCTTGTCTTCTGGATTGGGTTCAAAATTACAAGACTACGGCGTTGAACATTAGTAGTCGTAAACTCTTAAAAATTGGGTCGGCTGTTCAACGACGGATATAAAATAAAATTAATTTGTGCAAATATTTTAAGTTACTAAATCAGACATAAAAACATAATTTCTCTGAATGAACATACTTTTATTTTGACAGATTCGGATTTCTGACCCCCAAAATATAGGAGGTAGTCGCAATCAAGGTAATATGGTCTCCCATGATTTGATCAGGAGAGCGATCCGAAGTTTGGACCCTTTAATGTTAATTTTACTTTTTGTGTGCTTAGTGTGTGCTGAGTCCTAGGACGTGAAGATCGGATCATTAGATCAAAATTATTCAGAATAGTCCATTTTTTTTTTCCTCGCCACATTTCTATTTCAAAGGACATTACATAAAAATTCGAAATTTTTTCGGTTTCTAAGTGTACTTTTAAATAATTATAATTTAATTTTTTGATACATTAGTTATTTAAGCTTTCTATTCCTAGATTATTTTTTATATTTACTTTTTTAAGTAAATATTAGGAAATTGTTCTTATAAGAATTATATTTCATTTTACTTTTGAAACATATAGTTATAATAGGAATATAGTATAAAATCCAAATCAATCCTAACCTAATTGCCACAAAATATATTTTTAATAAAAGAGTAGTATAAATAAAATTACTAGAGGCTTGTAATTTGTAATATGGTCGCTTAACCCACAGTGCTCAAAACGAAAAAAAAAGTTTTTACAGATTTAGTTCGTTTTTAACTATTACCCAGAAGATTATCAGAAAATCAGATCCATCATGTGTACTTTATTTATAATTTAACACTGTTATTCCTAGATGAGAGTCGCTTACATTATAAAAGAATAGCATTTTCACTATGTGCAATAATATGCCATTTTCTTTCTTTTTTTTTTTTTAATATTTCTATGCATTTAGCGCAAGCAATTCTTTCAAGTTCTAGGTTTTCAAAAGTTATTTTCTAATCAAATAAAATAACTTAGAACACTTTCTATTGAAAGATACCAAAAATTCGAGCACTAGATATGAAGTTCGTCAGTAAAGAAAAAATAATATTTCGTATGAAAAGGAACTTATTGGATAAAAATTCTAAAAATATTATACATAAGTATTCTACCAAATCATACCTAGAAATTCATACTTGGAGCAAATCAGAATATAAATTTAGAGTTCCAAACAAGCTGGAAGTTATTTAAAGCTATAAGACAAAAATAAGTTAAAATGATACTAAAAACTTTCGACAGGAACAAAAAGTTGTAGTATGTTTAAAAGTTATTACACTACGTTAATGGAATATGTTTAATAGAATAGAACATATTATGTTGATAGAATACGTTTAAAAAATTATATTGAGCATAAATTAAACTAAATAACTAGAAACCACTATTATAAACTAATGCTGAAATCATTAAGTAATAATCAAAATATTTTTAACAAAATCATTAAATAATTTCGAAGATATATATATAAAAAATGCTAAATATTGAATTATTTTCTTAAATTATTGATAAATTATCTTAACAATTAATCTTGTATTAAATTAAAAATAGCGTTATGCTTTTGTTTTTTTTTTTAAGTAAAAAAATTAAAGAATTCTGAAGTGTTAAAAAGTATTCAGGGTTCACGTGCCTTCCCCCCCCCCNCCCCCCCCCCCCAACGCTATGCTGATAGTGGTCTGTGAATCAATAAAAATCACCATGTTCTGTTCCTCTCTTTCTGAAACCTCAGTTAATGACGTGTATCCACTTCCCCATCGAAATTTGTACAATGCTAACGAACAGTTTTGCTGAAAATGGAGCAGTTTTGCCTGGAGTAAACACCAGCATTTGTATGAGCCCCAGTAGCAGAACCATCAGTGTACACGCGCAATATGCTCCTAACAAAACATTTAAATGTTCCAGTTCGGAACTTTATCTCCAGCATTAATTAATAAATAAAATCAAGTATTCTTTACATTGGTATTTCAGAGTTCTCCTTAGGAATAAAAAGGGCAGAGCACTTTAACTCTGAAAAAGGCACTTAGATTTTTGAAAAATTTAGCATTGTAAATATTTATCAAAATTTGTAAAATTATGCAATAACGGAATTTTTTGCTCAACAATTTTTAAATTATCCTCTCATACTATTTTACGAGTATATTTCAAATGGCTCTTTCATTACCAAAATAGGAGAAAAATTTTTAGTTTATAAAAATAATTAAAGACATGATAAAAGGCAATCGGTGTGTGTATGCATATTTTTTTTTCTCAAAATTAAATTAATAAATAAACTATCAAAAAAGGATTAATTGATTAACAAATTGAAAGCTTTTTTTCCATAATTAAAATTGAAAAATTTGAGAAAATAAACATTTATAGATGCAATTTTTTTTAAAAAAAGGTATTTATTTAAAAAAAAATAGTTTTAAAATCACTTAAAAATTTTATTAATATTCCTCACCAAAAAAAGATACTTATAAAGATTTAATCAGTTGAGAATAACCCAAACAAAGTAAATATTTATAATAGTAATCAGAATTAAACCTATAAGCACAGATAATTTTACCAGTGATTAATTATTATTTAAAAACAATGAATAATTTTTTTTCAAAATGTAATCTGAATAAAAAGGCAGTGTCAAGGGATGGCGGCTTACTTTTACAAAAAAGGCAACAAAAAAAAGCGCCTTTATTGGCAAACAGGGTAGGCTGCAATTTAAAAAACACTTAGAGAGAACACTTTCTTCATTGGATATTTGTAATAATAACCAAATAAGTTTGTTACAAAATTTGTGTTTAATAAAAAATTGACTTACTAAATAAAGAAAATGTTATTCTTATTTAGTCATTCACTTAGCAAATTATTTAAAAAAAAAAAAAAAAACACAGAGAGAAAAATGCAGTTTTTTCATCTTTGCCTAAGAAAGCTAGGCATTGCATAACATTGCAAGCTAATTTACAAAGACTTTTCATCCATTAATACGTCATCTACACATCCATTTTACTTTTATAGTAAATTCTACAAGACTAATCAAGGATGTAATCCTTTGATAGTTATAACTTCTAGTTAGCTCTATTGTAATGAAGCTTGTTGTTAGGTTAAATTTTTATTAGTTTGAAAAATTTATTTAAAAAAAGATTTAAAAAAAATATGAATGAAACTCCACATTATTTCAGATAAATAGAAACAGAATTAGGATACTTATACTGATACTTAGCATTTTTAGGGAAGTAAACAAAAGAAAGCACAGCACCAACAAATACAATGTAATGCTGTTAGCTAAAAAGAAACAATGTCAATTATGTTTAAAAACAAAATTGCTTTCACATCAGAAAGGTTATATTATGAGTGCTGTGATCTGTTTCACCGCACGATTCTTAATCAACGTATTCTTAATAACCAAAAAATATTTTCTTTTAATATTTGCTAATAATAAATTATTTTATAATTGCTGATCAATGTATTAATAGCGCCATGGTGACATAGCGATATTGTCCCAGACCATTACAGAGTTCCTACAGAAAGATATTTTATTTGGCAAGCAAAGAAGTTTTTTTTTTCAAATCTGCGGAGTTTTTCGAAATATTTTTCACCCACAGACTTCCCCTACCCCTTTCTGCAGAATCATAATCGAAAAATGCCTTTCTCGCATATCGGAGGTAGAAAAATAAAAAGCTCTAGATTTTTTTCCCCTACTTCTTCTGAGGATAAAAATATTCTGCAATGATTAGCTTTAGCCAGAATTTCAGATTGTCATTAAGAAAAATAATTTCCGAATATTTAGATTTAAAAAAACATTTCTTACATTTATAAGTAAAAAAATATATACTGTTCTGTTCTATACATGAAGACTTTTTTTGCAAACAGAAAGCGCTTCTGTAACTTTAAATCAGTAACATATATATTTGCCCACATTAAATATCTCTCAGAAAGGTTTTAAAACTCGAGACAATTGTCGCAGAAAGCTGGAAAAAATTCTGCCCTAGGGAATAATAGTAAATATTTATAGTTTTAGATTACTTATCAACAAATCAAATTACATTTATAAGTATACTATATACAATGCAAACATAAATTTATTTTATTTGTATATAAGATATCTACAAATAGCACCAATAATTTTTAATAAATGATACTGAAGTAAACATTAACAATGGTGAAAATTCAAAGACTTAAACAAGTCATAAACATTATTATTTAATTCATATGCCGTCTCCAATGAACACCATTTATTTTTAGGATTATCCTCTGTAAAAGGATCATCAGTCGTAATATCCAACAATTCCAGATTAGTAGGTACAACAATACGGTAGGAATGTAAAAACATTCTATATGGTAGAATATCTTTTCTGTCGCTGTAAGTGAAATCTCCGACAATCGTATGTCCAATTTCATGAGAGTGAACTCGAAGCTGATGACGTCGGCCAGTTACTAATTGAAAAATCACTTTAGTTGCTGGTTTCTCATTATATGTACCCCTTTGGAGTACAATGAGTTTAGAAGTAGCCTTACGTGGCTGAATGCAATAGTCTTTGTCTGCCACACACATTTTATGAGTATGTTCTGGCCTGGAATCAAAACCAATTGGCTTGTCAAATTGTATTGAATTTTCTTGAATATGACCATGAACTAAAGCTAGGTAGTACTTGGATACTCGTCGAGAATTCATTGCCAACATGCATTCCTTAGCTGCAAGCTTGTTTAAAGCTAAACAAAGAACACCACTTGTTGAAAAATCTAGACGATGACAGAATCTAAAGCCAAACATTATGCTAGGGTCTGCAAGATTTGGAAATTTATGATTTAGCTGAGATGCTACAGTAATAGGATGATCTTCAGCTGAGTCTGAATTAATTGCAATATCACATTGTTTGTTTATAACTAAAAAATTGTCACTTAAATGTAGAACGCATAAATCATTCACAGTAGGTGGTGTACAACCCATCACAAAACGTTTGAAAAAATGAGAAGCAAACCACTTTAGTTTTATATTAATTCTTCGCATCAATTTTTTTTCTTTTATTTTTTACTTCAGTCTTCAGCAATTAAAAGTACAACAGCATGTGTTACAAATTTGCCTGAAAATAAAAATTCAATATAATTTAAAACCTATGAGCAAACCAATTTAAAAATAATATTTTACCTAATATTATCTGTTAAAGCTATTTTCTAATACCTTGGTACAATGAAATTAAAAAAATATATATTCACAACATCATATTACTAAACTAAAGTTTTGAATAAAAAAATTAGTCTAAACATATTGCGTATCTGTAGCTGTTTATATCAACTTCCCTCCTCAAGGAGCCAAAAAGTATTTGTTAATGGCAAAAATTTAAATAAATATTTGTGGCATTTATGTGATTTTTTTCTTCTTTTTTTGTAACTTTCTTTGTTGCTGCTGGCCGTTGTTTTCAAAACTTAGTAAATTTTACGGTTAAGAATTCGATAGGGAAAATTCCCCGTAACCTTACTTTAAAAAGAACTATAATTGTTTATATATTAATTTTGTACTGACATACATTACATCGACCAATTATATTAGGTTGCGTTTATTTGATTAACTTTTTGTATTAGATTAACAAAGAATTAAAATCAATTTTAATTTTTTCAAACTACCAGACACATCCTTTGAAAATGTGAACGTTTTTTTTTTAAAATTTAATTTCTTTTAAAATAAAGTAAGATAGTTGATGAAATAAATTAAACAAAATAATAGATTGATTTTGTATAAGAATTCAATAAATATCAAATCAAATTAGCATACATATCATATCAAATAATGCAAACTATTACAAATCTTAAAAATTTTATTGTTTATTCTTACATACAATTAAACTTTACAATTTATTGTTTAAAAAATTGGAATAAACGCCAACTATTACATACCTTCAAAACGTTATTGTTTATTTAGTACGTATTTAGCTGCTTATTTCTGGGTAGTATTGTGACATAGCGAAAGCAGAAAAGCTTCATTAAATTATTTCAATTTATCAACATAATGAACACCCAAATTTTTCACACAATCATAATTCAGATCTAAAATCTTGAAAACATAAAATATTTTAGATCAAGAGTAATATTTTATTAATAAAGAGATTCAATATTGAATTTATTGGTAAAATTTAAAATTATCAAAATGTTAAAATTATCGATATTTAAATTGCTGTTGTATCGTTCTTCAATCGTTTTTTGTTGATGTGTTGTTGTTGACTGTGGGTCCTTCACGTCAAAATATTATTTATAAGTTTTATTAGATATTGTTTGAATTCTATTTAGTTTTGCTTCATCAATTGGCTTAAACATCGTTTAATAATATTAAAAAGCTTTAGAGGCTAAATTATTTCAATATAACACTATTTAGATTGGTATTTACACCTTCTTTTGTTTAAAATTCCCTTGCGTGACAAATGTCACTTACTATGACACCAATAAAACAATTTCATTTACCTTTAAATAAAGAAAAGCAATGACTAAAAATGTCATCAGGAACGCTTTCTGCTGTGGGAACTTTCATGCAAAGCCCACTAGTTTCATGGGTGAGTAAAATTTAATTAAATAAAATTGATTTTGAAAAAATTGGTGCAATACTTTAGTTTGTTGAGGTAAGCTTATAACGGATGATATTATAGTCTTTCTTGTGCTAAAATAAATGTTTTGTTTCGTAATTTGTAAAAAAGTTTTATCATCCAAACTTTAATAATTCTGAAATAATAGAAAATCGTATTCCTCAGGTAGATATGGCCTTAACCTGAAACTAGTGATGTTTTTATATTGAAAGTGTTGAGTCAAGAATAAATTTACGCATCTTTTGAGATTATACATCTTCCCAAATATTATTATGCATAAGCTTATTTATTTTTAAAGTTATTTGAAATGTATTATTTTTCAGCCTATTCCTTAATGTGATTCTTTATTTGCATTGTATTATGTATCATGTAATTCTGTATATATTCCGAAAATATTTTTAAAATTTGTTCTTATATGAATCTCTCCAGAAAATAAATATAATATATAAAGGACATTAGGTAAAAGACTCTTCAATTTTTTTTATCTACTTAACAAACAGAAATTTAATCATATAAATTGTTTACAAAAAAAATTTCAACTTTAATAAATTATAGATTAACAAATCAAAAATACTTTTCATTTTAGTTAGTTTTCTAAAGAAAAGTTGATTAAAATCTTCTGGCATTAGCATATTGGATTATTGTTCAAAAACATAAATTTTTGTGCTTGCTTTTTTCTACCCATAAAATAAAAGTAAGTTGTAAATACTTCTTTATTTAAGATTATCGCTTGTTAATCTTGAGCTTTATATTTTAGGCTAAAACATTCCAAGATGAGGAAAAAAAGACATTGGAATACCGGTGTCTTTGTGATGGGATTTTTCTGTATAATTTGTGGCTAGAAATGTGAGTATTTACTTTTTTTAATGTTATAGTTATGTTATTTAATATTTGTTTTTATATTATCATTAATTTGTTTCTTTACTTTTCTTATGACTTATAATTTCATTGTATTAAATTTGCTTAATGTATTCTTTTAAATAAAAAAAAAACATTGAATTTATAATGTGATGTTACTTACATTTACTTACTCTAAATTTTAACTTCTAGAGATCCACATCCTCCTTACCATGGAGTTAGTTCTTCAACTGATGATCTTGCTACTAGAATACGGAATTTGGACATTCTGCTGCATAATATTAAAGCATTCTATGAAGTATGGTTAATTATTTTCATAATATTCATTGAAAAGTAATTATAGAGTTAAATTATCAGTCTCTGATTGAAGATTCTGTACATTCCCTGTCTTTGCCTTATCAGGAACAATATGATTAACTGTATTGTTTTTCTTATGAAATGTAATACATTTTTATTTGACAAGAATTTAAGTATTAATTTATTGTTTACATATATATATGTTTGATTTATACTTTTTACTGTCCTTAAGTTTGTTTTGTCATGATTTTGTTGTTTAAAATTTTTAAACATAGGTATTGGCATGAATTTAAAAATGTGTTTTTTTTTAATTGATTGTCTAAATTATTATTAAAAGTAAAATTTTTTTTTGTAGTTAACTTTAAATTTTAATGATCTGGATCTGAGTTGTCTTAATTATGAAAATTAATTACAAGGAGTTGTAGAAAAATGCTAAAACCTCTCTTTAGTTAACTAATGAAATACAAATCATGTAAAGGAAAATTTCTTTTTCACTTTAAATCACATGTTTTAATTGGTTAAAAAAAAAATTTCTTTTAAATTTTGCAAGTTTTGTGAAACCTGGATCTTTCATTCCGTTTATTAACATTTAATATTTCCTTGAAATGGCATGTGTCTTAAAAAATTAGAAGTGGATGAGGAAAAAAAAAACTATCATAAATGCTTTTGTATAATTCACATGTTACCAGGAAGATAGTCATTGCTTAAATTTAAGAATGAAGCTAATGTAATATTAATAATACAATGAATGCAAAATTACTAAAAAGTATTGCCCTGTGGAAAATATTTTCAAAAATTAAAGAAATTATTTTTACTAAGAAATAAAGACATTTTTTTAATGATTATTCTCTGTATTCTCAGTATATTTATTTTATTAATAAAAATGAACAAAATTTACCACCGTGCTTTTCTATTCCTTGTATTTTTAAGATATATTTGTATTAACTTTGAAAGTAAGAAGAAATTTTGCTACGGTACATTGTAATTTTATTTTAAATAAAACTTTTTAAAACAGTTACATAAAAAAAGACTATATAATTTAATAATACTGATTATTGTCTTTTTTGTGTTTAGATTTTAGCTAAATTTTTAACTGTGTAATTTTCTTTTTAGGATGTTTTGGGGCAACTGTTGTTAATAAAAATTCCAGATATATTAACATTAGCTAAGCTGCATGATGATAGTGAGTAAAAGTCTATACATTCCATTAATTTTTATATCAATTTACAGTATTTAATGGTATAAGAATAAGCTTGCTATTATTTTTTTGAAGAATTTGCAATTTCAGTCTAAAAATTTCATTAACTTTATAAAGTAGAAATGCTTCAACTGAAGACTGTCCTGAAATGGCTATTGAACATTATTTTATTTTATAACTGTTGTTGAACAGCCAACCCGATTTTGGGTTTACGACTACTAATGTTTTGTAATTTTGAACTCAATCCGGATGACAAGGGAACTCCTCGATCAAATATTGAGAGAAGTTTGCCTTCATGTAGAACTTTTTGATGAAACTAACCCCCTTTTTTTGCTACATGGAGAAGAAAACTTCCCATAATTTACCTAATGGTAAAGGAACTCTAACCTACGATCCGTCTACCATTAAGAATATTTTACTTCAGCACTGTGGTCTGTGCAAGCCGGGTGCGGAATTCGTATTGATGAACCATTGCTGGGATTCGAACCCGGTTCACCTGATTAGAAAGCGAATGCTCTATCCCCTGAGCTATAGAACATTAAAAAATAGTTAGTGGTGTTTACTCACAATAAAAAATAATTAGTGATGTTTACTCACAAAGAATAAATATTAAATTTCATTCTTGATTACAATTGATGACACTGACTAAGTAGAGTGCCGAAAATTAGAGATTTAATATTTTTATGTGCATACTAATATTTTTTGTAAAGTCTTAGGTAGTATGTAATAATTTTATGTGCCCACTACTTATGGCTCTAACAGCTGTTTTTATTCGTGTACAAAATAAAATTTTAATTAGCTTTTAATTTTTCTCTCTCTATTTTTTTTTAAAGAATCTAGTGTCAATGAGATGGAAGTTTTGTTGTTATTAATACTTGGATGTGCTGTCCAGTGTGAAAGAAAAGAGCATTTCATTGAAATAATAAAATCTCTGGATTTGGAAATTCAGCATAAAATTGTAGATTACATTCAGAAAGTAAGTAAAAAGTTTTCATTTTCTAAACAATATCTTTTTCTTTTTTTTTCCTCTGCAGTTATTTATGTCAGTGTTAATTGGTTAAATATCGGATTTGTGAAATATTTACACTCGTGCTTAGGTTGAAATGAGACATGTTTTCCAATATAATATTTATATATAAGATTTAAATATTTAATATATTTAATTTTTATTAAGGTTTCTTTTTTTTTTTTCTTAAGTTTTTTTTTTAATAATCTGCTTTATTTGATTTAGTTATAGCAGAAAAAGTAACTAATTTGATGTCAAGAAATTATATATTTTACGTATTTATTAACGAATTTTACCATCTTAGTTTATTTAAAATAATCCATAAATTATTTTTATAAAGTTTTCATTTCCAAATGTTTTAGTCAATTGTAGCTTGAATATATATACAGTTGACATTCAGTATAACGAATCTTGTGGTCTGGTATAAAAGGGAATATTTACACCTCTTACTTAAAAACTGGTATCTCATTGTTCAATCCATGTATTATTTACATAACATTGTCACAGATTACATTATTGTTTTTAACATATAACCAATTTTTATCTTCCTATCTACCTCGGTTCTCCCCACACTGCCATTATACCTCAGAATATCTTCTTTATGATTGGTCAGAAATAGTTCTATCAAAATATCCTATCTATCTCTATCAAAATATCCTATCTACCTATATTTTTAAGGTAATTTTGATCCTATCTACCTCGGTTCTCCCCACACTGCCATTATACCTCAGAATATCTTCTTTATGATTGGTCAGAAATAGTTCTATCAAAATTAGCCTTGGAAGCCGAGTTCTTGTGCTGTCGGGTAACAAATTAAATTAAAACATTTTTTTTTCTAATTATTAGAACTGATACCAGTTGTTCAACCCAATTTTCTTTCAGATGAATAAGGGTTTAACCTGAAAATTGATGATAATGCAACCTTTTTGTATATTAATATATACATAAAAGTACATTTAAATTTAACATGCATATGTGAAAAGTGTCCTGCAAATAATAATCTGGTTCAGGGCCGCCATTTTTGATAAATATTATTTGTCATGATAGCTGTAAAAACTATATGTTTTAACTCAAAAATAAATCATACAAAGGGACTGACTTTTCACAAAGGAGTAAATAAAATTTTCAAGCAAGATAAGTATAATTGATAAATTAATTGTATTCTTTGAAAAGAAAGTTTCGCAGATTATAAAAGAAAAGAAATTTAATTAGGAAAAGAGTGTAGAGGCTCACGTCCTTCCTTCGAAGGAAATTCATGGTGTCAAAATTATTTTGTGGTAATATCAAAGGAAATAATAGTTTAAGTAATTTCTTTGTAGCTTTTTCTAAACCAACTATCCAAATTTTACTTGCTATAGTGGAGTGACTGGTTCAGTGCAATCGTTGTAGTATACATTAAAATAACATAGTATCTATGAATTAGCTTATAGTCTCTGCCGTGTCTCCTGATATGTCTTAAATATTAATTAAATTATAAAAATAAGGAAAAGAAACTTCATCTTTTTTTTCCAGCTGTGCTTTGTGTTAATAAGTTATTAGCTCATCCATCGTCAGGAATATCATATTGTAACCAATTTCAACCACAACCTTTGCTGCATTGTAATAAACAGAGATACAGCTGGAATTTTTCTCCTCGACTTCTTTTTGGAAGGATGAAATTTTCTTCAAAGGAGTCAAAGACAATTATGTTCTGAACTACAGAGAACAACTTCGAATAAAAAAATTTAAAAAATGTAGCATATTTGACATTTTTTGTAAAAAATAAATAAATGAAATAGAAAATTTAATAAAATATTTCAATTCCATAAAAATTTCGATAGATGTTTTTTTCTTTTGCACTTCCCATGATTTTGCAGCATTATGAAATTTTGAATGGCAAACATTTTCATTTGGTTGTTTAAATTCAAGTCCTTGCGTTGATAGTCAAGTTATCTCTAAATGGTTGGCAATCAATTTTTTTAAAAACTAATTTTTATCCTGTTTAGGACTAAAAACCATCTTCCACATTTTGTTGTTTACAAGATTATTGCTGTAGCAAGGTTGGGATGTAGTGAGAAACAGAAAAAAATTCGGGGAGGTTACAAGAATTCACAATATTGAATTTCTATTTTAAATACAAAGTGTCAAAGCATAAACGACTATTTTATTTAAGAGAATTTGTTATTTTCAATGCTTAAAATACGCTTGTAAAGGAGTTTTATTTTCTCAATAATTGTGAAAAGTAGGCTTCAGTAAGAAATGAAGATTCTAATTTTCTATCTTTTTCCTCTCTGCATTCTAATAAATTTGTTATTATAATTTGCTTTGTAATGTTATATTTAAATACTTATTGTTATATTTAATAACCAAATAAAAATAATTTTATTTATATAAATTTTTATTATCAGCATCTTAGTTTTATTTTTTTATGACGGGTGTTGGGCTATTCTGAGTTTGTGACTATCATTATTCAACTCTGTCTTGTAATTTTGAATCGAACCCAGAAGAAAGATATCAAGCATTGAGATAAACTAGCCTTCACTTTTTGATGGGACAAGTCTGCTTTTCTGCTTTAGGGAAATTAACACCACAGAAATTTCCAGTTAGCCAGAGGACTTGAGGATTCTAACCCATGATCCAGCGACCACTGAGGATATTTTACCACAGCACTGTAGAAAGTGCATGAAGAGAGTAGAATTCGTATCAACTGAACACCGGGTGGATTAAAATCTGGGTCTCCTCATTGAGAGATGAATGCTCTATCTCTTGCGCTACTACGGCTCCAACATCTGAGTTAAAATTTATAACTTACCCATTAACTCATTTTGAGGACATTCATGTTAAGTTCTAACAAAACCCTAAGTACAATGAGAGCTTCTTATTATTGTTGGTTCAATATATGCAAAACCCTATATCATATGGTTAATTGATAAAAATCATAAATATGTATTAATGTTTCAGGTAACAGATAATCCTGAAGCCATATGGACAAATGAGTGGAATGAACTAGCATTAGTCCCACCTGATGATCAGGAACACATGTTTAGTTTGCTGGTACAGCACCTTCGTCGTCTAGTCAAAGAAAAAGATGATTTGTCTCAGGTAGTTCATTTTACAAAGCCTCCTTGCTTTTGAATATTTTTCTTTATTTTATTTTATATTTATTTTTTTATGAAAAATTTGCCAAAAATTTTACAATTATTTATATTTAGGTCGAATTGTTTAAAATATTTAAAACTTTAACAAAAGTATTTTAATTTCATCAATAAAATTTGTATTTTTAACCTACTCTTTTGCATAAAAAAGTTCTGAAGCAATTTATATTGATTTAAATATTCTGACTGTACTGTTGTACACAGATATTGGTTAATAACATTACAGTAGAATTTATATTTGTAGATATTATTAGATTTGTTTTAAAGATAAAATTAGAAACACTTATATTGATAAAATAAAATTTTTCTTTTATAATATATATCTCTTTAATATTTTTAATAATTACCAAAGGAATTTAATTTATGTATTCTGATTTTCAAATTTGTTATTTGTTACATGTTATAACACAAACTATTTTTTGCTCTCTTTTGAAGTATTTGTAATTAACAATTTTAAAGCTATGTTTTGTATCTTAATTTTCAAACAAATTGATTTTTTCTTTGGTTGATTGATTCGGCAATAGCTTTTATGAATTTTGGCAAGCTGCAAAATTCTGAAATCAATTAGGGATAAAAAAGTTATTGATGCATTTTCATGTGAAAAATTTTGACTTTGTTGACCAGTTTACTTTTCCGTGTCATTCTTGAGAGAACTCAGCATTTTCCTATTGTTAAAATTGAAATTAGATTTTGCCATTTTACGTCGAATAAACTACTTCATTCTCATCTTTTATTAAAAAATATTTTTTTACAATGAATATTTAAATATGTCATACTTTTTCAAAAAACATTTATTTAAAAAGAATTTAATATACTTTTAATTACAACCTATTTTTTTTAGCGAGTTATTCAATCTGCACTTCAAAATTTGTGTTTCACATCTGGAACTAGCACTCTAAGCCCATCAAGTTCCTCTAATTTGGATAAGTCCCACATGATTGTTGAATTGGCTGATGCTAAAGCAAGGTTGAGGAAACTTCAACAAGAAGTGTAAGTGTCATAATTATTATTATTAATAATTTTTTCTTTTTTAAAAAATAAGTAGTAAATTTCAATATTACATGTTATATGGTCTTTTTTGATCTTTTATAAGATAGCACTAGTCAATACTTATTTATTTATTTACTAATTTTTTCATTTGGTGAAATAATTTTGCTCTTTTTACAAAATATAATATATAAATGTATCCACTATCGTATTATGTTTTATTCAAAACCATTGCAAAATTAAAAATTATCTTCTGTACTTTTTCCAATTATATCAACTTAATGTTAATATTTAAGTAAGTTTAGAGGGTATTCTTTTTAATTTACTCTTATAAAATTTTAAAATGTTGTACCACAGTTATTAATGTTTAGATTTATTTAAAAATGAATTAAAATTCCTTTGGTGTTAACTTTATTAATACATAATCTATAAAACAAAATCATTAAAAAAAAACATTTATTTTTTAAATTTCATACAAAGTGTAAAAAAAAATTCCTATTTTTTTTCTTTTTGAACTTTTTTTTGACTTTTTCTTCCTTTTACAAAAATTACAAATATTTTTCATGTTTGCAAATATTTTTTACCCAATATTTGTTTATATCTTCCAATTTTAAATCAGTCATTTAGAGATTTATTAAAATTTCAATTTTTTATTTTCATTAATAAATATTTTTCTTTTCTTTTTAGTGAAGAAAAGAATGAAGGTATAACTGAACTAAGGGAAGAATTAGAAAAATCCAAAGAGATACAATGCAAATTACGCCAAGAGGTATAACAATTTTTTTCAATATTATGTTTTTATGCTTTGTTTTTGTGTGTATTAAAACATAATTTAGTCTTTGTGTTTTTACTAATGTTTTTAATGTGGTTCAGAACATTTCAGTGTGCTTTAAAATATTTGATAGTCATGCAATTAAACTTTAAAAGTATTTTCCTAGTGTTAAATTTAAATATAGAATACAACTTATTTTTGCAATTCTGAAATGAAATTATTTATTTTTAGTCATATAATTTAAAACTATAGATTTGTGTGTATGAAATTCTGTCTATCGCGCAGTTGAATATTTTACTTAATAATCAGTTTNTGAATTAAATTTCTTTTAGTATTATATTTATTCATATAAAATATATAAAACATAATTATTAAAAGTACCTATTTTTTAAATTTCATATATAGTATGAAAAATTTTTTCTATTTTTTTTATTTATTTTATTCATTTTCTCCCATTTTACAAAAATACAATGCAGGGGAACAACAAATGCAGAGGAATATTTTTCAAATATTCCCCTGCATTTGTTGATATCTTTTCAAATTTTAAATCAGTCATTCAGAGATTTATTAAAATTTTAATTTTTTATTTTCATAAATAAATATTTTTCTTGATTTTTAGTGAAGAAAAGAATGAAGGTATAACTGAACTGAGGGAAGAATTAGAAAAATCCAAAGAGATACAATGCAAATTACGCCAAGAGGTATAACACTTCAAAATTACGTTTTTATACCTTGTATTTGTGTTTAATAAAACATAATTTAGTCTTTATGTGTTTTTACCAATGTTTTTAATGTGGTTTAGAAAATTTCAATGTGCTTTAAAATATTTGACAGTCATGCAATTAAATTTTAAAAGTATTTTCCTAGTGTTAAGTTTAAATACAGAATACAACTTATTTGTGCATAATTTTTGCAAATCTGAATTGAAATTATTTATTTTTAGTCATATGATTTAAAACTATAGATTTGTGTGTATGAAATTCTGTCTATCACACAGTTGAATATTTCAGTTAATAATCAGTTTTTTATTTTTTAAATAACATTGACACGTTTTCCAAAATTCACATATGCATCGAGCGAGCTGAAAGTTCGATCTTATGAAAAATAGAGCTCTATTAAAAAAACAAACATACACTCACTGTGGAGCAAAGTGAATGAATAAATCTCAGAATCATCATGAGATTTAATGTTGTAGAGCTTTATTAATTTTTTAAGTCTGACACTTACGTCAAGGCCTTTACCGCCTATTTCTTCAGAAAGAAATTAAACACTGTATCTATAAAATTCAGCCACATTTTGACAAAGTAATCATCAGAATTTTTTATAAAATAGTCCCTATTTACCAACAAAACAATAGAGCCTGCAGATGTGCAAATGGCCTCTGTTGCTTTAAATGATTATCTGTTAATAAAGAAATCCACAATTTTTAATTCGGAAACTGTATTTTCTATCAAAATAACTTAAGAATTCTGGATCACTCTCTGCATTCTAGAATTTATATATATCTATTAATGATTAGTTTAATAATTTATCAAAATTTAGCTTTTGTACCAACCTTAATTTTTATGTTACTTTTCTTTCATTCGTTAGAACCTCGAATTAATTCAAGATGCTAGAACAGCCAAAACTTATAGAGATGAAATTGACATCTTAAAGGAGCGGGTAAGGTTTTTTAATTATTTTTTTATGAATATATGTTAGTAACTAATAATATCCTGATAAAATAATTAAAATAATTTTTATTTTAGGTGCACAAAGTTGATCGGTTAGAAAGTGAGATACAGAGGTATAAGGACAAGATGAATGAACTTGATTTCTATAAGTCAAGAGTTGAGGTATGTTTAATAATATAAATTAGATCATTTTTTAAAAATTGATTACTTTTTTAACAGACAGAAAATTGGCAATAAATTATTGCAGATTGCAAATATCCTTAAAGAATAAGGTTCCCCGTACAAAAGTGATAGTGTGCAATTATCACTGATTGCTTTCATCATATTGGTCTCATTAAAAAAAAAAAAAAAAAAAGAAGANAATAAAAAAAAAAAAAAAAAAATGCCAGAAACCTTGTTTTTACGTGCATTTAAATAAATTATTATGGATCAGTAATTTTAGTTTCTAAATAAATTTTAGAATCAATATACTTTAAATTTCAACTGATTGGTTTCTGGCTTTAGTGAGTTAGTTTTTGTAGAAAAAGAATTATAATTTTTTTTTTGTTGATAAAAAGAGTATAAAATTTCATATACTACTTAGATTTTTAATATACAGTGAAACCTCCTGTTATGGACACTCCTGCAAAACGGACGCCTCTCAATACGGACATATTTTTAATTTCCCGGGAATCTTCTATGAATAAACCATTACATACGTTCTCCGCAAAGCGGACACTCCCGTAACCGGACGCGGACAGTCATTTTGGTCCTGAAACGTTGTTTTTTATCTCTATAAACCGGACACTACTTTTTCTTAATAAATTTCAAGCTAAAAAAAATTCAACTTTTCACCATTTTTAAAGCATGAAAATAAAACTTTTTTCCTTATCCATAACTAAAAATATTGTTAGGCTATTTCACCACCGAAAAATCAATCTTTCTCCTGTCACCTTGTCTTATCTTTGTAAAGAAAGGAGAGAAAATGGTACTGCACTCCTGAAATAATTCTGACATCGGCATCTTTTGATCTTTTCATCTGGACCACACAGGTTATGAGACCCCTCAAGTTGAAATGACTTCTCTCAATGCTTCTTCCCCATTGAAAATTTCTTTAATTTTCTTATCAATTTGAAGACTGTATTTAACACAACTGGGGTAAAAAAAAGAGAACAGAAGTATAATCTTTGAGGTGTTTATATAAATGAAACATTTATTCAGACACTTGATAGCTGATCAATTGTGAATAATCATCTCCATAGGTCCTCATGACTTACAGGTATGCATTACTTTTTTTTCTGTGAATCATGGGAGGTTTATTTTCCAAGAAGGTATTAACCATGTTCCCTATCAAATGATAAGTAGGTGTAAGGGGATGTGAACCTAATAATTGAAACGGACTGAGGACAGTACGCTCCTATTTGGTATCATATGTCTAACTTGAGTATCTATGCTAATAGGAAAATTATATTTATTTATCTGTAGCTACATCCAGAATTATGTATTTATATCAAACTTCTTTATATATTCTTTTTTATCTTTCTTATTGTTTAAATAAATATTCTTGTAGATATTTACAGTATCCTTGTAGATATTATTTAATTATTTCTACATCTTTGAGAATATTCTAAAAACAATTTACGGTGTTAAATTTCGTTATTAGGGTACCCTTCCCGTAAACGGACAACTCTCATAAACGGACAAATTTTTTGGTCCCATGAATGTCCGCTTAACGGAGGTTTCACTGTATTTCTAGTTTTTTTTTTTAATTTATAAAATATATTTCTGTTTAAAGAATTTTTTTTTTAATATTTGTACAAAAGTTTAAAATAGTTTAGTAAGAAATGCAGATTTGCTCTGAAAAAGGAGTTATTAACTCTTTTCTGCTCCTGTGCAAATTAAAAATTTTTCTTAACTAATATGTCACATTACTCATTGAAAAGGATAAAATATTTAACACATGATTATGATTTAACTGAACTTTACAAAAGACAAATATTTTATATTCCCATGTGCACATCACAGTTTTATATGAAAACATGTTGTTTTCATATAAAACTCTACTGACAGCAGCAAAAATTGATTTATTTACTTTTTTTTCTTCCTTTTTTCTTTTTTGTTGATACTTTGAATTCAGTTTAAGTATTATGACTGTAGACAAACTGTTATATGGTAAAGAAATTTTCTTACAATTTTTGTTGAACTAGTTTTTAATGACAGTTATTATTTGAGAATTCATTTTGTATTTTTGTCTTTTAAAATTTAGGAATTAAGAGAAGACAACAGAATTCTTGTGGAGACTAAGTCTATGCTGGAAGAACAGTTGGAAGCTAGCAGAAAACGAGCAGAGCAAGTTGTTGAATTGGAAGCCGAAATTTTAAAATACTGTTCACAGATCAATGAATTGAATATAGTAAGAATCTTATCTTCATGGTTAAATTTTAATACCATTTTTTTATTTAGTTACTTATTTTTCTTACTAAAATTTAAACTCACAGGATTTTTTACATATATTTCTGTGCCAACTCAGATACAGAATATCTGTAAAATGGAAAGTGAATCAGTCTTATTCTTTCTCTGTTGTGTAGTTTGCATAACTCACTTAATCTATCATATATCTTTTATTATCTCTGTTGTGCAGTTTGCATAACTCACTTGATCTATCATATATCTTTTAATATCTCTGTTATGCAGTTTGCATAACTCACTTAATCTATCATATATCTTTTATTATCTCTGTTGTGCAGTTTGGATAACTCACTGAATCTATCATATCTTTTATCTCTGTTGTACAGTTTGCATAACTCACTTAATCTATCATATATCTTTTATTATCTCTGTTGTGCAGTTTGCATAACTCACTGAATCTATCATATCTTTTATCTCTGTTGTACAGTTTACATAACTCACTTGATCTGTCATATATCTTTTAATATCTCTGTTGTGCAGTTTTCATAACTCACTTAATCTATCATATATCTTTTATTATCTCATTTATTGTTGTTTTATGAAGGGAATGTAATTTTTGGGTATCGTAACTGTAGGAAAGAGATGCAGGCAGGGAGAAAATTCAACAGTTGCTTGAGGAAAATGCTCAACTTCACATTGAGCGAAAAGCTTCAATGGAAGAATTAGTTCAGCTTCAGAGTGAACTTTCTCAGGCATTTACTCCTTCTCCACGTAAGTAGGAAACTTAAATCATTTCAAATACTTCTACCTATAATGAAAAATGATTTGTATTGAATATATGACCACTAAACTATTTTTCTTCTTCTTCATATTTGAGTAATGTAATTCTGATAAGAAAACATCCCGTATTTGATTGCTTTGTCTTTTATTCAGAGAATTCGCATCTAACTAAATATATATCCTTTTAGGCTATTATGGGAAAAAGGAGGATTTCTTTCTAACTAATTAGTTGGAAAGTATAAAAAAAATTTTTTTTTTTTTGAGCAATTAGTATAAACTTGTAGAAGGTTATTGCAACAGATAAACTCAGATCAAAAAGACATACAGAAATAACCTTGGTCTGTCTTTGGAGAGACAGCTGTTGGGCTCTAGATAAAGAATACTTATAAGATATACTACAAAAATGACTGAAAAAGATGCTTCTTCTTTGTCAGTGCAACAGCCCCTTGTAGGCCTTGGCTGCTTCAACAGCTGACAAATGCCAGCTCCACCTATCCATGGCAACTCCCTTCCAATTTCTAATCTTTAAGGTTTTCAGGTCATTTTCAATGTGGTTGCGCGATTAGAGGATCTAACTCTGTTACGTGACCCCTAGTGAAAAAGATGCACAAGTACATTTTATGTACCTGTGCATCTTGTTGCTGTTGTGTGCATGTTTTTTTTTATTATTATTTTTTTTAATTCTCCAAACAAATTCTGTATTACTTATACCACAATACCATCCTTCTTTTGTCCTATCTTATAAACCAAACAGTTTTCTGTTAGCTTTTTTTTAATTTTATTTAATCTATGTTTTGCATAAAATTTCAACTAGAATTTTTTTGTTTGTATAAATTGTATATTAAATATTAAGTAGTTTAACCTTTTACAGCAAAGCTTGTTTGATTGTATTAGCTAGATATTAACCTACTGTACCTTATGTCTGAGAACCAAAGATGTGGTACATTTATAAAACCAAAATATGCATCCATCTAGGTTGACTATTTTATTTGTGCTTTTTTAAATTGTTGTTCTACTCTATTTAATTTTGTTTATGCATAAAATTGAAATGGAAACTAAAATTTTAAAATATTTTTTCATAAATTATTCTTTTCATTCAGTGGAAAATCACAGTCTCATGGAGCAATTGAACACAGAAAATCAAAGTAGGGTGTTGCAGCTTGAGCTTGAAAACAAAAGACTGCATATGTTGGTTGAAAGTTTGAATCGGTCACCATCGTTTGAAGTTACTGATCCTGTTAGTATCTTATTATTTTTCTTCATATTTTAGTTTATGAAAAAATACTGTCAAATGTCAACTAACATCAAAATGATTTTTTTTTAAATTTTAGATATGTAACACATTTTTGTGATTCCTTTGAAAAGTTAGCTGTATTTTTTAATTAATTAATTGTTGTGTTTAAAAACCTTCTGAGAAGTACAAATTATGGTGGTATGGGTTAAAAGTGAAAATAAATTGAATTATTATAAAATATAGTTCTCAATTTCTTATGACTGCTGGTTAAATATTTATATTGAAAGTCATTTTATTTTCAGGCCTGTTAAGAAAATTAAATTTAAGTACTTTAAAGATCCTATCAGTATTGAAAATTGCTGGGGGCATATACCACATTCCTAGTCAGTGCAAACTTGGCTGCATCAGACAAACGAGACACTTAAACATTTTGATTAATGGAACCCAATAAATATGTCTGTGATCAAAAATTCAATAATCATCTATTGCTGCTGTTTAAAACTTGAGCAATTTAATTTCGACAACGCCAAAATTCTCTCACTTCTGTCACATCTTCTCATTTTGATGTTTTGGAATCTTTTTTCATTCTTAGGAATGCTGATTCCTTTGCTTAACGACATGCCTTTTGCACTGACTTTCATATCTCATCCACTATAGTTTTCATGGGTTTTTTTCTCCTTGTCTATTTTCCATTAACTGTTTTACATTTTCTGTTTCACTCCCAGCAACTGCAAATTTTCTAGTTTTGTTTTTCGCCTTTATTTTCCAGTTTTTTGTTACCAACATCACAATTGCCGCTTCAAATCTCTCTTCTTTTCCACATACACATCTAGCTAGTTTTGAGAATGGACGCCTATTTTTAAGTGCTCGAAATATGTTGACTTTTACTATCTTCATAAGTTTTTGAAGAAATTACATTTATAGATTATCTAGTACATGTGTGTTTATGCAGTTAAGATTTTTTTTTTCAATATCGAAGCAAAAATAAAAATCGATAAACAGTAACGAACAATAATACAGATCAATTTAATTTAAAAAATTTAATTTTTTTTTTTAAAGTTTTTTTCCCACCTATATTTATGTAATTTTTTTTTCAACGAATGACATTATTTAATGTCTCTTAGAAAAAGATGGAAACATATTAGAAACTGCCTTAAAGTACCTCAAAGGTCTATTAATGCTGTTGTTAAAATGATAATTTAAAATAGAAACAAAATTCAAACTAATTTCGCTTAAGCTGTTTGTTTTACAGGCAATAAACATTGCTAAAAAAATGTTGTTTTGGTATTTATTATTTGGGGGGGGGATGATAACTATTTTATTTCACATTTTGATGAATACCAAGTGTATGATATAAAATATTTTATAAACGCTGTAATTTGAAAAGAGATTTTAGCCCTCTGAGCATCTCAAACTTACAACTGGTGGCTTTCCTGTATCAAAAAGCCAGTTTCTTTCATTTATTCATAAGGAATGAAGTGTATAATGTGACAATTTTGTACAATTTTCCCAAGAGGCTCTACACTTGAAGGATTAAACATTGCCACTATCAGAATAAACTCATCTTGATACTTACAAAGATGTTGAAAGCTTGCTCTTGCGAATATATTAAGCTTTATATGCAAAAGCAAAGTGTGTATTAGCTTTTATGTTATTTGTTTATGCTTTGATATTTGCGCATTCATGCAATGTTTATTTATGCTATCTTGCTTTCTTTTATGCATTTACAGATTGCCTTCTGGTATTACTTATATTCTTGATTTTTAGGAATGTATGAAAGATTTGGAGGATAATATATTCAAGTTGGATATAAATAATTGGAAAAACAAAACAGCTTTAGAAAATGTAAATTTTCTGAAAATTTTCATGTTTTTTCATAGATGTTGTAATAAAAGTAGTCTTAGTCGCATCTTGGTTCCTAAAATTAGTAGATCTTATTTTATTTTTATTCATCAATCCTCTTTCTTTTTTCCTTTAATAAATAATGAAGCAAATAATAAAAATGAATGCTATAATGTAAATAATAAATCATTCTTAAATATACTTTAAAATTTTTTTTTATTTCAAGCAATTTTTTTTAATTTTTTTAAGAAATATCTCCTTATATTTAGTAGTTAGGAAAATTTTCAATTTATTATTTATTACATTTTGTATTACAGATGAAATTTTTTGTAGCTGATAAAGCTTGCTAATTGTTTAATTGTTTTTCACCTATTAATTTAGAAAAAGAAATTGGAATCTTTAATTAGGTTCTTTCCCTGAATATTTCTTTCTTCTACTTTTTCATAATTTTTAAATGACAAAGCAAAGTAACATTAATATTATCTGCAATGAATTAAGTCCAATTTCAAGAATCCTTTTATTTAATGAGTTTTATTGTATTTTGTTCTCATTTATTTTAGAGTAATTGCATGTTATGCATGCATTATTCCATTGTTTATTTGTATTGCTAAAAAAAAGCAAGCACGCTGAGTAACCTTTTTAGTAATTGATTAGATTTTGAAGTACCAGGACTCAATCTTGATGGTTTGAAAGCCTAACCTCAGATATGCTAATTATTTTGTGTTTACAATATTTTAAAGTACAAGATCGATAAAATTCATTAATCCAAAATCAAATATAAAATCACTTATCCAAAGATTCATTTATCCAAAATTTTAATAATCATTTATTGTTTTTAAATAATTTATTTAAAAATAGTAAAAAAATTGAAATGTACCGTAAACAAATTTTTACACTATTTTAAACTATAATTTTAAATGACAAGATACAAACTTTGAAGAAAATCAGTCAAATAGCTTCTGAGATTTAAAATTTAAAACGGTTGTGTTTCAAACTTTCATTTTTCAAAAACTTGTCAACCAATTTTGTTCAAATTTTGTATTTATACTTTCGAAGATTTGTATTTATATTTCACAAAATGTGAGATTAGCATTAAGGAGGGTGAACTTTTGACTGCTCTCTTGTCTAAACTGTTGAGACCATATTTTCCATGACTTGAGGGTTAAGAACCCGTATCCAGAAAAAAAAGATTTGTTAATTCAGAAAAAAAGTATATCTTTGTATCTGATTTCGCCATTTGAAATAGTGTCTGTATTAATTATATATAAGGTTAGGCTCTCTAGTAACAAAAATTGAGTTCTAGTAGATGAAGAATTAATCATTAAATCAAAGGTTATTTTTTGTGTAATGTACAGATAGGTCAGAATATGATTTTGACATTTCCATAGAATTTTAAGAAAACTGTATTTTCTTTCATTGCAACAGCCCTGAAGAGTTTGATTAGCTAAAAATATGTTATTTCTAAGTAATAAAATTTTCAGAAATTGTGCTATTTGTATATTCACAAAATATGTGTTATAATCTGGGTCATAATCCTAACATTCATGTGACAGTAATTTTAAACAGTCTTGTTAAGTTTTTTAGGTCTGCTGCATTGAGAGAGAATATTGTTGTGACATTTAGAGACCAGTAAAAACTTTTGAGCACATTAATATATTCTGTTTTTTTACATTTTTGTTGCATGTACAGTAATATCGATATATAATTTTACAGTATTTCCCGTGTTAAAACAGTTCCCTTTTTAACTTAATTTTTTTTATTTAATTTTATTACTTAAATATTAAGTAATTTCCAAGTAAAGTGTACATTTTTCTGTCATTCTCAGATTTCAGGCCTATTGAATTGTTATTATATAAAAATTTCAAAACTTTTTTTTTCATTAGGTTAAAAAGATAAGTTTATTTGATAGGTTCTTTTTTTCTTTTAGAATTATACTGGTTTTAAAAATATTCTTTTGTTAACAGTATAAATTATGCTTGAAAATATTTTCATAAGCCTTTAATAAATTTTGTTATAAAAAACAATTTCAACTAAAAAACATATCTTTGCCTACAAAAAAAATGCTTTAGATGTATTTAAATTTTCCTTAATCAATCTGTATTGGCCTAAAGACAATTTTAATATAGTATTGCTTTCACTAATAATAAAAAAATTCAATTATGTTGGCAAATAATTTAAATGTTTTCTTTTTGTGTGAAATAATTGCACATGCATTTTTTAAAATTTTTTTTTATTTGAGTATATTAGTACTTTCAGACTTTTTTCCCCCATTCTCTTGCCTGAAAATAAAGCTGTTTATGATTCTTTTCAATGTTTTTCACAGATTGGGACCCTTCGAGAGGAACAAAAGATTTTAAAGGAAAAGAACAATAATTTAGAGAAAGAGATCTCAGATTTGAAATTATCTGCAAAGAAGTTCACAGCGCTGGAAAATCAGTGTGTTGATTACGAAAAATTAGTTACTGATTTAAAACAGAAGCTGAAAGATCAGCAAGTAAGTTTACTGACATGAGATAATATATATGACATTCAAGTTTCTAGTCCACACTTCTGTTAGAATTAACGAAATATTGATACAACAATTTTCGTAGATTCTTCTAAGTTGCTTAAATGCTAACATTTTTATTTGTATTTTTATAATTTTTATTTGCGCTCATGTTCTTTTTCTTCTTAGAATATGCTGCAGTTTTAAAACATTAAAAAACGAAATTGATATTTCAACCTGGCATTACAAATATAGAAATAAATCAGCCATTTTGTAGCATAAATAAAGACAATTTAATTTAAACTAGCCAGTATACAAGCCATTTAGTTTTGCTTCAATTAATTGTGAGTTTCGATTTGCTGTGATTTGCATTAATTTTTATTCATACTGCTAAATAATTGATGGTTTTAGGGGAATATAGTCTTTATTATTAAACTATTATGATAAACCGCATTTTTAAGTTATTCAGGATAAATAATTCATTTTGGTAGACAAGCACAGCAAATTTTTGTGTAAGCAAAAAGGTATTTCTGTGTTATTGTATCTAGTAAAAATTTCCTGAAATTTGTGATATACTTATCTGGAAACAATGCTAAGGAACAGTTTGCTGTAAAATATCCCATATGAAAATAATATAGCTTATCATTATATTCTCAAAGGCTTTTTAACTAATAACAACCGCAAAAGCCTATGAAATTAAATGTTTATCTACTAGATTATCATTACATTGATAGATTTGTTTTATAATTCTTGTTTTTTGAAATTTCACTATATATTTTATTGTTTTCGATTTTGCTTAGAGATGAGGAAAAATTGAGAAAAATTTTGTTTCTTTATATCTGGATTTAAATAATTTTTTTTACTAGGCTTTTCACATTCAATTTGAGTTAGTTTAAGTTCATTTCCTTCTGAAATTATAAATCATAAAGATTTTTTCATGTAAAAATTAAAATCTTCCCGCAGCAGCTCATTGTAGGCTAGGAGGATTATGGAGATTTTGGCTCCTCATTTTTGTGACAAAAACAATTACCACTTTTACTTCCCATATAAGTTAGTATCTATCTACCTGAAACTAGACATGTTGGCAATAAAACTAGTGTTTCACGATAACTGATCTGTGCTAATTTCTCCATGTAATTTATTCATTTAATTTCAGTTTGAGATACTTAAATGTGAGCAGTTGGAGCACAACATCACTACACTTAATAATGAGAATCAGAAGCTTCAAAAAATGGTAGAAACAGCTCAGAAAAAATCAAATGATTTTCAACAGGATATACAGGCTCTTGAGAATGAAAACCAAAAATTAAATAATATAGTGGAAAGCTTAAAGCTTGCTGATAGAAAATATCATGACCTGGAGCGAGAAACTACTAATTTAGAAACCATAAATCATAGATTGGAACAGGAAATGAAGGGACTAGAAAAAGAAACTGCCCGTCTTAAAGCTGCAATTGAGGTAATAATTATTGCTGTTTTAAGAATTTTTCTTTGTGTTAAATATGTTTAATTTTTCACCAATATTTTTTATTAAAACTAAATTGTCAAACTCGGTTCTGACTTGTTTAATAAAATTTTTATTTTCATATCTTAAAATTTTATGATTAAACGTATAAATTTTTTAAAACTCTTTTTCATTTTGTCTTTAAAAATGTGTTTAGTTACTAATAATTCTGTGACATTTAATTAAAATTTAATACAATCATATGAATTTAAAAAAAAAAAAATTCAACTACTGTGTTTGTGTAAAGTAAATAATTTTTTTATTTTAATAATCTTTTATTTCATTGTCAAACACAGTTTTGACTTTACTAATTCAGTAAATGTTTTATATATATATATATATTAAAATTTAATGATTAAATATTTAAATCTTTTTAATTAAATTTTTTTCATCTTGCTTTTAAAAATACAGACAGTTACTGATAATTCTGAATTTAATTAAAAGCAAATAAAATCATGTGGTTTTTTTTAACAAAAATCTATTTTTCATCTACTGCTCTTTGTTTGTATAAAGTAAATGATTTTGTTTAGTTTCACAATCTTTTATTACATCTCCTTACATTTCAGTCAAAAGATTTAAAAATTGAAGAATTTGCTTCCCGTGCTGCATACTTAGACAGAGAAAATAAACATTTTGTAAAAGAGGTTGAAAATCTGAATCAAGTAGCAACCAAGTTCAAAGAATTAGAAAGAGAAAACAAAGATCTAACTCAACAAACTGCTGTAGATAAAAAATCCTTGGAAGCTCTCAGACAAGTATGTCTCTAGTATTATTTCAAAATGAAAACAAATTTTTAAATTTTTTTCTTGCATATTTAGAGCATAACATAGCTACCAACTGTTCCAATTAAATCCCATTTGTTACGATTTTTTTGCCTTGTTCTGAAAATACATTTTGAGATCAAAATGTTCTGATTTTTCAGTATGCTAGCGCCTTTTCACTCCTTGTGCCGATTTTCTTTCAACCCTGGGCATGTCTTAAAACTAAAAGCAGGGCATGTGATTTTTCCATGAATATCAGAGAATTCCGCATATCTCAAGGCCGTGGGTTAGCGGACTTCCCCAAATCAAAATCTTATAATCCAATGAAATCATTAAACTTTTGCTAAATCTCTTTAATTAGACATTTATATGCATGTGATTCTCTGCCAATTCGATTTCTTTGATTTAGCTTATATTCACCATTTTGAATATTGGGAACTGCGCCGGTATCTGCTAATATCACAGTTCTTATTCAAGCGATTAAAAAATCCAATATCGCGATTTGTATTTATGTGTTTTTAAAACTGAATATCGTAATTCGTATTAATGTGAGTTTAACATCCAATGTTGCAATTTGTATTTACACAATTTTAAAATCCAATTTTGCGATACATATTCACACAGTTGTAATATCAGGCTTCTATTTTTGTATTTATAAGTGATTTGTATTTACACGACCTAAAAATTATGTATTGTGATTCGTATTTACGTGATTCAGAAATTCAATATCATAATTTGTATTTTCACGTGTTTAAAATCGAACATGGCAATTCATATTCAAGTAATTTTAAAATCTGATATCGCTATTCTTGTAAGAAATAGGTTTTTCTTGAATTAGTTACTATAAAGGTGTGATATTCTTCACTAAGTAATTTAATTAAAACTGTTGACTCCCTCCAAAAATTTTAAATATGAAACTTGTATTGTTTATAAATTGATATTTTGATATCGATATTTTGTTTTCCACTTTGTGTTATAATAACCCCTGATTGGCTTGTCATTCTTTGTGTTCTATTTTTCTTTCTTACAAGTTTGCAGTAATGGTATAAGTTCTATTAAGGTGGTATAATCATTAGTTATAGTTAAGGTATAGTTATTGAAAATTCTTAGAACTGACCCAGTTTATGCTAACACACTAGAGATGAGGCTGTGCTTATTTTTAGAGGTCTAAGCCTGAAGACTTAATTTGAGATAAGATGATGAATTTGCTCTGATAATTTGTTGATAAGAATTTTTATATCAAGCCTGCAAGAGATTTTATTTGCCACATAAAGACCAAAAATTGTAGAGATGCAAGATACATTATTTAAGATAATCTTTTTTTTCAAATAGTGAAATTTTGTACCATTAATACTGTTACGGAACTACGAAGTATTTCTGTTTAGTTTGAAAGTAATAAGAAAATAAACAAGAACTTTATCATGAGCCTAAAAGTTTGTTCTGTTAACAAACCCATGTCAGGCAAAGACAGTCAGGAAAACACTTAAGCTGAACTTGTTTATGAATCTATAATGCAAAAGTATATCAAGAATTGTCACTTGATTTTGTTGTTTGAAAAGTGTGTTTAGATTTTTATGTATTTCTTATTTACAAATGTGCTTTTAGATTTATTTACTTTCCTAAAATATTAAATTCTTAAGAAGTTACAAATCATTTAATGTCCTCTCTACTACAATGTATAATAATATTAAGAAATTATAAAGCAATATTTTCTTTGTTTTATCTTTTCATTACAGTTATACATGCCTGATTAACTAATAAACTAATTAGAATTTACCAGTTGTACACATTTGATTAAAATTTTCTATTAATGCATTGTTTACTCTCATCCAATTGAATTTTTTTAATATTTTTATCACATTGTTTTAGTTTAAGATTCAAATTGGATAATTTTTATAAAAGTATTTCAGTCTCCTAATTATAATTTTTATGTGAAGGAAATTTTTTTGTTGCATATTGAAGTATGCGTTTAATTTTAAATTTCTTTTTAGGATTTAGTGTCTGAAAAAATTGCAAATCAACGATTAAATACTGAAGTGCAAAAGTTGAGAACTGAGTTTGAAATCAAAAACTCACCTGCAGAAATATTCTCCTGTCAAATCGAAAATTCACAAAAGTAATTATTTAATTCTGTTATGAACGATTGAAATATTTATTTGTTCATAGATTGTGGTTTTTTCGTGCTTTCTTCTTGTCATGTTACAACTATGCCAATACTATCTAAAAACTTAATAATTCTGATTTTGAAAGCCTAATAATTTTTAATTCGTTAGATCCAATATACCTTAGATAATCAATCAAAACTAATTTATTGATTTCTAAAAGCATACCCACAACACCCTGTTGTGGTTAGCATTATGCACAATGCCACTTTTACTACCCTGACTAGCTGATACCCAACCAGCTAAAGCTTGATGGGCTTTGAGCCACTGCTGAAGATCGAATCTGATTGATTCTTAAAAGCATACCCACAACAGCCTGTTATGGTTAGCATTATGCACAATTCCACTTTTACTACCCAGACTAGCTGATATCCAACCAGCTAAAGCTTGATGGGCTTTGATCCACTGCTGAAGATAGAATCTGATTGATCCTTAAAAGCATTCCCACAACACCCTGTTGTGGTTAGCATTATGCACAATTCCACTTTTACTGCCCAGACAAGCTGATACCCAACCAGCTAAAGCTTGGTGGGCTTTGAGCCACTCCTGTTGTGGTTAGCATTATGCACAATAACACTTTTACTACCCAGACAATTTGATACCCAACCAGCTGAAGCTTGATGGGCTTTGAGCCACTGCTGAAGATCGAATCTGTCATTTATAAATAATTTTCAAGAAAACTGTTTACTATTTTTAAAATAATTTTATAACAGCCCAAATAAATAGGTTGCTGTTTTCTTGTATTTAGTAATTTAAATTGATACAATCATATTTTCTTATTCTTGCATCATAACTAAAAACATACTTTTTCCAAAAACTTTTTTTTATATGCTAGCTTGATTTGTAGTTATAAAATATTGCATCAAATTTTCATAAACACTACTAATTACATGCAGAACTAGAATCAACTTTTAGTTACAGCTACTATTTTTGCTCTTTTCAAATGCTGTTACCTTAAATATTATTTGTTTCAAACTTTTTTTAATATTTCTTTTACAATACTTTTATATGTTGTGTTTACTATGCATTCTAATTCAAAGTAAAAATTTTTATTTTTTATGTTTTTAAAATTAAGTAATTTATTCATTTTTCCAGTGAACTTAAAGGTGCTGATAAGTATTTATGTGAGAAAGAACAAAAAACTGATAGTCAAAAGCTTAGGTATGTATATTTTAAGTATCATAGTTAAGGAGTTTGTAAGGAAAGTATCTCATGTTAAACTCACAGAATTCAACATAAATTTTGCAAACATTAGTAAATCAATTAATTTATCTACAGTGAAAAAAAACTGGCTTTGGAATTAAAATGAGGAATGTTTAAAAAAATTCGATAGTTATAAACATCTTTAGAGTGCAAGATAGCAAGTATGTTTAAAAAATGGCATTATGATTTCTTCTGTCTCATTTCTCTTCCCTTTTATGGAATGCTTAGCAGATTTTTATAAACAGCTGCACCTAATTACGGAACTCCCTTATTTCAGGATAAACAATATATATTATTATTTTATCCTTATAGTCAATCATAGCATATTTTTCAACCTGAAAATTTAAGGTTTTAAGAGTTCAATGTCGACTTTCCTTAAAGCTCTTCCTTTTACAATTCTTGTAAAAACGAACTTTTCCCACCTTATAGCTGTTATTTTCTACTTACAGTAATGTTGATTATAACCACACTAGTGTCCATGTTAAAGCAGATCATGAAAAAGAATTGGAAGATCTCATTGGTAATCCTTCATCTAATAACTTCTCCTCAACATCGCAAAACATTGCAACAACTCCTGATCACAATGAACAGAGCATATCAAAGAAGTTAGTAATTTTTTCATTTGTAATACTTCAATATTATTTTACATCAAAATGTTTTTTTTTTCATTATTATTTATGTTAAGTAATTGCACAAAATGAAAGCATGAGTGAATGGGACTAAAAATGCAGGATTTTACATTAATCTTATTTTTTTCCACAGTTTCAATCATTCACTTTGGTTTCTCATTGTTTTTCCGTAATTTTACTTATTATAGTTGATTTTAGAAAAAATGTTATTGAACATTGAATGTTCAGGAATTAATGATCTACAAAGCACTCCTCTTACCTTTGTTCATTTTCCTAAATAGTGGCGCTGCTGTATTTCTGAAGTTATCTTACGTGCCTACTTTTTATTTAGGTAACCCTTATTTAGCCTTTAAAAAAATTGGACGGATCCTTCCTTTCATTTAACTAGTTATTTCCTAAGTTTACTAACTTAAAACTCAGTTGTTGCCTTCTATGTTTTGTGGAGCAGTCTATCCCATTTTCCTATTATCTTGTTTTGTGAAGATTTGGATCACAAACTGCCTTGCCCAGCCAAACTAAATTCTGCAAATTTCTAGACTGAGCAACTAAAAGCAGCTGCAATATTATTGTAGGTAGAGTGACCGATAACAGAAAACTGCTGTGAATTCTCAAACTATAATGGAAAAGAATTTGTGATAAGTTAAGAGTTTTGCTGCATATTTTGAGTTGGTATTTGATAAGTAAATGCTGTTTTGTTAAAATATCCAAATTTTTTTTGACACCTAAAGTTAAGTTCTTGAAAATGTAATAGAAGTATGTATCTTACAGTTCAAAATTTTTTCTATTATTAAATAAAATAATAAATAATTATGAAAAATTATTTTTTTGCATACAATTATCTTAAAATAAATTAATTTTATGATTAAGTGCAAAAACTTTACATTTCACTTTAAAAATTTGTAAGATACGACAAAGTATGCAAAAGGAAAATTAATATTAAGGGATCTAACACAAATTAACAAGTTTTAGAACTTAGCAAATATGTGTAAAAATTATTTATGATAATGTATAGTAAAACATACAATTTTAAATTATTCTTTATTGAATCTATTCAACCCCCCCAATTTTTTTTTTTTTTTTTTTTAAATTCATTGCTGAATGTTTGGCCGAATAGTTGCAAAATATTGGATATTCCTTACTTTGTTATAGTTTGTTTCACTTAAGCTTCTTAAATATAGAAATTTCAAAATTCTCTGTCAAAAACTTTACAGAACTCAGTTTAACAACTCATTATTAGTTAGCAAATTTATCATTTTTATAAATCCTATAAAATAACTCTTTTAACTTCCAATCCCATATTATTTATTGGATTGTGTAATTTACTGAACTCTTATATTCCAAATTCTTATGTTCCAAATTTTAGCATAATTTGGAATAGTGAGAGGAAATTTGAACATTTAGAATGATAAGATGAAATTTGCAATTTTTCAAATTCAAGAACATGTTTTTCAAGTTTTGCTTGCATATATATAATATAAAGTTCTGCTAAAAAAGTTTAGAAAAATGAAATAATTATAATGAAAAAATTACATACAGACATACGTTTTGCATGTCTGTTTGTAAATTTTTTTTCTTCTTACATGATCTCTCTACTGGCATTTTTTTATTGCCTAAATATATTATGACTAAGTGTGTTTTTCTGTTATGTGCTTCTGTTTTATCATATTCTACCTAATACTTTTGAAACCGTTTAAAAATTCTAATTTTTATAATTTCTTTTCAACCCTTAGATTAGTTTTTTCGAGCGAAACTTTACGTGAACTTGAAGAACTGAAAGCTGATGTTATAGAATTAGAGAAAAAAGTATGCTTCAATACTAATTATATATATTTTTATTAATATTAATGTGTAGATAATATTACACTTCCTTTATTCTTATCTTTAATTTTTTCAGTACTACATGCAGAATTATTATACACTGTGATTCTAGACCTTTTACTCCTACTTAAATTCAAAATGTATTTTTCTTTCTTATTACTTTAGAAATCTGCAATTGAGGATGAAAATTATAATTTAAATAACCAAGTATCCCTGCTAAAGGATCAAAACAACAATCTAAAAGGTCAGTTAGACTCTGTAGAAAAGAATTTATCCACAGTTCTATCCCAAAACAATTCCCTGCAATCTAAATTAGCTAAACTTGAAGTTGAAATCACTGTCGTGTCTTCCCAGAATAAAACTTTGGCATCACAAAAGACTCTATTTCAATCTCAGTTCTCAAATTTGGAAGAACAGTTGAAAAAGGTATTAAATGTTTGCTTTCTGTTTTCATTAATAACTTTATGCAATAAATTTTTTTATAATTTTGCACAATCCATAATTTTTTCCTCATAAAAATGATTAAAAGATTGTTTTAGTATCATTGTATTAATCTTATGATTTTAGCTATAAATTTGGTTTAAGAAAAAATGTTTTTCTTTTTTATTCATGTGTGATGACTCCAATTTTTTCCCCTAATTTTGTCTGATAGCAATATTTTATTTCTATAATTTTGTTACAATATAATAATTAGAGTTCTTGTTTTATTTAAAGACATAATAAAAAATGTTTAGATATTGAATTTTTCATTTATAAATTTAATACAGTCATTGACATTTAGTATGATCACGTTGGAGTTAAAAAATTTTTGTAAAATGAATACAAATTGTATACTCTATATTAAAAAGTTATAAAGTTTATTCTCAGTTGTGTATTAAAAAAAACTAATGCTTATATATATTTAAGTAAATTTTTTCAATTCTTTTTGTTGGCAACATTCTGTTTAAATACACAAGTGGGCGACCTTTGTGTTAAAATACAAACTAAAGCAAACTACATTAAAAAGCAGAAAAATATTTTTGTGCTTTTTAACGTTGTTTGCTTTAGTTTAACATTCTGTTTGCGCAATAACAATACTTTTACATTGTATATACCTGTGTACTTTTTTAAAAAAAATTGCAAATATATATGTTTTTTTTTTTTGTTATAGGTCAGCCAACAATGTGTTGATTTAGAGAACCGTAATAGGTGCCTTTCTACTGATAATGATTCCTTACAGAGATTGCATGAGCAATTAACAAATGACTATGATGCTATAGCTAAGGGGAACAGCTCATTAAAGTCTTATAACAAAACTTTAAAGCTTGAGTGTAGTGATTTAAAGGTAAAATTAGTGAGTCAATAATTATTTAGTCCCAACTATTTTTATTTATTTGCATGTGGCTTTATTATTATTTTAATTTTAAAAAATAGTGTATGTATGGTAAGCATATTATATAAGACATAAGTATTCACTATAAAACTTTCCTTCGTATTCAGCTAACTAAAGTGTGTAATAATTTACGAGAAAAAAAGTGTTTCATCTTTAAAATAACAAATTTGACTTTATTTGTTGCAGAAACTTTAACATTTTTTGTAATGCCCTTCTAAAAAACTAGCTAATGTCTCTAAACTATATAAAAACTAGCTTATAACTCTAATTGCTCATTTTCTAGGAAAAGCTGCAGGCAGCTCTGATTTCCTATGAAGAAGTAATGCGATTAAGAGAAGTTCTTGAGCAAGAAGATTCAAGAGTTGATTCTAGACTGCTTAATAATTTGAGATCTGATTATATTCAGCTTAAGGTATATTTTCTTTTCATCCAATTTGTTTTTTAAGTACAAATAGTTTGTTCTTAAATATCGAAATAGAGTATAGGGGAGAAATATCCTCCCAATTTTGCCCATTTGCTAAACTGCCAGTGGGTTAACTGTCTAAAGCATAGTCTAACCAGTCCGTAATTTGATTACATATGTTTGTTTTTTTTAGAGTTTTTTAAGGCCATTGCCTGTATAATAATGTCTATTGTAGATCATCAGTGAGCTTTTTATTTCAGACACTGCTTGAAATATGCGTTGAAGAAAATGGACACTGCTCAGAATGGGCATTTAAAGCAATGGGCACAGCTAAAAATTTGTGTTAAACAAGTTGTACACAGCAAAAAATATGCCTTTTAAATGTTCAACACAATGTTCACGCAGCACACAAATGAGAAATATTGAACTTACTTTTTTAAACATTAAACTTAACCGTTACTGGAGTAAAGTCTCAAACTTCGGAATCAGAGCATCTGTTCATAAGTGGTTGGTTGGGGCTTTAGTCATCTTGTCATATTCAAAATAAACAATAAAGTGATTTTAAAATTTTTTAATTTGAACTATCGTCAATTATTTATTAATTTATAGGATCCTTGACAACCTTATTAAATGAAAAGTAGGCTTTTAATATCTTTTCAAACAAAGACCAATTAAAAAAAATATGTTTTAAGTTATTTAAGCAAATAGATGATATCACATATATTTGTTTGGATCCACTAGTTTTATTTTTATTTATTTTTTTTTTTTTTAAAGAACGATTTTCATAAGAATGATTTGAAAAATGGAATAAAATGCCAGGTCCATTTTTGTAAACATTTCTTTCAAGCTGGGTCGATTTTCTTAAATATACTTTTAAAGCTGTGCCCAGAATAAGAAATTCACCCAACGGTATATTGATTTTGTGTCCTAAACTTGGATTTGTAATCTTGAACTTAAATCTAGGTTTGTTTTAGTCTTGCTTTATATGTAACGTGTTTGACAATATATTATCTTGTTTTTAAAAAAGATTGTTTTTTCCCTTGGTATTATCTTATGTTTTACACTGTATGTGGTTATATGTTATATGTATGTTTTGCCTAGAGTTTAAAAAATATTTTTGTCTTTAAAAAAACAAATGAACAAAATTTTTTTTATTTATTTATTTATTAAATTCACAGTATCCTTTGATATATTCTGTCAATAAAGTCTATTTATAATAGCTACTGATAAGCTTAATTATTTTCATATAGTATTATTTACAGATGAATTAATATTTCAGGATAAACATTTTATGTTTATACAGTTATTCTTTTCTAAATATATTATAGGATCAGATGAAGTCTTTGCGTGAAAATCATGAAGAAGTAACAACTGAATTGAAAGCATTACAAACCATTCACAAAACCCTTAAGACTGAAAACAATGAACTGAAATTAAAGCATACAGCTTTGCAGGGAGAGCTTCTTGAATGCCAAAATGAAACATCATCACTTGATGTAGAAGTTTCAAAACTCACGAGCTGCTGTGAGGTAAAAAAAATAAATTGTATTAAGCTGAAGAATTTATTTGTTAACTTGAAATTGTCAATTAACTCTGTAAAAATCTACAAGTTCATTATTGTTTAACTTTGATATTTTTGTATGAAGTCTTTTCAAAGAATAAGCTAGTAATCACTCATTTTTAATGCATTAATATCTGATAGTAATATCCTTTGATAGTATTAAAACTCCTTTACTGAATGTGATATTTAATTGAGACTAATATGTAGAAATTTTTTTTAATAATTATCAAACAGAATCTATTCTACATAAAGAATTGGAAAAATGGTTTGTGTTTAAATATTCATTAAAATTAGAAATTGGTTGTCATAAATGATAGTTTATGTTCACAAGTTTTATATCTTTAAAATACACTCTCTCCTCTGACATATTTTAATGATTTACCAGCATTATAAATGATATCTGCAATAGATATAAATTGTATTTTATAGTTACAATAATGAATTGTATAGTCTAATAGAAGTAATGAATTATATATTTTAATGACCTTTATATATTTTAATAATGAAATATATATTTTAAGTAATTATATATTCTAATGAAATTGAAATAATGCTATTTTCTCCATAAATTTGCATGTGTTTAATGGATTTCATGTATTTGAGAATGTTATTCACAATTTCATTGCTGTAAAGCATAAAATTAATGAGTTATAAATATTTCAAAATTTCTTCTTTTTTCAATTTTCTTTTTTTTTACTTAGTAAATTTAAACTATTCACACAATTAGTGAAATCTCTCTTCTAACATATTTGAAAATTTGATTATGTTCTTAATTTAATCTATCAGAAATTTTAATTATATGTTCTGAGGAGATATATTCTACATAAATATGTGTGCTTTTCTGTGATTTTATATATTTTGAATCGTATATTACTCTGCAATTTTGTTGATATCAGACACAAAATTAGAAGAAGGGTCAGTATTTAAAAAATTTAACCTTGTCACAGTTTTTTTTACAAAGTTATAAATCTTGTGTTTAAAAGTGGAAACGAGCTATTCTAAGCTGTTTAAATGTCTATACCAGTGATTCTCAACCACTGTGCTGCGGCACTTTTGTGTGCCGCCAAATTCTTAAAAATGTGCCGCCAAATATTAGAAATGATGCAATAAAAATTATAATGATTTTTTTTATTATGAGTAAAGTTTAAAATAAAGATAAGTGTATATATACTTTTTATAATTTTCCCACGCTTTAACAGCGTGATAGCATCTTCATCGGCGATTGTATTGTCTCTAACAATCTTAAAATAAGATGGAAGTGTTTAACAGACAATTTTAAAAAATGTTGTAAGAGCTGATCATTTAAGTAAGCTATGCAATTAGTAAGAAAACTAACAAAGGATAACTAAAAAAACAAATATATAAAAAACAAATTAACAAAGGATAATTAACAAAAATTAAGCTAACAATTAATAATTAGCAAAAAACTGGTTAACAAGAAATTAAAAAAAAACAGTTAATAATTATAGAAAACAAGCTAACAATTTATAACTAGCAAAAAAATAATAACTGTTACTAACTAATAAAAAATTGGTCGAAAAGAAATAGTTAATCCCTTAATAAATGTGATTTTGTAGTGCATATTATTTTATTCCACATTCAAAATTATTATCACAAACTATTTAACACAGTGTAAAATAGGTAATTAAACAACTTTTAATCTAATTTTTTCATTGTGTGCCGTCAAATTTCGAAATCGTTAAAAGTGTGCCGCAACGAAANTTCTTTTTTTTTTTACTTAGTAAATTTAAACTATTCACACAATTAGCGAAATCTCTCTTCTAACATATTTGAAAATTTGATTATGAACTTAACTTAATCTATCAGAAATTTTAATTATATGTTCTCATGAGATATATTCTACATAAATATGCATGTTTTTCAGTGGTTTTATGTATTTTCAATTGTATATTTCTCAGCAATTTTGTTGATATCAGACACGGAATTGGAAGAAGGATCAGTATTTCAAAAATTTGAACTTGTTACAGTGTTTTTTTTTTTTTTTTTTTTTTTTTTTTTTCGAAGTTGTAAATCTTGTGTTTAAAAGTGGAAATGAGCTACTAACAAATTTAACAACCTATTAATATTGTTTTTTCTTAAAATTTTTTGTTTATTTATTTATTTTTGAAACAAAAAAGAAGATAGAAAATAATATAAATAATGTCATTGCAGTTGCTGTCTCAGAAGAATTCAATGATGGAAGAAGAGCAACAGTCACTTATGACTCATTTGTCTGTGTTGCTTAGTCAGTATCATGAACTTCTTTTTCAAGTAATTTCAGAGCAGAACCAGTTCCGTAAAGAAGAAAACAGCTTGTAAGTGAAATTGTTTACTCTTTTATGCCTTTAGTTATGTTACCTTACGTTTCAACTTTAGTTATGTTATCTTATGTTTCAACAGTAGAGAAAAACTGAGAGAATTGTGCCAACAGAAAGAAAAACTCGAGCAAAGACTAATAGATCATTCCAGTAAATTACAAAAATCTCCTAAAAGGTAAATGACTTTTCTGTTACAGATTTGTTTAAATTATTTCCTTTATAAAAATTAAAATCTAACAATTGTGTTCAATTTTAATGTAGTTTCATTAAAATTGAACACACAGTGAAAACCCTAACCGAGAATTGCCATTGCTACATATGCAGTCTGTCAAAAAATAACAAAGCCTTAAACAGTGGCTCAGTTAAGGTTTTTAACACCGTATGAAAAAATATATTTTAATTTAAAACCTATTCATTGATAAAGTAGTTTAATTAGATGTAAATAACGATGTTTTTATGCATACTTTGAAATTTATAAAAGGAAACTTAAGTTCGAAAACCTCTATCAAAAAAAAAATCTTTACCTACATCACTGATCTCAAAAAGTTATGTTTGTAAAAATTGTTTTATAGTTTGTAGACTGTGTCCAAGAAAAGAAGAAGCCTTGCAAAATTACTTCAACAAGATTAGCTCACAATAAATGAAAGTCAACTGTAAAAATATTTGTACCTACGTATGCAGCAATTATAATTTTCGAATTAAGCTAGATCTTTTAACTTCTCGAAAAATAAGATCTTTTTAAAGAGCAATTAATTGTTTTTTAGAAATTGATTTACACATTTAAGTAATCTGCCTCTTTAAATTTTTGTAATTTTTTTTGCAGGAAACCAACAAGTGGTAGCTCTTTACGAATGCGGAGGACTCGATCTGCATTTTTAAGGGTAAATAGCTTATAGTGTATTGTACATAACATGTTTTTTCATAGATGATTAGATGTGAAATAGAATTAATTGCATTTAGCGATTAAAATAGTATTTTTTTTAGTTAAGCAATGATGCAATATAGCTGGAAATATTCTTACTAGATGACAAATATATTTCTTAAATAGATGATAAATATGGTGGCAGACCTAAAAAATACTGCATTATGTGCTGAAAGTTATGAAATATTGTTTTTCATGAATGTATGTTTTATTTTAAGACTATACTTGTGTTGTTATGATTAAATAAAGTTGTTGGTTATAGTTGCAGTTGTTGTGGTAACCTGCTTATAGTTCGATCCAACTCTCTTCCTAACATCACTTGTTTCATGCTCTAAAAGAATGTTGATTGCTAAAATTTTCAAGCAAATTTTTTTAGCGAACAGTGAATGAATATTCTTTGGTTAGCTAAAGCAACTGCTACATATTTCCCCCTTGTATCAATTGAAGATATAGAGCCATTCTTGAATTGCTTGTAGAAAGAGAAATTACTATTCCCTTTCGCTGCACTTTGTATAAAAATCTGAAGATGCAAAATATATGAATTTCTATTTAATATTTTAATTGATAATTTTTTTGTGTGTGTGTTTTTAGAATGGCAAGCATAATGATCCTCTCAGTAGCCAATCAGATAATTCCACAGATTCAAGCCTATATTGTAGTCTTCGCCGACCTAATAAATCTCTTGGATGGTCTCATAAAAAAAGTATGCTCGTCTTCTACATTTAATGCTATTCTCGTATGTTTTGAACTCTTTCTAATGAAACCCATTTCATTTATAGGTAATATTTTAAACCTGGAAGATTCATGTCAGGAAGATCATATCCCTGTGAGGGATGTTGGACTAGGTGTTCAAAAGGATAGAAATTCAGAACAAGCTACAACACCTGCAGATAAGATTGACACTGTAAGTTTTTTTTTTCTTTTCGAGTAATTCTGTGTATTAATTTAGTAATTTTTATGGCTTCATTAATTTTAATTTTTTATAAACTAAAAATATTTTTTTAATTGAATAATCATAATGTTCTTTTCTTTACAAACTTACAGTTCTGTTACAAACTTACACTTTCTTACAGTTCTGTCAGCAGCAAAATTTTAACTTTATTTCTAAGTAATTGAACATCTAACTAATCGGCTTTTAACTTTTTCCAGTTTTGTGTTGTAAGAATGTTATCAGAACACTTCTATGATTCTTTTATGATTGCAAATGTTAAATTATGAAAATGTAAGATACTTTTTCTTAACTTACACTAAGGAGTTTACCTACATAAAATATCTGAATCTAGAGCAGAAACTTTTGGCAGCAGGTAGTCAGAAGTTATTTAAAGTTTAATATTCAAAACTCTGTCTATATCTCTCACTTCGAAAATGAAAGAATTCCTTGAATGAACTTAAACAATTTCAGTTTACTATCCTAGGAAGAAAAATTTATCGCTCCCTTTCCATTTGTGTTGAAAATATACTCGAATAAGAATTGTTATGCATAAATCTGTTCTGGAAATAAATGTAAATAATAATAGAAGATTTTCCCTTACACAAACATATGTAGATATAGAATAAAGACTGTATAAGGAAAAATATATTAAACCATTGACTTGATCCAAACACCAAAAGTCGTCATACCAAATATTAAAACTAATACTATTAAGTGTAAAAGAGAAACTTTAATAAAAGTTTAAAAGTAATGCATCTTTGGTTTTGCCATTTGTCGTTTTGTTAGCTATAACTAAACTGTTATAATAATTCATTTTATACTGTATTTAAATTCGAATGCAATAATGCTTTCTCTCACAGGCTGACACTGAGCTTAAGAAGGAGATTGGACAAAAGCATACGACTTTAGAAAACAACATGACATTGAATTTTGTCACAAACTTGACTAGTTCGGATATGCTGGCTTACAACTCTCCTCCAGCTTTCTCCAGAAGTGCTTCCTCTCAGCAAATCTCGCCATACAATACTTCTCGTCATCACTTTTCGCCAGATAACTCATTTCAGCCCTTGTCATACATTGCACCTTCCACTGATATACTAAGGAGCTCTTCAATTGGCAACAAACCCACACGCCCACTATCTGCTTATTGCTCTGACACTAACAGCAATATTGACACCACCGAGGCTTCCAAGATTTCTAGGACTAAAACTGAAAAAACTCAAGACCAAAATAATAGCTCTCGATCGAAGGAAAAGTCTATTGAAAATTCTGTCTGGTATGAATATGGCTGTGTCTAGTATCGTTAATGTTTCTCTGACTACCATTTGTCTTTACTTTGGATTTGGGAATAATAATTGCATCACATACTACTACCAGTATTAGTAATGGTTACATAAGAAGAAACTACTGAAGTTTATTTTTTTTTTTTTTTCAATTGACAAAAAGATTTTCACAAATTTGCTATTCTAGATTGCTCAGTGTTTTCCAGACAAGGAATTAAGGCAGGCGTGGTATTAAGTTTAAATTTTGAGCAGCATTTTATAGGAGGAAAAAAATTGTCAAAATTTAAGTCAAGGGTGCTTTAGACATAAAGACTGATTATGGTTTTGCTCTCTGTTAATAAATTTCATTGTTATCATTGTGTTAAATTTATATTCTCATAATCATTTGACAGTTAAAATGTGTTATTATCTCTGCCATGATTAACTCAATGTGTTCGAATTTTCGTTTTTATAAATCAAGACTTTTTTTCTCCTTAATATATATTCTTTTTTGAACATTTATCTTTCTATCCCCATCTTTCTTTTAATAATTTTGTTGTTCAGATTAATGAAAATTAATCATGTCTTGAAGGTGGGGTATCTTTTAATTTTTATTTTGCTGACATAAGTTTTTCTTTCTTTATAACCTATAGGTTAAAAAAAAAAATCACGATTGTAAACATTTAAATAATGTGTACCTTTAAAAATTTAACTGCTGTACCATAATGGTAAAGTTTATTTTATGTAGTTGCAGATCTTCTGCACCACTTATTATTTTTAATATAAAGCGGTGCGATCAGCAAAACTTTTTGAAGCAGTGAGGGTATGTTATTTTTTTAAAGTCTAATTGCTTTGACTTTTACATTAGGCCATTTTTAATGAGTTAACTGTCTCAGTCATAAAAAAAATTACAATTTTACCATATTCTTGATTTTATCATTATCTTTTGAAGTTTTTTTCATTATTTTTTTAAAATATATTATGTCTCATATTCCTTTTAAACATCATGAGTAATTTTTTGTTAGTAAAAAGTCTTTTAGTGGACCTCAAATGTATGTTCTTTTTGTTTGAAAAAGCTTTAAAATTTGTGAAATTTATATAATAATCAAGTGTTAATTAAATGAAACCTATTCCTGTAAAATATTCTATTTCTCTCTGTTTAGAGAAAATTAATCTTTTTTTTTTTCAAACTTAATTCTGTCCTGGTGATATATGTGCTTTTAATCAAAACTATTGCTTGTTAGTTCCTTTGTTTTTTAATTATCTTAGCTGTTAATAATACTTTTACGAAGTGATATCACTTGTTTGAACTGGTGCTATTCAGGCTGTTGGAAAGAGCTGATCTGCACAAGAAATGCTTTATCTTGCATCTAGTTTCATTTCCTGCTCATAAAAAAGTATTTAATCAAGTTTTGCACAAAAATGCATACCATTTGTTTCCTTCTTTTATTGTGTGGTATAAAGTATGTATGAAGTTCTTGCTTCTCAATAGTTTAGAAGTGTGTTATTGTATAAGATTAAAGCTGTGTAGGGAAAAGGTAGTTTGCATGCTCTGCACTTGCCACAATATCGTATTATTATAACTGAAATATTGGTGACTCAGTGTCTGCTAACATTAACTATTTTAAAACATTTTTCAAGGTAAGGGTTATTTTTATTTTTTACAACTTTTCCATAATGAATAAAATAATAAAGCCAATAATTTTAATATTTGTAGTTATTAAATATTTCATTATTATAAAATTCAATATCAATATTCACAATTTTTTTAGAATTTGTGCTTCTTAATGTAATTGAGTCCTTACTAAAAATTAACCCTATAAATGTTGTAAAAATAATATTTCAAAATGCTATATTAATGTTGATTGTCAATTTAATTACTCTCTCTAATTATATGTGTGCTTAATTATGGGATTTACATCGATAACTTCAATCGGAAATAAGGATATGTAAATTTGTTTATTCCAAATTTTCGACAATTACGTGTTGGAAAACTTTTCTTTGTTGGTGTCATTGATGTTAGATATTTAATTTTTTTATTCTTATTAATCATTTAAAAGTACAGGCATAATCTAATGAATTCTTCCTTTTTCTTTCTTACTTTGATCTCTTGAATTTAAAAATAATTTTTTTATTTAGATTCATTGAATAGTTTTTACATTTGTAACTTCCTTTTATTAATGCACGAAAAAAATCTGTTTACCTGTTTTTTAGCAAAAGATTTTACAGTTTAGCATTTGTTTTAGACTAATATCTTTCTTCAGTTTATGAAATTTTATGTGTTAATCGTTTGAAATTGGCTACGGTAATGTTTGTGTTGTTTTTAATTTAAAATTTAAGTGTATAAAATAAATTATATATTTGTATAAATGTATATTCAATCTTTATTTTTTGTTTATTTTATAATGTTGTATCAATTTAAAAATTGGTATTAAGAAAAAGCTATGATATTTTATTCCAATTAATGCCTATACATGTATTAAAAGGGAATTTTTTTTCTTCTATTTTACTGTTTGACACAGTATCTTACATTTAATAATTGGTTGAGACTCAACTGCATTTATTCTTGAAAGTTTCTTGGAAGTCTCAAACCATGCATTTTCTTGTCGACTGTGATACATTTACTTAATCTAAGTTTGTATTTCAAAATGATCTCTCTTTTTTAATTTTTCTTAAAATTGCAATTTTATTCTCATTTTATATTATTTTGTACCATTGAATTTTCCATATTTTTATAATATATTTTATTTTTAAAAAATTCAATAATACGTTTTATGGTGATTTTTTTTATCAAAAAATAATTCTTATAAGCTGCATTTAGTATTCAATAAAAAAAAAATTTGCATTAACTGTAACTGCTGTTGGTTTCAAAGAATTTTTCTTTATTTTTAGTTATTGCTTTTTATTTTAATCAAACCCCTTGAATTTTATATAATTGAATATTATTACCATTTTTGCCTTTAATTTAAAAGAAGCTCCGCCTTCTAACAACAGGATTACCATTATCCTTTAAAGATATGGTATACTAAACATCACTTGAAAGCAAGTGGTAATATAGACTTCAAATTTGCAATCAAATTTTAATTACATGAATTCATTTGCAAGAAATATTAAATCTAGTTACCTTCAGAAACTAAATTTATCTCTTCAAATTAATAAGTAAAAGTCTTATCAAATGCTCTAGCAAAAGCATATGCTTATGAGTCCAGTTTTAAAATTGAAAACTCTTTTTTGTCAAACAGGCCATTTAAATCAAATCTATTATCTTTTTATAAGAAAACATATCCTAAATTTTTATATTCTGTTTAATCAAAAAATTTGTATTGCAAACAATTTGTCTAAAAGTTTTGCATTTAGTGGGGCTCTCATGTACTAGAATTCACATGTACTTAATGAATTTATTAAGTGGTATATTCTTTAACCCTTTATAAGGATTTCCCACAAACATCATTAATTCTTATGTTTAGTTAAGAAGCTATTTTCACAATTTGTGAGGCCATCTTCTGATAACTTTAGTAATTACAAAAGAAATAATAATAATACAAACGAAGTTTACATGAATGCGAGTTACAGTAAAGGTTCTTGTGAGGTCAAGAAGAAAGGATACCACTGGTGAGCTATTTTCTCTGGTTGCTTTGTGTTCGCTTTTTTTTTTATATAATTTCTCATTGAATTTATTATTAAACACAGTTCATACAGTTATTTATAATCACAGAAGTTCAAATTAATGACCAACTCTTACAGTAAGAAAAAATTTAAAAAAAAAAAAAAATCCACTTTGCCAATAAAAGAGAAAAATTGTTTTTGAAATCAAATTGATTTTAGGTAATAAGCTAAATGAATTTATTTTTTAAATCGATCTCAATCCCAAAAATATTNAAAAAAAACATCCACTTTACCCCCAAAAGAGAAAAATTGTTTTTGAAATCAAATTGATTTTAGGTAATAAGCTAAATGAATTTATTTTTTAAATCAATCTCAATCCCAAAAATATTTAACATGTATTATTTGGGGATGGATGTCTTTACAAAGGGTTAAACTAAGTAAACAAAAAAAAAAATTTATAGATGTAATAGTAGAATCTTGATGATGTTAAAGCAAAATCATTGAATATGTGTAATTCTTTATTAATTAAGTATTTACTGAATGTAGTTTATTTAATGAAGTACTTTTCTTTCTATACATGATATATTTAAAATCTTCCCATGGATGAAATTAATGTATGTTAAAGATTGTTAAGAAAAATGCATTTAATATTTATACAATTCAATGTTGAATATCTGCATGCAAGTTTATTGAAACTTTTACTCCTTTTGTATTGATTTCATTTATGTTTTCAATTTCATTTAGTGCATTGACAAATATTTTTTTTTTAAAAATGTGATAAATTTATTATTTTTTAGTTCCTGTTTTATGTGAAGTTTATACTTGCTTTTAATTACTTTGTCTTTCAGGAAAAAAAATCAAATTATATTTGAAATTTTCTTAAAGTATGCTAGTGAAATGCAATATGCTATTATTAAATGCTGTTATAAGATTAATGGTTTGTAATATATAAATATGTAGATGGTATTGTAGAAATCTTTCATCTCGCTTGATTATTATATATGTAGACTGAAAATTGTGTACTATAGACTATATATAGAGAAATGTTTTCATGTATTTATTTTAACAATAAGTTTTTATTTGTCTTTTGAATTTATGAGCACTTCTGATTAATAATTAATAAAATATATTGACTGTGTTCAAAACACTCAGGTAGCTAGTAATAAAATAGATCAGATATATTTGTGTTACTTTATTGTAAAACTAATCTTTTACATAATATTAACTACAGAGTCATTTACTTTCTATGATTCAAATTAATGGAGCAACTAGCTCAAAAAATAGTTATGTATTTTAATCTGATTTTTTGCATTTACTGCATAGCTGAATTTTTAAGAGTTATTAAATTAAATTGAAAGTTGTGAAAATTAATTTTACTAGTTTTTTTAGGAGACATCTCATTTTTATTTCTACTTATTTTTCAACCTTAAAAAGTAATGCTGAAACAAAATTTATATGTCCTACTAGGCATTGTACCCAAATGAAAATTTTACATGTCCAAACATCTTTATTGAAAGGGTATTAATAAAAAGAGAAATGTAACGATTCATTTAAAGAAACTTATTACGGCATACTTCTCTTCCTTTCTATTTAGGCAAAATAAATTTGAAATTAAAAAGATTGAATAGGAATGTTTTTTAAAACAAAGTTCACATATAGGAAAATGATCTGCTTTGGCGGTATTAAATTTCATCAAAGTTTCAAAGCAGCTATGAAGTTACAGTTATTAAAACAATATCACTCCCCTTTTTGCTGTCTCATTTCAACTTTCATATTTATTATTTTTTAATGTACACTAAACGAATCTCGTTTCTTGAGGTGGTTCACTGTTGGTTCTCAATATTAGAATATTGTAAGGAAGATGACTGGCACTGATGGTTAACAGTATTCACTGTTGTAATCAAATAGTTTAAATTGCTATGAATTTTTTTATTTATTTATTATTTGATGATGAGCGGCATCTGTTGATTTTTTACCGGTCAAGGTTTCTCTTTACATAACAGGTAGAAATATTTTTTTAGTAGAAATAAGCATGAGTGGTGATAAAAAAAAAGAATAAGCTTTATTTTTAAATTATTTGTGATCAAAATTGGCAAAAATACTTGATTGCTATTTTAGTATATTTCTAATTATCCTAATTTTTACTTGTAAGATATAATATTTTTTAGTTCAACTTAAAAGGCTATTTAAATTTATGAGAACAAATTTTGAGAGACCCCTTAAAAAATTCTCCTAGTAGGCATGATTTCTCAAAAGAATCATATTGAAATTTTACTTTGCTTTCATTTAAAATTTACTTGTTAGAATCTGGAATAATTGTATGTGAAAAAATATATAATTTATGGTAAAATTTAGACCTTATATTTTTATGTAAAATAAGTTGCAATCTAATGAAAAAACATTTGTTCAAACATTATTCATCTAGAAGAAATGTGCAAGATTTCAATAGAATGCTGCGTTGGTTTTTGAGAAATAGTACAGTTCTGAGTAAAATCTATTTTTGTTCACAGCAATCCACCTTATGGGAAGTGTCCCCAAGAGTTTTAATTCTAATTAATTTAACCCTTTGAGAAAATACTTTTTACATTGTTTAACTATTTACAGAAAAAAACATGTAATTTCTTCAGTTTTGTTATGCTTCAATAATGTAATTTATAAAGCTCTCTAAGGTACCTTGGGGCCATAAAGCTTGTATTTTTATTTCAAGACAATAAACCTCCAGAGTTTTGCAATAGCACAGTGGTTAAGACACTGGACTGTCATTGTGGAGGATTTGGGTTTTATCCCTGGTGGTGGCTTGAAGACCATTATAGTCTGTCAATGAACTCCCCTCACTGTTTCATACCTGCAAACTTTTAATCCCTTCCATTATAATTTTTCCCAGTGGTAGCAAAATGGAATTAAAATTTCAATTGTAAGCAAAAAAAGACATTGTATTTGAAAAAGCTTTAGGTGACAACCATGATAGTAATACATATTAATATATATGCTTAATTTTTATAAGAATAATGGCAAACAAAATCATTTTAAAATTAATCTTATAAAAGAAAAAATAGTATATATTTACTACCACTTTAAATATAAAAATAACATTTTGCGTAAAAGTTGGCAGGTATGCTGTTTGTCTGGAACGATGACGGTGACTAAGGTTACGAGGTTTAACCATTTCAAGTACATACAGATGTTCGGTGTATATTAAAGACAGGGCTTTTGGGGAGATAGGTTTCCCTCTTTGAAATGCACTATTTCTTGTTACCATTGCAACAAATGGCCTTAGACTTTGAAGCAAGGGGAGTTCTTTATATAGACAAACTATAGCTTTATGTAGGTACCACCCTTTCTGGAGAGTAAGACATCCAATGTGTAATGCTGACCACATCTCACAGTTGGTTAACCTTTTTCTTCTTGCTCCCGTGAAAATGACAGGTTGAGGTTTCGCCCTCTATTTCACGCTCCCTTGATATTTCCTGGCTGGAGTGTTTAGTAGTAACGCGCCAATAAGAAAAAAACTAATTCATTTCTTTTGCCCGTAAACCATTTTATTTCTCATATTACACACCAAATGGCAGTACCAGGATATTTTTAAGGTAATTGTAGATAGTTAGTTTGTTTTAAGCTAGAAGTCAGCACTAATCAAATACGTGTATAAAAAAATAGGCACTTTTATGACCGTTTTCTTGAAAATTAACCGATAGTTAAGAGGTTAACAAATTACGAAATATTGACCTCTATGACATTTCGAAACCTAACAGGCGATTGTAGTAATGCTTTACTTTTTTTAAAACCCCTTGGGAACCATATGTTAAGAACTCCTGCTAGAAAAATTGAAATTTAGCAATGTTGAGATCTTAAAAAAAGTAACAAAATATGCTGCTTAATTAATTTTTATTTACAAGATTCAATATAATTTGTTTGCCTAGAAATATTTCCAATAATAGACAGTGTAGCTAAGGCATATCACAGGGAGTGAATCACTTAATGCTTAGGAATACTATATTAGGTGTCTACTATCTCTACAAAAGCTCTATAAATCAACTTCTTAATGTAAATAAGAAAATATGCAACATAAATTATTGATACTATCTCTACAAAACTAATCATTATTTGACAAATCAATTTATAGTTTTAAATACATTTGGATGTGGTTTTTCAACATCTGAATCAAATGCCTTCATAGCATATAATAAATCGATATTGAATTTTGAAATATAAAAACATTGCAGAAAAGAAAACCTTAATGCAAATAAGTATAAATTGTACAAGAAACTGGAATGACAAAATAGATTTTTAAAATTTGGATTGTTTTAAAAATATTTATATTTTTAAATTATAATCAGCATTTAGTTTACAAATTTTATATTCTAACATAAGAGAGTATAAAAAAAATGAACTTGAATAAAACATATCAATTCTATTTTTAAAGTAAATTTCTAAAATACAAAAAGTATGTTTAATAAAAAATACTTAAGTAAAATGTATACTTAAGGTAGAGCCACAATACATTTATAGATGTGTAACTTAAATGTTATTTTTAAAAAATCTAAATTGAAATTATTTACAATATATAGTGCTCGTTATATTTCATATCAATTATTTACAAAATATACAAGTTAAACTTTTAAAACTTCATTTTGAACTAATGTTTCTAAAAACATATTTCATAAAATGGGTTAAAATTTTTCTAACCACAAACATGTTCAGAGGTTCAAAAATGTTTACAATGTTTAATTTCAAACAATTAATACAAAAATGACTTACAAATTGTTACAACAGACTTCAGAGCAATAGTCAATACAAATGAAGAAAAAAGATAATTATTACACAAGCTTAAAAACATACTTGGTTAAAAATACGTATTAGTTTCTATGAATCTTTTTATCTAAGTGGGCAGTATACAGAGGAGTTCTCCCTAGGAATAAAAAAGGGCATGGCGCTTCCTCACAGAAAAGGGCACTTTGAATTTTGAAGGGGCACTCATTTAAAGCTGTAAAACTTAAACAAATTGTGAAATATTATGTTATAACTGAATTTGATCCTCAACAATTTCTAAATTACCCTTTGATACTATTTTATGCAAAAAGTAATTATTACACTTTATCAAAACAAGAGAAAAATTTTTAGTTTATAAAAAAATAATTAAAGGTATGCTGAGACAATCTCTGAGCATAAACTTTCTTCAAAGAAAAGTAAACTAAAAAAATGATTTATTGATAAACAACTTGAAAACTTTTTTCTATAATTTAAACTGAAAAATAGAACATTTAAAGGTGTATTTTTCAAGAAAAGTATTTACTTAAAAAATAATTTTATAATTTAAAATCACTAAAAAATTTTATTAATATACCCCCCTGTAAAAAAGATAAACCAATTGGGAATAATCCTAACAAAGAAACTATATGCAATAGTAATCAGAATTAAACCTATAAACACAGATAATTTTACCAGTCAGTAATTATTATTTAAACAGTGAGTTATTTATCATTATTTTTTATATGGAATGTAAAAAGACAGTATTTTTTAGGGATGGCAGTTCATTTTTACAAAGAGGGAGCTTATATAGGGTGGGCCATTAGTCTAAAAACGGTTGGGAGAACACTGCAGTATATATGAGTAGAATAAAACAATCTAAGTCAATTAAAACTAGGAATTTTTAACCCTCTGAGCGTTTGATTTTAAAAAAATTACACAATTTCATTTAATTACTTTTTTACATGGAAATCCAGTTTTTTTTTTTTTTTTTTTTTTTTTTTTTTTTTTTTTTTTTTTTTTTNTTTTTTTGTATTTTCAACCAGGGTTACTTTGTCCTCTGAGCTTATCCCACTCAGTTTCTTAAGAATCTCATTGTGTCAAAACGTCTAGCATACCATATATATGGACTCAAATTAACAAATTGGATCCGGACATCTTTCCTTGTGACTCAACCAGTTCTAAAGAAGAGAGAACAATGGAAAGCGAACAAAACATCATAATTTTAGAAAGACTCATGAAAGTGCAGCAGCAGCAGCATATTTTATAAGGAAACTTTTATGGGGGGAAAAGAAACTTTGAAGCATTATTGGACAATAAGTCTAAAAACACGTTAAAATGTTGACTTCGAAGTTTCGGATCAGGAACTGGAGACAGAAAGGGATGTCTTTCACTTTAATATATAAAAAAAAAATGATTTATCCATTATTTGCTGACTGACATTGCTATGAAAGCCCCATCTCCAAAGAAACGACACGGCAAATTTATTTTGCAAAACAGGTTTCTTAAATTTTGAAAATTCACATTTTGTGGATATATGTTACCTTTTTTTTTCATTTTTGATAGTTAAATTATGTACCAGAACTTTATAATGAGAATTTAACAATTTAAGGAATACCCTGAATTAATGTAATTGATAAAAATAATTAATAACGAAAATATTTTACCATTTATTTCTAAACCCATTTTACTCCTGACAAACGTTACAATGCCTAGAAGTAATTTTAGATGTAGTTTTTAATAAATAAAAAAAAGGTGGGCAAATTTACCTCTGTTTGGTTAACTTTACCCACCAGGTTTTTGAATTTTTACTGAAAGAAAAAAGCAATGAAAATGCAATATTTAAAAACTTTTAATTAATTCTATAAGCCAACCCTATGCTTAGAAACTATTTTAATCCCCCTTAAACCAGATACTCTACCTCTCGATCGTCTGATAAACTAAACATAAGATTTTTTTTTTTAAAAAAATAGGTAGTTCTATTTCTAGGTAGCACACAATAGGTTTTAAAAACAGTATCTCGGAAGCTTTAAAAGTTTGACAACAACTGCTAATTAGAAGTATATAGAATTTTCACTAGAAATTTAAAATTGAGCAAAGTAATCCTGATTGAATGTATTATTAAATGGAAAACTGATGTATAGACATATTTTCTGATTAACTTTCTCAGCTACATACACTCAGAAAGTTAAATAAATGTTAACACAAAATGATCCAAAAAAATAATCATAAATGAAGTGTGAAATAAGTTTTTATACAAATGAAAAAATAAATTTGTACTTTACTATTATGCACACGTATTATAGCATCAAGTTAGTAAAGAAAAAAAATGGAATGACTAGAGAAAAATATGAATTTTTAAAAAAAAAACTATCCCCCTTACCTATTTTGGATAACAAAATATCTTTAGGAAAAAAATTGAATTAAGAGAATGCGAAAGATGTATTTACAAAATAAATAAAAATATTCATACAGTCAGAGACTTGTAAATTATAGAAAATCAAACTGCTTTTTTCAAGTAAAATATATGAAATCCCATAACAATATGGAAAAATTTATGAAAATTAAAATAGTTATGTATGAAAAAAAATTCACGATTATTCTTTTTTTAAAAAAATATAAAACAGAATATTTACATTTACAGAGAAATCCTGAATCATTTTAACAAGAATTTAATACAAAACTATTGATACAAACAACATACGAGTACAAGCACCCTTTAAAAAAAATGAAGAATATTAAAAAATAAGTTGAAAGTATTAAAGCTCAAATTACTTTAAACTATTTTAATCAATTGGCAATCAGATTTCCACAATAAGAAAGATTTACCTTAGATCCACAAATAATTGGAAGAAAGAAATTTCAACTAATGCAAATTTTGTTTTTAATAAAAAAATTTGGTAGAACTAAGAAAGCGAAGAAAAAAAATTTAATCTAATATCTTTTAATCTTTTTTCAATCTTAATTAATCTTTTTTTAATCTAATATCCAAAAAATATTTTCTTGTATTGTCACTAATAACGTTTAATTTTACAATTGTTAGTGTAAACACAAACCTAAACATTCAAAATCTAAATGCCATAATAAAGAAAATTCACTTTTGTACTTAAAATTAAGTACTTAGAAAAGGAAATAGAACGAATAATGGCAGAAAGTAATGATAAAAAATAATAATATTAACGTGTAAATAAATATGGCTAGAATAAAGGCAAAGTTGAATTAATCATAGAATTGGTGTGAGATAAAAAGAATCCGGAATTTGCAAACTTTATGAATAAATAAAAAAAATCTGATTTAACTACTTTAAGTTCTTTCTGCACTAAATAAAAATTTTGTGTATTTTTCACAAAATGTTACCATAACTTTTTCTTTTTAGTGCTAACTAGAAAATTATTGAAATTTTTCTCATAAATTTGGAAAAATCTATCTATTGTATTGATTTCAGTACATAGAAGAAGTTTTCCATGTACGTAAGGAACCGATTATCCGGAACGGTCGGGACCATCGCTATTCCGGATAACTGATTTTTCCGGTTTTCTGAATCGCTACAACTTTAAAAATAAAAATTTGGAAATAATCTTAAAAATAAGAAAAAACGATGAAGTAATACACTAATGATTATTTCGAAAATGATGGTAAGGTAAACATCTTTAAAAAAAGAAAGAAAAATCGTAAAATCTTATGAGGAAGGGAAAAAAAATTTAAAAATGGCAAGAAAATTAATCGAATTTCGTTCCGGTTTTTTGGTTTTCCGGTTGTCTGATTTCCGGATAACGGGTTCTGTACTGTAGTACTGAATGCTAAAATAAAATATTTTAACGTCACAAATCATTTTATAAAACAAGTTAGTGCATTTTGGTGGTACAAAGAACATATTTTCTGAGAACAATAGCAATGAAAAAAAACTTTAACAAAGGATAATTTGTTTTTAATTCCTCTAAATATTGGTTGATTTACTGCATTAAATTTAAATTAGTGCTTAGGTACTTGCATTAGCATTTATTCATATTTTTTGGGAATATGAGAGTGACAATTTAATAACTTCTCCATACAATAAGTAAATTAATCTTATTTCAAAAAGATAATGTTTTAAAGAAATTTTTTTTTATAGAATTAAATAGCAAATATAAGTTATATTAATCTAAATAGTAAAGTTAAAATAAAAGTTAATTTAATAATAGTAATAGTAAATATAATAGTAAAATAAAAGTTAATTTAATCTAAATAGTAATTGAACATAAAATAAATTCATTAATTTAGCTTTATTTTTATTTGGCTACATACCTTTGAAATACATAAAATATCAAACAAAATCTACTGAATAAAAAAAAGTTTTGAAAACAAAGAAAGAGGACTTTAAAAATGTGTTTAAGTATTTTAAACATCATTAAAAATAAGCAACACAGATAAGAACTAACATCAATGCTGAAATGTGACTATATATGCATGCATTTTGATATGTTTAACTGTTATTGCTTACACTTTGTGGCTCTAATCTTTGCTGTGTTAAACTCATAAGAATGCAAAACTGAATAAAAATTATACTTTTGCAACAAAATATTGTATAAGATTGTCAAACGATTTATCACACACAAACAGGTTCCAATTTAACATGTAAGAATGTCAAAATATTTTCAGCAAACAAATTGTTTAAAAAATAATAAAATTTAGATTTTACTGAATTTTGAAGAAAAAAATTAAAGTTTAAAAACTTTCGAGTAAAGTAGGGAAATGAAAGTAAGTTATGTTGATAATATAACATTCATATGAGAATTAATAATAATAATACAAATAAAACACACACATTAAACTTCTTGAATAAGCAAACCTAAATATTAATTCAAATCATATATTTTCACACAAAATATGATTATTATCTTCAATAAGAAAAACATTAAAATATAAGAATATTATTTTATTTAAACCTGGAAAATTTGAGTTCAATACAATATCACCTACCTCTATCAGTAAGTTTCCATTCGACACGTCAAGTGCCGTGTCAGTTAGTAGCAAGCCTCACACTAATTTACTCCAATATGAGCACTTTTAAGGATGGCCTGATTGGGATTTCCTTAAAAATATGCACGACACTTGACATGCTAATGATAAGAAGCTATTAAGTAAAAAATCATTGTTTTCGTGATAATTGCATTTCATCAAATGAATTATAGATATAAACTTAGCAGAATTAATACAAAAAAATACTTTTTCAGAAAATAATACATCATGTAGCAAGTAAATAGCACAAAAAGTAAAAGAGAATAAACAGAAAAGTGTATATAAATAAATAGTTGAAAATAGAAAAGTTACGGAGTATATTATTTAAATTATACATAAAAAAATCTATGAATATAAAGAATGATAAATACTTCACAATGCAAAAATAAAACATTTTAATTAAATTACATAAAAAAAAATTGTAAAAGGAGAATGTTTGCAAAGTAACAAGTGCTTCATAACTTTCGAGACTAGGCAATCAAAAATTTAAAAAAAAAAAATTAAAAAAAAACATTAAAAGAAAAAATATAACCAATCCTTAGATGAAAGACAATTTTTTTGGAATGACTAAAATTAAGAATGCAAAACAAATGAATAAACAAATACTTTAAGAGTTTAATAATGAAACGAAAAGAAACACAAAATAAAACTCACTAATGAGTAAATTAACAATTACTGATGCATGGACAGATTTCAAGTACAACTCATTTATAAGAAAGCAAAATTAACCTAAATCAATAAAATGGAATAAAAATAATAAATAGCTATTTAAACTTCCTTTCATAATAACTAATTCAAATGAAAAGACGGGAAAGAATTGAAGCATTCACTGATAATAAAAAATATGAACGTAAAAATATATAATTTACACATTGTTTATTTTTGTGACAAAAAGTTTTTCATGTTAGCAACCAGTAGATACTTTAGCTAAACAATTATAAAACATTTTAGTTTTACAAACATACATAGTAAAATTAAATTTAAAAAAAGTTTGTTATGCTTTAAGTATTTATGATAGAAGAATGAATCTTTATAAATACGATTAAAAACAGTTAAAAAATGAAAGTACCGCTAAAAATAAGCATCATTTTAAAATGTATAGTGAGGAATTGCTTTAAAACTAAATAATAAATTAAGTAAATATTTAAAGCTTTAACCCCTCCAGAACTGTGATTACATGATTCTCCCTTCACACCCCCATGGAGTCATAAATAAATGAAACCTTTCTGACTATAGAGGTCCAAGATCACAAGGATGTGAGCTAAATACGATACTCTCATATTACATCTTGTATTAGCATCTATACAGATTTTTAGAGCGTGTGGAGTATGTGGGCCTGGGACATGATGTCATAAATAAAAGAAACCTTTCTGACTATAGTACCCCAAAGATCACAAGGATGTGAACTAAATACGGTACTCTCATGTTACATCTTTTATTAAGTATCTAAACATATTTTTAAAGCGAGTGGAGTAGGTGGGTCTGGGGCATGATGTCATAAATAAAAGAAACCTTTCTGACCATAGTACCCCAAAGATCACAAGGATGTGAGCTAAATATGGTACTCTCTAGTACCTATGCATATAATTGAAGTTTGTATACCCTGGGAGTATGTGGTCCTGAGAAAGCATTCTTTCTCAAACTATTGGTCCTGAAGGAGTAAATAAAACTCGCAAATGGTGTTATATTTACTTGCTTTTTACAAATGTTTGAATTAGATTTGAACAGGACATGATTATCGTAGGAGAAAGCAAACTAAAATTTTAGAATACCAAAACATTAATATTTCCCTTCAAAGCATGTGCAAGTGCAAAAAAGGGCTTCCCACATGCATTTTGGTCATGCCCTACACTTTTAGGTTGGTCATGTATTCAAATGAATAGAATAACTACAAAGCTATTCAAATGTGACCTATGTCAAAAAGCAAAGTTATTTTTTAAAAGCAAACACTACTATCTAATGTAAAAATTTCAACGATAAATAGGAAATATATTAAGGGAAAGTTTTAATATACAAGTGTGACAATTATGTTTCACATTAGGAAAATATAGAAGTTTATTAGACAAGTGGACAAAGTATCAAAGTTGGAAAATATGTTTTTCATTTGTAAATAATGAATGTTTTCATTCATAAATAAAGAATGTTTCAGCCATAGATGATTTTCGAGTGAACATAAATATAAAAAGAAATATTCATCGAATGGATATTACAAAATTTGATGAAAATTTACAAAAAATGAGGGAGGTAAATAGGAGAATACTTTGAATATTTTTTAAAACAATGTGTATACTAAGTCAAAACTTCATATATTGAAGTTTTATACGACTACAATACATAAGGAAAACATTAAACAATAAAAAAACTAGAGAATTATTGCACATTTTAAAAATAAATTAACACAAATAATACTTATAAACACTTATTTAAAAAAAAAAAATGGGCAGAAATACTTATTTAGCTACGTTATTTTCACTTTTCTAAAATAAGACATGCAAAATAAAAATCTTGCACTTTTTTGCTATGTAAAAATTCCTCTTATATATTGCTAATTTCTTTTTTAACAATTATAGCCTCGTAATTTCTATACAAATATAACTCCAATATATTTCTAACAAATTATACAACATCCGATCACAATTCGATGATTCGAGTAGCACAGTTCTTTCTTTTCAGCTTTACTTTCTCGTAATCTTCAGAATTAGGCGAAATAGGGTTGCTGCGTGGGTGTCCTGGGCGTAAGTTCATTCCGAAATTCTGCACCCCTTTCGCTATTCTAGACAGTGGTGACAGCACCAAATCTTTTTTTATTGCAATAGGAGACAGAGTGTTGGACAGATTGAGGGAGGACAGGGAGAAGTCTTGAATAGCACTTTCACTGTGTGATGTCTTCATTTTAGCATTCAGTCCTTCGGTATCTAACATTACTTCTTCCTGTACCAAAAGGTGGGACACTTCGTGAGAAGTGGCGACAGTGCAAGGCCGATACTCCAGATCCTCCGAAGACTTGGACAACTTACGAGACACCGCTACTTTACCAGATCCGCAATAAATTTCATCTGGTTTGGTGTAAGCAGCAAGGTTACTTTCAGTACTTATATGTATTTGGGGCATAGATGCTAAAGAAAGGTTCTGTTTGGAGCTTACCAGCTTCTGCGCTGACATTCTTTTACTTTGACGTTGGGACGCCCTTTTCATGGCATCCAATACAAAATCATCCACTTCAGTGTTATATCTTCTTTGACTAAACTGGCTGTTGTCTTCGAGAAAGACAAAATTGTCACTCTGTGGTCCATTTAGGCCAGAGCTATAAGTGGCTAAAATCCCGCAACTTTCGAGCATTGTGTCGTGTTTACTGTCATTAGCACCGTTATCTAGGCATTCAGTGGACAACATCAGTTCCTGTTCGTCGACATCACTGAATTCTGAATAATCGGAGCTCAGAGTACGATCACTTATGTGCCCATGAAATCCAGCTGGTGTATAGATTTTGTGATGAAGTGCAGAATCTTCTTCTGATTCAGATGAACTATCCATGCTATAGCGTTGACTCTATTTAAAAAAAAAATAAAGTTTAAAAAAAGGTACAGCCAACATTAACTGAAGCATAATTTTAAAAAATGCTCAATTCACTTTTTAATTGTAACTGATATTGTAAAAGATATCGCCAGAATGACACTAACTGGTTTAATAACAGTTTTTTTTCCTTCAAGTTTATAACCCAGTAACAATAACTCCTATGGAATAGAATAAATAACCTATTTCTAACAATGTTTTTGTAATAAAAATAGTGATATTAAAATCTGCACTTTACATGATCTTCCAAAGGTAATGGAGCTATGAGTTGAGGTGGAGCAGCAATTTCATGGTATTTCAATACAAAAATTATGTGTATCATTATGATTTATTACCCTAAATAATTTTATAATTTTAAGAATTCCACAATACTGTAACAACTCCTGCATAATGAGATTTGGCCACAACCGCTAACAATACTACTGACTCCATCAGCATAAAATGAACAACTTATTAATAAAAATGTGGCTACCTCCCTCCTCAAATTTTGAGGGTCAAGAATCCAAACTCATAAAAAGGGTACGTTTTTTCATTTTTCAGGGAAGGTAAATTTTGCTTTTGGTTTCATAACTTAAAATATCCACTGAGCGAATTTGTTAGCATATATTTAAAGTAAAGTTCTCAAGATTAAGATCTATTAATGTAAAAATATGATCATTAGATGTAAAGTTATTAAAAGTGTTAGTTTTCTTTTGTGCAATGTACAATTTGCACTTCTCTGAACTATGTAGTAGAAGTTTACTTTTGTACTCAAAGCATTACCCATAGATAATTTATTACTTAAGCAATAAAAAAAGAAAAATCTATACTAAATATATAACTGATATACAATGTAACCTGAAAAATCAAGAATCAGGTTTGTAAAATCCAGATTAGAAAACTTTTTGGATTTTAGATAGTTTAATTAACCTGAATCTCAATAAGATGCCAAAGTTACGATGTTATCATGCAGGTAAGTTGGATCACCTTTCCAATTCTAGAGCTGCAAGTCTACGAAAAAAATACTGAAGTTTTCTCGTTTCCCATAATGATTGGGAAGAGCAATGTAGATGAAAGAATTTTTCTTTGCCCACCTTCCCTTTTGTGATAACTGGAGATTAGAATTTCTACATCTAACTACAACTTTCCAGTTTTAAATTAATTCAGTTAATTTCTTCTCGTTGTGAAACAAAAAAAAAGAATCAAATTTATAGAAGTTACTGAATTTCAGATGTTTGGGTTTTAAAATAGCATTGAGATTATAATACTGTACGAAGTCCCATATCCCTCTTTTTTAACAATCAAAATACACTAAACTCTTTTCTCTTTTCAGATTTCTTTTTCTTTTTTTTTACACTTGCGATTTTTTTTTTAAAAAAGTGCAGGTGATGAGAATCCTCCGCTTTTCCCTAATTTCTACTTTTTTATGATTTTTACCAGATTTCCGATTTTTATTTGATTTTAATCCAAATTCTGCTACAATATGAAAAATAATTGGATATCATGTTACAAAATATGGCATTTCACTACAGCTCGAAAAAATCGCTTATTTTTTCTCACATATCGCATAAAAGGATCATCACCACCAAGAATCAGATTTGAGAAGAAATCATCAAGACTGAAGCGGGTCATTAAGTGATTATTCAAAAGAGCTATATGAATTCGGGGATTGTAATACGCAATATTATATTAAAAATGTGAAACCGAAATTTCAAAAACTACAGGTAAATCCCAAACTGTTGAAAATGCAACCGATAAAACACCATAGGCAACAAAAAGTAAATCTACAAACACGCGAGTTAAAATTTCCCCCTGCATTAGCGGTATGTTAGAATGGCATATTAAAATATCGAAATTTTAAAAACCATGCACAAATTTGTAACAAAAGCTGCAAAATTAGCGCAACTACACAAACCACATGGATTTATTAGTTGATTGAAATTGGCAGTAATTATTGTATATTTGTTATTTTTTTTATTGAAGAAGGATGTTTTGATGTTTGTTTACTTTAACAACCTATTATCCGGAAAAATCTACAGCAGAGCGCCAATTATCCGAACTGCTCGGGACCGAACGTGGTTCTGATAATGAAAAGTTCGGATAATTGGAAAGTTGTTTAAAATCTAGTTTAAATTATTAATATTTATGCACTAACTTCCCTTCGCACCTTTTCCAGACTTAGGATTGGTAGTACTAACTAAAATAGCTCTGGCGTGTTTAAATTTTTTTTTTTCAATTTTTAAATATTTTTTTTTAAACTTTTTTTTTCATTTTGAACTTTTTTTAAAATCATATTTCAGTTTTTTATAATTATTTTGTCAATTACTGATTTTACCGCATTTTTCTTTATTTTCTTTCACATTCCAACCATTGTAGACTGTCAAAATGAAGCTCCCATTCTTGGAAGATAATTTTCAGTTGAAGAGGGCTAAAGGGGTATGTAGGTTTAACTGTATAACAATACATGTATGTATGGTTACTATAAGAAAGCTGCAAAAAAAGGTTGTAAATTAAATATGGTATTCAGATGTAGTGGACATTATTTTTCCTTCTAAGCTTAGAAAAATTTTCTATAAGTTAAATAGTATTCAAAACTTAAAAACAAAAAAATGAATTCTGACATATTTCGGATAATTGGACGTTCGGATAATAAGGGTTTGGCTAATCGGCGCTCTACTGTATTTTCCAAACTTGCCGATGATTCCGGATATGGGATTTTCCACTGTATAATAATAAACAAAAAGGTACTTACTATAGAAGCACTAGTCTCATCAACAGAAGCTAAATTAGGAGCTGCACATGATGCAAAACCATTTGTAGATTTTTTCCCTAAAGCTTTTACAGTTTTAATAGGATTTAGCTTTGCAAAGTGTGAGGTAACATTACTTAAAGCTCTGGATCCAACATTTTTCAATGAATTTAATTGACCTTCTGATATATTACGAGGCATTGAGGAAAATGATGGGAGTTCTAAGTGAAAACCATGGTTGGCATTATGTCCATGATGATTGCGATTGCTCCTGAAAACTCCAGCACGAACTCCGGCCTGTGATAGTGGCATTTTGCTTTTGCGACGCTCCAATTTCCCCTCAAATATGGGAACATTTACTTCTTTCACGCACAAAGCAACTTTAAATGTTTCACAAATAGCTTTTAAAGATTCTGTAATAAAAATAATAAAATATTAACAGTTAAGAAAATATGATAAATACTTCGGTGAAAAAATTACTAATTATAACAAACTAAAAAAATTAGAAGCTTCTTCTAAAATCCTATAATATATTAAAATTATTATATTATTAAGTATATATTGTACTTAATAATACTTTATTATTAAATACAATCAAGAATGCACTATTTCCACTTTCATTTTAGCCGTTAACTTCCAGTCATGGGAAAATTTAATTCTCCTCCTTCAAAATAAAGTTTATTTAATTATAATCAAGTCCAAACAAGTAGATATTTTAACACAATTTTAAAAATAGCTTAACTAAATTTTGTTACTATAAAATATAAAGAAGTAATAAAAATGCAATAAAGAAAAATAAGCTAAATTACTTCATTAATGCGAAAAAAAATCCAATTAAAAATAAAGTTATAGAAGTAAATAACATTTCAGAAATTAAATTTTTCTAAGCAGTAGCAAAAAGTAACATGAATGAAGAAACGAATAAAATACAACAAACAAAAGAAACTAACACACTTGATATACTGCAAATCTCACTGGTTTAAAGAGTAACAACTGAGTATATAAAAAGAGAGAAAAAAATTTTTAAAGAATAATAAATAAATTTTTTTAAATAATGAGAAATGTATATAACTTTATATTAATATGTAAAAAAATAAAAGTTCCTTCCTTCTTCAGTGGTGCAACAGCTCAGGATGGGCTCTAGATTTCTTCAGAATTTGATGTCAGGTGACTCAATCTATGTCTTTATTTTTTCATTCAGTTATTTTAATATGTTTTTAGATCACCACTGAGATAGTCTAATCATTTATGTTTGAACTGCTCTCTTTTTTCGAGTGCCAGTAGGTTTGACAGTAAAAAATTTTGGTGGTTTTAGTGTTATGAGCACTAATCAGATAAAACTTAATGTCTAGATTTGTGTAAGAGCATTAAAATTCTATGTTTGTTTTTATTTTTCAAATACTATTTAATTGAACACCCCCCAAAAATTCTTCTTAAAATTTTTCTCTCAAAAATTTATGTTGATAAAAAAAGATCTTCATAATAACTCACATTTAAAAATAAATATACATGATAAAAATTTATATTCAAAAAATTTCTGACCATTATCATTGACATTTCAATTTTTCAGTTAAGAGGCATTGTTCCTACAGACCAAATTCAATTGTCAAAGAGGATATTAATTAGAGGAGGGATTTTGGAATATTGCTTTTAATTATTTTTTTATTTAATTTTCCGAAATGAACTTATCTAGATAATTACTCAGCAGTATCTTTTGAAAAATGTAAAATATAGCTGGTGTTATTCTAGTGCTTTAAAAAGAATTTTCTGATAAAATCTACCTATAAAATTCTACAATCAGCATTTTTGAAATGGTAGTCAAGAGTTACACATTTGTCTGCTTATAGATTTCTGGTAAATACCTTAATTTTTGCATAATTTACAATAAGAAGATTTTTTAGCATCACCCAAATTAGTTTTTATTAGTTTAAACAATTATCAATTTAACAAAACTAAAAACAAACAAATGAGAAACATTAAATATCATACTCAAAATTAGTAACCACATTATTTTATAGCTTTATATCCCCCCCCCCAAAAAAAATAATAATTCATTGAAGTTCAAAAAACTACTAAGCATTATTTCTCCTAGTCTTCATTCTCCCTTTTTTGAGAGAGAGGTGAAAATAAAGCCTATATAAAAGCTTGTAATCACGAACATTTTTAAAATTTAACAAGGAAATTTTCCATAATTTCTTAAAAATTTTTTTTTGAAGCAGCTAGAAAGATGTATTGGACTGTTTATGAAAATAATTTAAAAAGTTTTTAAGTTCAATTCATTTAATAATTGTAAATGTAAATAAACATGAAAGAGAAAGTTATTCATACTGTCTCAGAACATTTTGCTATGAAAACCATTGAATAAATCCCATACTTACATTCGATAACTCATGCACCTGTGTGCATGTTTTCAATTCAATATATTCAAAATATTTGCTATTACAATATATGTTTTTCAATTTTTCATCAATTTGTGATTTTTACTATGTTTCAAATATTTGCAAAACACAGAATCCGACAATGTTGGGGAAGAAATAATTAAACCACTGCCTTTAAATCCGAAGTTTTCCTTCAAATCGCAAGCTTTTCTGATTTAAATAGGTGTAAGTGATTGCGCATTTTATGCCATGTGTGCTACTAGGTAAAATTGTTGCTGATATTCGATAACAAAAACACTCTAAAATTATTCCAACTATTGTAACATAAAAAGTTTTTAAAAAATAAACCGCTTTTAAACATTTCTAGTTCATTTTTACACATTATTGTTTTTATTCTTCATAACTGTGGAAGACTAGGATACAACGTGCATCATTATTTAGGAGCAGATTGTCTCAATCCTTACATTCTTGTTATAAAAGATATCAACTGAGTTAGTTTTGTTCACCTGATATACATTTATAAGCGAAACTAAATTCTGTATCCCTTTCAGTGATATATAAAAGAAGGAGCAAATGCTTCAAGCATCCAGCAAAAGAAAGAAGCATCCAATCAACAACTAGCAATACTAAAACTTTTACATTATTAATTATTTTCATTACTGAAATCATCCTTTTTTCATTTGGAACAACAACAAAAAAATATTTTGTAAAGAATAATATATATTTTCAAACAAATTTAATAATATAGTTTTAGGTCATTAAAACTTTAACCTTCTTTGTATTTAAGAAAACAATTTAGAATATTTTGTTCAACATATTTCTTATCATACAATTTTCTTTGATATTTGAATAAAAATTTAATTTATAATATGGATTTTAGTTTTTCAGATATATATTTTCTACCGTCTTCTTTTGGCCCCTTTAAAGATTACACTCCTCGTTTTTCAGTAATTATACTCCTCTTTCCTTCAGCTATTACACACCTTTTTACTTTAATGATTATACAGTAGGGAACCGATTATCCGGAACAATCGGGACCATCGCTATTCCAGATAACTGATTTTTCTGGTTTTCAGAATCGATACAAAAAGCCGTTTTTTTTTTTATTGTTAAACCCAACTAAACAAAACAAAATTAGTTGGAAATAATCTTAAAAAGAAGAAAAAACGATGAAGTAATGCACTAATGATTATTTCCAAAATGATGGTAAGGTAAACATTTTTCAAAAAAGAAAGAAAAATCCTAAAATCTTATGAGGAAAGAAAAAAAACATTTCAAAAATGGCGGGAAAATTTATCAACTTTCGTTCCGGTTTTTTGGTTTTCTGATTTCCGGATAACGGGTTCTGTACTGTACTATAAGTTTGCCTCTGCATGCCCCTCATTTTTTCTTTCCCAAAACATTGCTAAAGCTGACAAAATAAATAATTACTAGGTTTACTTTCTTACCTGCAGCTTCTTCTTCACTACTAATTGGAACAGCCATATTATTAAAAAATCTTGTATTGGTGGAGCGAAACATGTGGAAATAACCAGACTGTCCATAAACACAGTAGTGCAAACGTAGGCAATAATGTTTCGATTTAAAAACTCCTGGTTCAGGTCCTTCAAAAAGAATAAATATAGAATTTAAAAATCAAATAAATATTAGACCAAATATATCACGAAGAATAACAAGTTCAAAAATGACTATTTTACTAAAGATAATTACTGCAAATCTAGAAGTATAGAAAACTACACAAAATAATTAAAGCATATATAAATTTTTTTTTCTAAGAAAAAATTTAAATTAATATAGAATGCATGAATTAAATATGTGTTATGAGCAATCATAGTTATTGATATTTATTCCCTGAAACAACAATGTAACAAATTAAAATAGCCTCTCAAAATAAATTTGAAACACTATGCATGATTACTTCTGAGACAGTATGTAACAGTATGACTGATTACATTAATCAGATTGCATACAAATAAAAAGCAAAAATGAATAAGATAATCATTTTTCATTTCACTAAATAAATTTTGAAAACGATTTCTAATTATGCTATTAAATGATTGGTTGATTTGTTTTTAAAATATTAAAATGTAAAAATGTTTTCAAAAAGTTTCATAAAGTGGTTCATTAGCATTCTGAAAAATTGATACTTAAGTTTTTTTAATACTTTATAACCGTCGTTGAATAGCAGACCCTATTTCTGGGATAACGACTACTAATGTTCAACTCTGTAGCCTAGTAATTTTGAATCCTATTAAGAAGACAAGGGAACTCCTGGATCAAATATTCGGTGAAATTCGGCTTCGTGGAGGACTTTTTAATGGAACTACGCATTTGCGTTACATGGAGAGAAAAACCAAACCATGAAAATCTCGCACCGTTAGCTTGACCACAAAGGGACTCTAACCCGTGATCTGTTTACCACTGAGGAAGCACTGTGGTTGGTGCAAGCCGGATGCGGATTTGTATCGACCAGTCATCGCTAGGATTCGAACCCGGTTCACCTCATCGGACCCCCTATCCCCTGAGCCATCGCGGCTTAATACTGAAATTTATAATATTACAAGTATTACAGATTATGATATTAAAAAATGAAAATTTCAGTCAGTGCATAAAATAATTATTTAGACAAAAAGAGCAGAATTTTTCGCTGATATTTAGAAAGCAACTTTTAATAATTATAAAAAAGATTATCAAATAACCATATAAAATTAAAAAAATCAAAGTATAAAATAACACAGTATGAAACCTTTTTGAAACTGAAATATTAAAAAATATTACTACAGGAAACAGACTATGAGACACTTTTAGTAAACAATTATAACAAAAACTTGCTTTTGACTTAGAAACCGCATAATGGCTAAATATTTCTAAGTTATAAATTTACCTAATTCAATTCTCTCTAAATCTTCTAATTGTACATGCTGATACTTAATAATTCTATCAGTCTGATCATCATATCTGGAAAAAGCACATAATAAAAATATTTAGCAATTCATTTGAGAATTTAGTACTCATAAGAAATCAAACAAACTGTTTTTACTTACTCGGCAACAAAGTAAGAATCTTTGGTAAGAATCAATATTGCATCCATGTCTTGCTTATCAGGATCCCCAGTCCTAAAATTATTGGATTTGAATTTGATGCATCAAAAAACATATTTGTATAGTTAGTATAACTTGCAAAAAAAGTAAATATCTATTGTAAAGATACAATTTTCATTATATTTTATGTTTGCTAATGTATTAGATTAAAAAATTGTGCAAAATCTTAATTACTCAGTTTAAATAATAAATATTGAAATTTTATCTTTAAGTTATCATAAGTACGTAATGTTACATGTAACAATTACACGATAAGTAAAAATAAAATAAAAACAATACGTATTAAAAGTAGTAATGAATCAAAAAAGCAAATGTTTATTTAAATTTTTAAAAATGTGTTTAAAATGTAAGAAACTATAAGGTGTTGCTAAAATCAAGCTGGGGAGATAAGATTTGAATTCAATCTTCAAAAAAATTAAAAATTAGTAACACAATATAAAACTTAAGAATGAAGCTTTTTTTTAAAATATAAAATCTGTCATGCATACCTTTTGTCCAATTATATCAAAATAATTACTTATAACTTGAAATTAAATTAAATAAAAGTTTAAGAAATGCACACAACTATTTTAATTTCCAAGCTGATTATTTCAAATTAAATATAACACTTGAATCTTTAGTTTAACACTCACAAATACAAGTAGTAAAGATTAAAAGATAAATGTATGCCCTTAAAGTTTCAAGCCAGAAATTTAAACAAAACTATTTACAAACAAGAATAAATAGTATGAATTTAAAGGAATAAAAAACATACACAGGATCTGCATCAATTAATGCCCATCCACCTAAGACAACTTCAGTTTCTGGTATTAAAATTTTTTTACAATCTTCTATGAGTTGTTTAACTCTTTCATGATGTTCTTGTTCATTAATTTCAATTTCTGTATCAGCTTCTTCTCTTTCAGGAGTAACAGCGTTTATATCTTCTGTGACTGGGTTACCCATCATTAAATCAATCGTAGCTTGACGAAAGGCGTCCTTAAATCGGTTGACATAGTACCTAAAAAAAGATGAAAATTGAATAGTCAAACATAAAATTATCCTCAAAATAAGGTACCAGATAAAAAATAAGTTTTTGATACAAAAATGATGATTAAATTTAAATAAGTCATAAGCCAACAGCATCTATTGTAGCTGAATGAATTGATCAACATCTTGGCATAGCAGTTTTTAATGCTGTAAACATGACAAGAAGCATTTAATGAGCTTCAAGCCTCTTGCTTGCCCTTTGATTAAAAGTACATTATAAAAGCAATCATTGAAACTGACAATAATTAATCACAATGAATGCATTTCCATATCTATTTTAAAAATTAAGATACTTATCATGAAAGATTACTACATAATAACCATTATAAAATAGCTCTCATCAATGTATGTAAAATACAAAGAAGGTAGTAAGCCATGTTAAGCATAAAATACTCTTCTTTTCTATACAAAGTGAGAAAAACTACCATGTTCCAAATATAATTGTCATTCCCTTAATTGAAACATGAAGATATGCAGAAGTACCCTTATTTTTTAGGTGTGTAATCTCTTCCTACATAACTATTATGATTCATCATTACAAATAGTTTCAAATAGAAAAACTAGTCATTATCGTAAAAAGTAATAAAACAAATCCAGCTATTTTATTCAAATAAAAAATTGAATTATAGTTTTAACACTTATTCAATTATACTTATTTGATAAGTTAAAAGAGATATATTACAAGACTGTTCCAACTCTTTTACAAAAAAGGGTACCGATAAGAATTACTTGCCTTTTCTGTTGATATTTTATCTTTGAATATTTTCTGCTGTTTCTAATGTCACTTGCCAATCCAGCATGCCTGTTTGGTGAAACCAAGCGAATTTTAAGGCAGAGGGTGCATTTCTTCTTTTGCAGTGGTGCCATCTATGGCCAAGAATAGAACTTCAACCACACACACATCACAGCCCATTTATAAGGAAGACCCATTTTATACATCCATTCATACATTAGATCTTAATTTTGACCTGAACAGAGAACAATCAATCTCCAATTCAGTACCCAGAGGTATAATTTGTATGGGAATATGGAGAACTTTGTGACCCAACAGATTTAACGTGCATCAGTCACCATTTACTAAATGGGGAGCCTTCGGCTGGCGAGGATTGAACTCACGACCTCTTGGACATGGGCCCAATGCCCGACCAACTATGATACACCAGCCCATGAATGTTTTCTAACAGAGGTTAATGATATAAACAAATTGTTAAATTTGAAGAAATTTGTTTTTTCAAACCACTAAAAAGCAATATCACATTGTTTTTATTTTCTTCTTTTTTTAAATAAAAGCTGATATTTAATTGAAATTACCTATTTGCAGAGTGATATCCATCTTTCATCATTCCAGCTATTCTACGTTCTCCAGTCCTAGTGTAATCACCCTTCAAAAATAAATGCAATATATATTTTTTACATCAAAGTGTATGATGACAACTTTAAAAAAAAACCAATAAGTCTTTATAGCTAATTATTACAAAGATATTTTGAAATCAAATCCAAAGTTAAATACTTTATTTAACAGTTTTACAGTCAGAACTTCTAAAGAAAATTTATAAAGTAATTTATTACAACTGAAATAAGATCATTGCAAGCAATAAGGAAGAAAAATTTAATGCCCTTGAAAGATGACAGATAATGTATTTATTTTATCATCTTACGGAAATGGAAACACTCTTTTAATTTTTTAAAAAGCTGTAATGCTAATATTAGAATAAAAATTTTTAACTGTCATTGAACAGCTGACCAATCATTTTTTGAGTTTACGACAACTTATGCTCAAATCTGTAGCCTTGTAATTTCGAACCCAATCCTGAAGACAAGACAACTGCACGATCAAGTATTGGGATAAATTTGCCTTCATGGAGGACTTTCAGATTAAACTAACCCGCATTTGCTTTACATGGAGAGAAAAAACACAAAATATTCCACAGTTAGCCTGACAGCATGGGGACTCTGACCCATGATCTGCCTTCCAATGAAGATATTTTACATCAGCACTGCAGTCAGTGCGAACAAGGTACAGAATTCGAACATGGTTCACCTCATTGTGAGGCAAATGCTTTATCCCCTAAGCCACCAAGGTTATTAGAATAAAATTTACCTTAATTAAGAAAAAAAATTTATATAATATGAACATGGAAAAAAAACATGCAATTACTTTTAATGCTACAGTTCCAGCATACTGCCGACTAATAATATCACCATTATTAGCCCATAACATTTGAAATATTCTTCGACAGCCAGCAGGTAACACACCTTCAGGGGGTAATAGACCTAGTTTGTTGAACTGCAAAAATATAAAATAAATTAAAAAATATTGTTTTAAACTAAAAATAACTAAGTGAAAAATTAGATACAGAATTAAGTGAAAAAATGTGTTTTTCACTTCACATTAAGATGTAATATGTTTATAGTTGGGTAATACTTTTTATTTCATATGTTTGTGAAAATACAGCTGAGAAAAATTAATAATAATAATAAATAAATACGAATAAATTCTAATAGGCATGCAAAAACCAGATTTATTTCAATCATCATTTGATTTACATTTATCAACAAATGAAATCTGACATATTAGGATACTGCTAAATTAAAATTTAAAAAAATGTGTAAGAAAAAATTTTTTTTCACTAAAAACAAACTAACGTAAAACAATTTTTTTTGTTATGAATTTATGATATTAACTTATTAGTGTTCAGGGTATCTTTTAAGAGACTATTCTAAATATACACAATAAAATCACAGTACATACTTTTTGAAATAAAATATTTTCAAGAAGTGATTTCTTTGGAAATTTCACAGAACATATAGTATTCAGTTGATAATACAGTCTGTTTATTTTCAAGTTTGCCTCGTCTTTAAAGATATTTCCTCAATATAAAGAGGCACAGTTCGTTAAAATTATTAGGTACTTACTTATTTAAATTCAGTCAATATTGTAATATGTTTTTAAATAATTTAGTATTAACATTGCCTCTCTCAATTTTAGAATTTTCTAACTTTTTTTTCCAATAAAACAAAAAGTTTTTGGGCTCCAGCTTTTAAAGTAATTTATCAGTTGATTTAAGATATTGAATATTATGCAAAATATGATAGAAAAATTTCAACTAGAGCATTAAAGTATTAAAATCTGATGTAGTTTTCTTTATTTAAACTTATTTTTAGTAAACAATAAATTATTAAAAATTCAAAATTTTCAGACAATTTTCATTGCAAAAGACAGAAACCTAATTTTGAATCATGAAAAGTAGTTAACATGCTACAAAATTCTGTTATCTTTCTGTCACACATTTTTTTTGACTTTCATCTACAACTTTATTAATTTTTCAACATTAATTACACACCTATGCATGCTGATTTGTCTAAAAAATGATACAGTTATTTTCTGCTTAAACATATTTTATTCAATAAGGTAAAATTTTAATGAACATTAGTAAATATTTATAAAACTTTGTTACTAGTTCATTACGCAAAAGAAGAATTTAAATACCCATTTGAAAATGCAAGCTTTTTTTATCATAATAATCATTCCTACATTCTTTCACAAATGTAAGAAACAAATAGGCACAAAACAAATGTATATAAGAAATGCTTAGGGTAATTCTAGTTACTTGAAGATACAATTCTATCACTTACCTGAATGTCCATGACAGTCTTAGCAAGGGCTGTTTGGACAATGTTGGTACGATCTAAGCAGTCAACACAATTGACGCGAAAAACTCCCCGTTGGTCACAAATAAGACCTTCGCTGTCAGTCCTGAAAAAGCATAAAGTTTAGTTTGAAATTTTAATAGTACAAGCAACTTTTTCTTTAACTGATAAGCCTTTAATTGTAAGCTATGCTCTTACACACAAAGCATCTCAAAAACATTACTATAGTGTGTCTACCACTACAAAAATACAATTCCAATTCACTAGTATATAAGACAAGACATATTAACTCAATTCTATGTTGGAGCAACTTTTCATAGATGAAGATTGACATGGTCGATGTGAAGTTCCCCAAAATTACATCAAACTTCGAAAGGAAAAAAAGAGTTAAAAATTGCTTTTAGTAACCCATAACCATATATTGTACAACGCTAGGCAGTACTCTGTCTCTTACGACTGTAATGCTAATGTGCACCTAGCAGCACTGTTATGGTTGAGAAGGTCTCAAAACAATGGATTTGTGGATTCTACAATTTATCTCATAGTAAGACACGTCTGTTCCCTAAAGTTCAGTAGCAACAGATTTGAGACCCTTTTTGTATACCAATATATCATCTTAATACTTATTAATAGAAAATAATTATTACTTGCAGAAATGTAGAAAAATATTTCAAACTCACCAACAGTATCGCATGTCACGAATAACATCCTGAATGCTTTCAATTAAAACAGAAACATTCTCAAATTTCATACCCCGGCTATAATATAATGAGAGAAGTATAATTAATGTAATGAATATTTATTTATCACAAACAATCAATAGAAAAGAATTTCATTCTACAAATTTTTTAACATAAGTTCTATGTTTTATGTGTGTACTTTTGTTGTGTGCTCTTTGTCCATTGTTCAAACTTAAGACAAAAACAATATTGATTAAAACAAAAAAAAAGGACAAAAAGAAACTGTAACCTATGTTCAACTTTTTTTTACATCACATGAAATGTACTAGATGTATAAGTTCAGTACTAATCAGAGAGACAAATAACCCCATCACCGTCTTTGCTACACTAAATTAATTAATTGTTTTATCGCTTTTTTAAAATAGAAAAAGTTATATGGTCACAGCACAAATTAGTCTTAGATATTTTAATTTAGATATAAAATTAGAATAAATTTAGATTTGAATTAAAATAGGATAGTTCAAAAATTTACCATAATGCTTTAAAGTTAATATTAATGCAAAAAAACTTTCTTATCTTTTGGAAAAAATAAAAAAAAATTATGTAAGCACAAAGAAGTTTCTTGCATATAACACATTTAAACACTTAATAATAAAGCACATTTTAAAAACTGTTTAAATATAACTAATATTCAAACTAATAAGGAAATTTGTAAAAGAACTTTAACTGATTACATTGGAATTTGTAATTCTAAATACCGATTAAATGGCATAAGTATTTATCAGGTTCGGTTTCTATAACTGCCAAATAGTTCAAATACATTTATACAAATGTATCAATATTATGAAAACAAATTGGTCTGTGTATCAATACTATGAAAACAGCATTTCATTCATGTAAACCAATAAACAACATAAGTAGTTAATGGAAAACTTTGTTTTACTGATTTCTTATGCTGAAATTTAAAATAATTTGATCATAAGATTTGATAATAAATATTATGTATTTGCATTAATATGTTAACAATATTATAATTTAAAGCATGAAATATGGAGCAAATTTAGGATATAAGAGAACATTTCTTTAAATATTGAGAGTGTCTTTTTTCTGAAAAGTTTTAAAAGAGTATGGTTAAGAAAAACTCCTAGAACGTAATAAAATCAGATAACTAAGTTAATTAAATTAAATTAAATAATTTAAAGGCATTCTTAGAATGCAAATTTACAAACAGATAAAAGTCATAATCAATAACATTTAAATTACTATGAGAAATCAACAAATCATAATACTAACCAATATTCATGAAAGTCAAAACTAACATAAACTAGATCGGGACAGCTGAATTCCAATATATGCTTTAAATATGCATCATTAATTATCTTTTCTTTGCCACATTGTTCCATGAGATTAACTATGACTTGAGATTTGTAAACACTTAATTCCTCTTCAAAATGTTTTTCAAATGCCACTTGAGTTTCTTCTTCTCCTATACAAGAAATATTTTTTGTAAAATTTAGATTATTGATATTTAAAATATAAAGGGGTGTACTCAGTTTTACTCTGTAGTGGGAAAAGATCAAGTAATTTGACTTGCTACAGAAAAAAGAATTCATGGATGATATACATAGTACACAACTACACAATGAATATCTTAACTAAGTCTGACAGAGTTTCTAAATCAAACAGTTTAATTCCAACTGGTCATCAAATCTTAGCAATCTGATCTTACCCCACTTTTCCATTATGCGTATACACTTAAACAGATTTTAAAAACATTAAATTTTTCAAATGATTTTTAAAGTCTGTTATGAAAAAAATCAAAAAAATAAAATGTATTGATACTTCATAAAATTTCATTCAATTCCTTACAAACTGAATTTATGTTTAAAAAATTTAATGTTATGAATATATTTTAAGTAGCCATTTTAAAACTATTTATTTAATGAAATATAAATAAATTAAAAGTTTAAGCAAAGAAAGTACGAATTTTAAACTAGTTAACAGTTACAATTTTACCAAATTAATGTAAAACTAAAGCCAATTATATATTTAAAATAAACTTTAAACATATGTTGGGGTAATTTACATAGATAAAACTAGTTTTTTTTAACACACTTTAACAAGATATTTATAAAAAAAATAAACAAAAACATTTAAAGTCTGCAACAAATTTTATATTTTTTACCTTAAGCTAGCATTACTTCCCTACAAATTGAAATTTATCTAAAAATATATTCAAATAACTGTCTAAAATTAATTTCTGTGAACTTCTATACCTTAAGGAATGTAGAAATTCAAACAAAAAAATTATTATCATAACTTGGTGCAAATAAATTATCAAAACAAAAAGAAATCAAAATTATGGTACAGTGAAACATTCCCATGTTGCCCACTAGAGGGACAGCAATGTAATGATCCACTCTTACAGGTGATCAATATATAAAATAAAAATTCTATTGTTTTTAACAGTTTGACACTTGATCTTTAAGCTGAACTTAAATAGGTGGTCAACTTAACAGGTTGCGCTGTATTTCTTTGCTTACAGTAAACAGTTCTTAAGTAAGAGATGGGGACAGCTTTCTTCCTAACATTTTACCCATTATCTCTTTTATCCTTTTTATGTGATTGCTTTGTTTTTGACTTGTCTTTTCTTTACTGATCACCCCTTTACATCCTTATATCTTTATACTTCCTTGATAATTCCACAACTTACTATTTTTCTTGCAACACCTGATAAGGATAGCCCTAATTATTTAGAAAAGTGTAACTTTGTGTTATCTGTTAATGATGTCCAAATGAAGTTATAATAAATATATTTTTTCATACTTTTAATTGCTTGATATTGTATGATATTCCACCCGAAAGGATAAAATAAGGAGCCATGATGGCTCAGTGGTTAAAGCACTGAATTTGTCACAGTTGAAACTGAGAACTGAGGTTTGATTCTCAGAGGAGGCTTGAAACCCACCCTGCTTCAGATCAATGGGTACGTTCTATGCATAGGCGTTCAGATCAAAGGCGTTCTATGCACAGTGCTGGCCACATTGTTATAATCGTGCCGTTGGAAATGAAATTGCGGAGACTTAACCTCCATGATCTCCCTAACCAATAACAAATTGTAGAGGGAAAAATTAACTTGAATAGAATGTAACTACCTGAGAGGCAAGCTTGCACCCTAAAAAGTGAAAAAGCAATACAAAATTTCAAAAATTAAAACATAAAAACCTTTATCCAACTGAGGAGGTGGTCTGTATTTATATCCAGGCTGACTCCAAAATATAGGAACAGATCCTCGAACTTGTACAAAAGATACTATGTGAGATGCATATTCAAATATCTGTTCAGTTTCAACATAATTTGCACATTTTCCAGATTCATCGACTCCTCTACGCTTGTATCGTGTACCAGCTCGATGACGGCTTCTTCGGGATATCAAAATCATTGTGTAGTTTTTTCCTGTCACATCAGGTAAAAGTGTAGGTGGTGGAAAAAACTTTATACCCTCAGCTGAAAGAGATTCAGCATCGTCAATAATATCTATCCAGCACTGTTCGATTTGTACAAATCCTTGAATGACCGGAGTGATCCAAGGATTACATAATGGGTCCTAGAAAAAAATACAGTTTTAAAATTTAAAACAAATATAAACTACATATTATGTGATATATTTCTTCATAATTGATATAAAATAACTACGCATTTAATAAGTTGTAATAGCACTTGTGTTGAACTAAACACAACGACAACACTAAATGGATATAATTTAAACATGTTTCTTACCATCTTAGAAGCAAATTATTTTGCACATAGCTAATAGAAAAATATAATTTAACAATTTAAAGTCAGTCTTAATGGCTTTTAGTCTCTAATTTGATTTATTTATCAGTCTAGTTTGAAATATGCATTTTCTTTCTATTATTCATTATCAATGAAATCAGAGTTTTTAAAAATTCACACCTTAAAATATATTTACAAATAAAAATCCACAAAAATATTGACTTAAAAAAATCTTACATTTGTGCTTATCAGCTCTGAAACCATAAATTTATTCCAGAAAAATCGATCATCTATTTTTTTCCATAAAGGTACACCATCAAATTCAGGATCCTTTGATTGGTAATACTGCCTTTGAACAGAATTGGTCAAATCACCCGTAAAAGAATAATAAAAGGAATCTGTGTCTGTAAACATTTTAGTAAACTCCTGAAATATAGAACATTAGATATTGAATAACTTAACACAAATTTTTATGAACAGAAATTTTTAGAAGAATTAAAAATATAAATGCAAAGAATGAAAAAATATTATATGCTAAAAGATTCTATTTAAATAAATCTACACACCTGACCGCATATGTACCAAATTATAACTGGCATCGGAAAATATGTTAATATTGATAACTTTTCTGTCTTATAACTTTACTTAAAACTTTTTCTTAAGGTTCTTAAAAAGAATATTATTCTAAAAATGTATTTTTATAAGTTATAAAATAATCACAATATGAATAATGGATAAAGATAAAAAAAATTACAAAAATGTTCCATAACTTTTTAAGCATTATTTTTTTTCCTAAAAAGAAAAAAAAAACTTTCTGATAACTGAACAGGCTTTTAACTGAAAAAAACCATATTATTCAATGGGGAAGTAGTTCATAACAGGAAAATTTTAGTACAATTTCACCCAGGGGCTTATGGAGAGATAATAGAAGAAGAAAAAATAAATGAAGCAGTCAAAAAACAATTTTTGAACTTTTGTTGCAAATAAATTTTAAAAAAGACTTTTAATTTATAACTGAATTTAATTACTGAAGTGTAGAAAACACTCTTATCATTTACTTTTCAATTTGTTTCTATTTTTTAAATTTCTGAAAAAGGCAAGTTGAATGAAGCAATACGAAAAAGTTAATAATGTACTTAAAATTAAATTCTCTTTCCATGACAGAGGAATAAAAATTTTACATTGTTTAAAAGTGCAATCTATTTTTAAGTTGATGAAAAGTAATTTCAAAATTCTCAGCAATTTTAACATAATATGACTAATTTGAGTATCATTTTCAGGCATAAATTTTGTTGTTTTGTAGTGTGAATCAAATGTATTGCTCTAAAGTTAATGTTATTTTGCTTTTGCAGGTTATAGTAGTTTTTTATACTTAAAAATATATTATAAGGTAAAAATTTAAAAATTTTTTGGTGGTTTTATATCTCAAAGAATTTATATTGCTTTTTGTTAAAATTTTGAAAAAATAAGTTTATTTCATAGATTATAACTTGCTTATTGCTTTAAAATTAAATATTAATAAGTGCAAACTATTAAGTTGATCAAAAGTAATATCAAAATTCTCAAGATTTTTAACATAATCTGTCTAATTTGAATGTCATTTACAGGCCTAAATTTTGCTGCTTTGTAGTGTGAGTCGAAGGCATTGCCCTAGAATTAATATTATTTAGCTATTATGGGTGATATTAGCTTTTTTATACCTAAAAATATATTATAATATATAAATTTATTAATTTTTGAGCCGTTTCAAATCTTAAAAATAAATTTATCACGTTTTTGTCAAAATTTTGAGAAAACAAAAGTTTATTTTACAGATCATCTTGCTTATTTTTTAAAGAAAAATGACTTTATTAAATCTTATATGTTTTAGTAATAATGCTACAGTTAACATTTTATAAATTTAAACTTATTTTGTAAGTTCTTAAAGTTTGGAGTTATTTTAAAATAAATTGAAAAAAAGCTATTTTTTCCACATATCATCCATCAAAACTTATAGTACACTTATTAGTAGACAGGATGTTACAAAATATCAACACTTATGCCGCATAATGACCAAAGTTGACTCAAATGACCAGCCGACTTTGACTGAACTTAGTACACAAACTGTAAATGTTAACTGCTAAACTTGAAAATAAAATGTTGACTCACCTCTATAACTCTCTTTTCTAACTTTTCTCTATCTCTCAGTTCTTTAGGTTGCTGTTAATAACAAATGAAAACCTTTAGTAAAAAAAATTTTTAAGAATGACTGTACTGATCTATTTTCATTGCGAAAAAGAGTAAATACTTCTATAGATCAACAAGTTATAACTTTTCTTTTTAACTTCTATTTATTGTTTAAAAAAAGTCCCAAGTTTTTATGAGTAAATAACAATTCGTAAATCATTCCTTTTTCAACAAAAAATCCAAATGCATGAAATATTATTTTACAACATGTATCTTTAAAACATTCACAATTATGTTTCTTACTTTTATTCCCTCTATTTATATTCTTAAGGACTGTGGAAGAAATCTTTTCAGGGTTCAAACAAATGGTTGATGCCAACAAAAAAAAAAGAGGCTTAGGGAGTATAAAAAAATATTTATTGACCAGGTGATCAGTTACAGACCCAGATGGGAGAAAAGTATATAAAAATGTACAGTGAATGTTAATGAAGAAAGTACTAAGCATCAATACTATAAATATGATGGATACTCATTAATTTATATGAATCTAACTTGGTATATTAGGCAGAACAAAAGTATAGTCTTTCAACAAATTATATACATTTTCTAAAATAAAAGAAACTTAATGAAATGAATAAAAATGTATGAAAACAAATACATGTGGTACATATCTGGGATAAAAAGAGCACATCAGTTAAGGTACAAAGTCACAAACTGCTAAAAAAAGCTATGTTTGCAACACCTAGATAATTATGTTCATAATATGCAATAAAATTGAGATGTGTGATATTTTTCCTTTCACAAATTAAGCTAGGAAAGAATTGGAAATACTTTATACCAAGAAATGGTTCACCCTTTTTAATAAGGATGAGTAAAAAAAATCTATGCAATGAAGTTTTTTAAAAAAACTGTGGAATTAATTAGAGAAATAACTTTAATATTTTATTGAATAGTATGTAACCTTCAACTATTTCAGCAGCAAGGAACCAGATATAACAGAGTTGATAGGGAATGAAAGCATAAACACTTCTCAGTACAGTTAATTGGGAAATGTATGTTTCAATGGAAAATGGGTTCTGTTCTTAAACTTATGAGTTAGAATCTTCTGAACAGCCTTGAGAGCAACCACAATTAGGGTGGTTTTATGGAAATAGAAAAACGGTAGGTGTTAAACGAAAGACTAAAGCAGATTGAAATTCTGGAAAATGTATGGAAAAAATCTTTATTAAACAATGGATGATGATGATAGATAAACATATTAATAATAAAACAAAATTATCATAGTTGGCCTAAGAGTCCATGATTGGTCAAAGCTTATTGAAACAGAATAAAGTAATAAAATATAAACATTTTGAAATGAATTATCAATTTATTCATAGTAATGAAATGTAAGTTTCAACTCTTTATGTTAACAACTATATTTTAAACAATATTTTATAATAAAATACTAATTTTGAAATTATGTTGCAATGTTAAATTCTAATTAAACATTTACTAAATTAAAAAAAATAAAATATTTTTACAATATATTTAAAATATTGTTTAAAATTTTTTTTAGTAAAAAAACTATAAAAATGAGATAACTTACTCAAGCAGATACCAGATTATAGACACACTAATCACATTATTGCTATAAACACAATCTTACTAGTTTATATAAATTTAGTACTAGAATATGACAAAAGAATTCTAATTTACAACATTAATAAAGCATCAATATTGTTTGCTTAACTAAATAAAAAATGTAAAAAGATTCATAAAAATAGCATATTCTTATGAGGGTTAGTTTGCAAACATTCACCATAAGTTTTGTTAGCTGCCAGTTTATAAGTAATAAATAAAGGCATGTAAACCAACACCAAGGCATACCTTTATGGCTAAATTTCCTGAAAATCTCCAAGGTCCTGTTTCCATCAATAAGACAGGAATCAGAACTTTATTTGTCAGGAAAGATGCGGCTGAAAATAATGTGTCACTAACCTGTGAATGGAAGGTTTTCTTACCAACAGTTGATTTGAAATTTACACTTATATTGACGATGAGATACTTTCAATTTTCTTTCTAATAAAAGAACTGAGAGCTTTTGTGTAAGAGTAATTCAAAGGGTAAATGAAATATAAAATGATAAATAGTTTAATATTTAATTCTATAGAACCAATATGGAAAAAATAATTGAAATTTAAAAACATAAAAAACTCAAGTTATTGATTTTTTATTTTATTTATTCCAGCTTGAATTTAATGAAGAGAATTATCTCCCACATAACAGAAGGCCTTATAAGAAAGCTGTAATCTCAGAAAATTTTTTAATTCATTCTTTTTTTTAAAAAAATCACAAAATAAAATACTGATTTTACCGATAATGTTGAATTACATTAAACATTAGAAAGCCCAAAATTACAATGAACATTTAAAGAATAGCAGCAAAAATATTTTGTTATTTAAATGAAATAATTATGTAAATGAAGTAATTAATATATTTTAGTAAAATTTAGTTGACTTTCATTAAAAAATGTGCTATCCTTTTTTTAAGAGTTCTTCTTTGTAAGCACTTAAAGAATTCTTCATTTGATTAAATAAGGTAGCAAATCAACAGTAATCAAATTTTGTTGATGCCATTTTACAGAAACAGGAATTAAATTTTATAAATGCATATAAGCCATTGCAAAATTCCTATTTAGTTCAAGAATAAAAATGTTGATAATAGGTAACAGGATTACTGTCTATGTAATTATTTAATAAATAATAAAAAAAAAAAAGCTTTGAAAATATTTTTGTATTGAATGAGGGTTTTTTTTTTATTATTATTATTATTCAACCATAGTAAAACAAAAATGACTAACTTGATGATCTGCTGAAATAATATGGGAAAATAAAATTGTATCGAAAAAATTTCTGAGCATAAGCACATTATTTATGATGATGACAGACATATATTTGCCAAAGGGCTAGATTCTTGAAAATGCTGATTTGTTTTATTGCGATACCATTACCTTAACTTATTAGTCACTGATATCTAGTTAGGTAATATATATTTTGTCTAATCTGCAACTAATTTCAATTAAATTAAATAGTTAGGTTATAATTGAACATTATTGTAACTTATGACTGTTTTTCTTTTAAACTTATTTATCACTTCTGATAAGTTTTATTCTGATTAGTTTACAGAAATCTTCAAACACTGGGAATCGGTCACTCAGTTCAGTTCAAGTTTAATATATAATAAAAAAAGTTTTCGTGGTAAGTAAATAAAGAATAAAAGTTTATTTATGACTAGCCTTTCGATTGGACAATAAGGATACCTGTGATTTTTTTCGCTTATTTCAATTTAATTTCTTTATTAAAAATATATCATGCATTAATTTTAATATTTTCGAATTCCTCATTGCAAGCACTAACAGAATTTTTTATTTGAAGAAATAAGGTGAAAAATAAACAATAATGATACTTTGTAAATGATATATTGCAACAAGAGGAATTAAACTTTAAAAAATAATTTCTAACCATAGAAAAATTCCTATTTACTCAAAGAACAGATAAGAACATTACTGTGCAGTTAAATATTTAATGCCTAGTAAGAAAAGAAACTGCATTGGTAAATAATTACTTTAAAAAATCCTGCTGCTTTACTTAGAAAAAAACTGTTGGTTTAATGTTTCACTGAAATTATATGGTAAAATTAAATTACTTCATCTGAATATTTAAAAATTAGCACATAGATTGTATTAATGATATAAAATATTTTTCAATTGACTAGATTTATAAAATCACTGGTTCCTTTTAAAGCAATACTGAATACCTAAATAATCAGCCCAATATTTAAATATACTTTAAATTTAAAAAAAGTATCTAAATGCATTCTGATATCTAAATAAATAAATGAATATAAGAAATATGTTTATTTATTCAGATTTCAATTGATTTACTTATCTATTGTTCTTTAAATTTTATCTTATTTGCTATTTATCTATTGTTCTTTATTATCTATTGTTCTTTAAATTTTTTTATTTATCTATTGCTTTTAAATTTTAGAAACTTCCTAAAACACTTTATTAATAAAAAAAACTCTATTTTCATGATTATTTTCTTTTTCAGACAAGAAAAAAAGTTCAAACATTTATAAAATTTTAAACATTAAATAGAACTTCTTTTTGTTAGCATAATTTATTACTCCTTAAATAGCTACTAAAATTATGAATACTTATAATAACAGTTCTTCAATCAAGTTTTTAAAAGTGGTAAATTATCAAAATTTTACATTAACAAAATTAAAAAATAATTGTAAAAAAAGTTTCAAAGTGTAAAATAGTTAATAATAATATAAAGACAAAGAATGTGCTTTAAAATACTTATTAAATAATTACTTATCATTATTCTTTAGTAGATATAGGGACTAAAGCAATTTTTTTTGTTTATAATATTTTATTTACTATCAGATAGGATTTAAACGTCTATCTTTTAGAAAACATTTTTCATGTTTTTGTTTAAAAAATAAAACTTATTTTGGCTTCTTTTCCTGAGTCTTGTGAAGTGATTTGGCTAAATACCAAGTCCATTTTTGTCATTCATCCAATTATCTGAATCAAAACTGTAACAGAAAATAAATAACAAAAAAGAAGGAATAGAGTAAAAAAAATTCTAATAAATACTGTGCAATACTTGCTTCATAAATAATCCTGATATTAAATTTTCTCTACAAAAAATTTATCGAAAAGAGCGTTCTAAATAAAACAGTAAAATACTGATTTTAAATGTAATAAAAATTCTTCGTAAAAAAAGGCAAATAAAAAACATATTTTTAAAAATATTTTTTCTAAAGTTTTTTATGCACTCAGAAATGCAAATGAATGTTATAATTAAAATATGCAAAATGTATTGTAATAAAAAATATTTAAAACGTCTGACTTCAAAGATATAATTTTTGGGGGGCTTTTCTTTCATATTACAGATCTTAAAAAAAAGAAGAAAAAGAAAAGAAAAGAATAGCTTCCAAAAAATATTACCAAGTCAAAAGAAATATATCTAGATGTGAACATTCCTGAAAAGATTTTGCAACATTAAAATGAAATCCAGTTCTACATAATATTCAGAAGTTTTGTAAAATCTTGTCAAGTTTTAAAACTATTTCAAAATTCGGAGAGCAATGCTTGAAGATTTCTGTAATTGTTTGGAGATTTATGGCCTTTGGGTTACAGTTTGAGATTTCCTGGGCTTGGAATATTACATTTATTGAAGCGATATATGGCTGAACAAAATTTTTTCTCTCTCTTAAAACAAAATAAATTTTAAACTTTCTGATGAACAAAACTGGCAGCTAGCAAAAGAACAAATTGAATGGATATAAAAAGAGAACAACCAATTCTCATTGACATTACATAGGGGTGCACAACTTACAGCTCTCTAGCTGTTGCATGCATCTCACAACACTCGAACCATAAAAAAGCATATTATTACAATTTTTGTATCAAAAGATCAAAAAAAACAATCTGAAATTTTGAATCATGCATCTGAGTCATCACTATTTGATGTGCATTTTTGTGTTGATTTCATCTTAAATTCAAGTGAACTTTGGAACGTTTATAGAGCCCTTTTTGCTATGGATTTTAACAGGATCTTTGAAAATAGATATTTTTAATTTGATATTAATATGACTCACCAATTTCAAATTACAGAATTATATAATCTGATCTTTACATGCTTTATTGATGCTGATTCATCATAAATTGAAGTTATCTTTAATTTTTTTTAATGCAGTTATTGCTACTTATTTCCCCAAGGTTTTTAATGACCCAATATTTTTAAGCATGCTTTTTTAACATCATTCAAATAGTGAATGCTGATGTCTTTGTTAATTTCATAAACGTTATAAGCATGTATTCAAATTTGAACCAATTTCAGAGTAAATGCAAGAGATCTTATGATTACTCTTCTTTGTAGTAGTACTTGTTAAGCTTTTGGAAAATGCTTTAATCTATATTTTAAATCAATATTAGTATGATATGCAAGTTTTGAAATGTGCGATTAATCAATATCATTTTGAATGTGCGATTAATCAATATCATTTTGGTGCAGTTAATTTGTATATCATCAAAATCTAAGTGGTTTATGTGATCTGTGGGGTTTTTAAATTAACTATATTTTAATACAATATTTATTAAAATACAAGACTAAAAGTGCTTTAAAAAACTGCTGAAAGTTTGACATTCATAAGACCTCTTAAAACCTTTTAAGGTTAAATGTCCTAAAGTTGAAGTATATTCCCAACTAAAGTATATTAAGTCAACTGATCACTTTTATTTTGGGTACATGGTTTCGTTTTAATTTAAATTATTTCAAAATCTTTAAAGTATTTAATTGGTATTTATATTACCCAATAAAATAATTAATTTAAAATAATTAATTTTTTTTTGTTTTTAATGTATGAACATTTAAGTTATTTTTATTGTAAAAAATTTTTCCAAAATAGACTTTAGTATTATGTAATTCAAAATGCTTATAATCATATTGATAAATTTGTTTTCTTATCAGAAGGGGATGCATAAAGTATCAGTTTTACATTCTTCCACTACTAATGAATTCAGATATTTAATAGTATTTAATTTTATGCAAATATTGCTAAGTTGACTATTAAAAAGGATTTAATGATCTGTTGTTATAAAAATTATAAATGCTGTCAACATGCTTAAATATTTGGTCATGTGACCATTCATTCATCAACCTATACTGCAAGTGATGCTTCGTTGAAAAAAAGTTGTGCACCCCTATATAATGATGTATAAGAAAATACATGAAAAGACATCTTACTTTTCTATTTTTTACTTGAGCAGTCGCAGATTTCAGCGTGTTCCAAGTTTTTTGAAAAGCTTTTTGCTGTGTATCTGTGGTATTAGTTGGTTTTTCAGCTTTTCTCGGATTGAAACGATGCTTTTTACAAACCTGAAATTTTAAAATTTTAGTATTAGATAAATTATGATTAAAATTCAATCTAAAATTTTAAAGAACAACAAAATAAAACTAAACTCAAACATCTTATTACAAATTTTACGGTTTAAAATTTGCAACAAGCATTCAAAGAAGACTGAAGATATATAAAATTTTAAATTAAATTAATGTATATTAAAAAAATTTGGTTGATACCGTCTTGTAAAAACTAAAAAAATAAATTATGTATATTATGTATTATAATTTTTTATAGAAACAGTAAACTAAACCCATTTTTCATAAAATAAAGCATTCATTTGATGCTTTTCATTAACTTATACTTCAGAAATAGAAAAATGAACTTTTGAGGATTTTCAAAATTTCAAAAATGATATTAAAATGACATGACGGTGTAGATATTTTAACTCTCTAAAATACCTTAAAAGCAATGAGTATATAAAGAAAATAGTTTCTCAGAACATGATAGAACAAAGAAAAATATCAACCAAATTTCATTCAAAATGCAATTGAAGTTTCAAAACTCCTATGTATAGCATGCTACACAACTCTGTATTGATGGTTGTAATTACCCAAAATATTAGAAATTTAGGAAGTGACTTGGAGACATTATTTTAAACAATATAAATTTTCAGAAATTTTTAAATAGAAAAACTAAGTTTTTAAAAAAATTAGGATGATACCATCCATAGATCACAAATATGCAACTACACATGTATTTCGCACATTGGATTTGAGTTTTACTCTTAAAACATGTTACCAGGAGTGAATATAATTGTAAATTTTGTGTTCAAAGCATTAGGTTTTATTTCATGATGTTTGAAAAAAAAAACCTTCCAAAATCAGTAGATTTAATTATTCATTGTAAATGCACATCGTAAATAGACTTCTTTAAATATATCATAATGTAGGAGACAAAACAACAATTTAGAAAATAGATTGTTATTGTGCAACACTGCTAATTATTGTAACTGTTCAGAAAAGAAGTTTTGCATCCCAAAATTTTTTTTAAAAAATAAGCTTCGCTTTGGATATCCTTAACTGATTGTCTTGAGACAAGGCTACAATTTACTACAAAAATTCTTTTTACGTTTATTCTTTATGAGAAACTTTAGTCTAATTAATCAGTATATAATGTAAAAAATTTGAAAAATATTGGAGTTCAAGTTTAACTGTTTTGGGTTAGGTTAAAAATTTGATCGATAATTCTAGAAGGCTTACTTTAAATAAATAATTTGTTAATTGAAAAATAATCTGCAAATTGTAAAATAATCTGTGTTATAAAATGGTGGAAATTTACAAATTTAATCCCTGCTGTGAGATTCACTCAGCAATTTTAAATTTCACTCTGCAAGATTTAATAGAGAAATAAAATTTGTCCTATTTTTTTTTTAAACAAAAACTTTTTTTTTGGATAACACTGTTCCACTATTTAATGTTGTTGTTCAACACATTTTGTTTCAGATACCAAGAACTAAGAAAAGTAAATCTGAATCTATTAGCAAACATAATATGATAAACCTTGTTGAGAGCTACATCTAATAAACATTAAATCCCTATTACTCACAATATAGGAAAATGCATATAATTCATCATGATTCTTAGATCTTAGATATAAATGCATATAATAATTTACTACAGATAAATCATTCAAATTTATCACATATAAAAAATGATACATATTCATAAAAAATAACATACCTCAAACTCAACATCTGGAAGCTGCTGCTGATTTAATGGTAAAAGAGCTATCTTCTGAATTTTATAAACATCATGACCCCCAGGTAACACACCAACAACAGCACGGTCACGAATAACAGCTAACCTTTTGTCAATATCTGGAAGTTTTAACATATTTTTACTAAAGGCTGTATTCATTTTAATTTATAACATTAACTGAAAAAAATATTGATGAACAGTATTCACATTGATTGTTATTAAAATGTCATTTAAAATATTTTAAAAATTTCTATTAAAAGAGAAAATGATAGTCTGAATATCTTTATTTTCCTTTCGGTATAAAAAAAGTTTAATTGAGTTAATTCAGGAAATTTTTCAACTCAAATAAAAGGCAATACATGATAATCAATAAACTCTAATAAAGCAATAATTATTTTTTTTTTTAAAGCGACTAAACTGTAGAATGAAAAACAAATATAAAGCAATCAGGGTTATCAGAGTCAAAGATACTTTTATAAAAAAGGTACGTAGTAAGGTTTTTTTCAAAAATACAAAAATAAATGTTCAACTAAGATTTAATTAAATGTTAAAGATAATTGGTTAAAATAAGTTTTTCATCTTATAAAAAATTTTTAGACAAATATTTATATAATTAAAAAAAAAAAATGACAAATACTTAAATAACAATTTATCTCAAAATAATTCATTACATTAGAATGCTTTTCAATTCAAGTTTGATTAAACTATTCATAAAGAAAACTGAAAGCATACTCTAATTCCTGTTCCCTCAGAAAATTAAATGAGCAAAATCAAACATGAAAATAAATAGTGGATTAAAGTACCCACAAATACAATTTGCTTATAACTCATACAATTTTTTACATGCCTTAACTTCAAATACTTACATTAGTTAAAAATAAATATATCTTTACTAACTAATATCTAAATTAGCAATGTAGCTATATATTAAAACGATTTTTTTATTAGTAACAAATAAAAATTAATACAAAAGTCAGTGCTTTAAAAAACAAATATTAACAATAATTGTTTTTTTAAATACTAATTTTTATATTAATTTTAAGCAAAACATTTTTGAATACTTACCTTGCTGAATGGTAAATTTTCCAATTAATCCAAAAACAATACCAATGCATACAAAATCTGACAATTGTTCAACATCTTTAGCTAATAAAAAAATTCAAGAGATTATATGTCAGAAAGACAGTGAAAAATTACAAAACCTTGTCAAGAAATAAAAAAAAGTAAAATAAAAAAACAATATTGATTTTACTGTAATAATATTTTGGTGATTTGTTTTAAAATTTTTAAACACGTTCTTATCCACTAATCCTACAACAAAATTACAGTAAATATAAAATCACAAAAATAATTTTAGTTCCAATATAGGGTTGAGAATTTACCATCTATAAGTTAAGAATAAATAAATGATAAATAAATAAATGAACAATAATAACTAAATAAATGATAAGTCCATTTTAATACAGTTTGCTTTTATATAAGAATACAGAAATAAAAAATATAAATTCTAATAAAACTAAAATTTTTCTTAATTCTAATTAATTAACTAGAACAAGTTTACTGATACAAAAATACAATATCAGGCAAGTTTTCAAAAATTATTGGAATTCAAGCTTTGCCAATTTCTAAATTTAAATTTTTGTAAACAAACTTGCAAACATGGCTTTTTATTAAAATATAGAAAAAACATTACTTCTCAGTTAACTGAGCACAAAAAGAAAAGTTTTCAAATAATTTAAAACTGCGCCAAAACAATTAATAACATTTAACAACTAAAATTTTTTCGTTATATGTATAATGTTTTCCACATTGTTCAAAATTTTTGGTTTTGTTTTGGATGATTTTTTTCGTCTCTTGAGGAAGTCTCTTTCGTCTCTTTTATACTTCCTTTCATAAAAAAGTTGCCAAAAAAATAATAAATGGAAGATTCTTGTATTGTGATCTTTGGCAGATTAATTGACAAATCAAGGTGAATTCTAAGTGACAACCAACGTGAAGCATAAAAAAAATCTTGGAAAGGGATCAACTTGAAGGGTATAACTCGTAGCAACCCTTTCGGCAAAAATTTGCATGTTTTTTTTTTAAAAAATGTATAAGTTTAAAATCTATTTGACACCTTGGCAATTGTATGAAATGGAATATCCCCAAAATAAATAAATAACTGGTGGGTTTTTAAATAATTAGCACTCTTTTAATCAAACCGTAACAAAAGCTTAATTTAGCTTTATAACATGGAGATATGATATTAGAAAATTAAGATGTAGTAAATGAGTTTATAAGTTAAAAGATATTCAGTTAGATAATTAAAATATAAATATTTATGCTTTCGATTTTTGTTTTGAGGTTATTATTAACAGAATCATTTCTAAATTCTTTAAGTTATTAAAAATTCATAATTAATAACTTTAATCAGAAAAAACACTATTCAAGCAAGACACGTTATGATATTCATCAACAATTAAAGATAATTATTTAATTATAAACATATTAATTATAAAAGAATATAAATAATGTTGTTGATAATCAAAGCTGGTTAGCCACTAGGGATAGACCAAACCAGGGTTGGCAAGTTTTTCACACATGACGGTTTTTACCGTCATGGCAAAAACCCTCTGTCAGAAACGTCAAAAACCCATAGTTTTGGTAAAACTGTATTTTTATTTGAGCCTAACTGCTTATAATTTAAAATTAATTGGTTTTTGAGCAATAAACTTAGAAAAAAAGTTGTTAAAAGATATTTAAGAACAGATTCTTGCCTTTTCCCAACATGAATATATCAAAACATACTATTTGAAGTAAAATATTAGGATACTAAACTAAATTTTCAACATTTCCAAGCATCATTTTGTTTGGCATATTACATTACTGAAGAATGTCACGATTGATTACTTTCATTCATAAAATCTTGCTGTGAGAAACACATGTACACATAAATAGAAAGCCTCATAAAATAAACTTTTTGTATCAATTTTGCTTTCAATATTTTACACAGAAATGAGACATGAAAAAGCCTGGGAAATCCTTTTAGAGTTTCAATATTTCTGTATGAATGGATATCCTTCTATAAGAATACATGTATATAGTTGCAAAATCATTAGCAATCATTTACAACATTCATTTATAAAGGCAATTATGTGAAAATAATATATTGTCCGCTACATGCCATATATTAAAGAAAACAGTAGGTTTTTGACGGTTTTTACCGATAAAAACACTATTTTTACCACTTTCGTGTCAAAAACCAGTTTTTTGTGGCAAAAACCCAACCCTGGACCAAACCCATGAGACCATGAACTGACAAAAAGGAACATACAAAAGGAACAGACAAAAAGGAACAAAACATAAGAATTCTGAAACAAATCCTCATTAACAAATCCCAGCATAATAGATGATGTTGAGAGATGAATTAAAGAATATTCCATAGTCTACAAATAAAGAGGTCTTATTTTCCTAGTCAAATTACAGACGTTTTCGGTGTCAACTAAGGAATTTTGACAAACATAATTTAAATAATCATATAAACAATAAGATAATGGATAAAATCAGTCCCTTGAATTCCCTTGATTTATTGAATTATTATTTGAAATAGATTAGTTTAAGTGTTACACTGTGAATTGTTATTATTAGTATTGTAATTCTTAATATTCATAATAATGATACAAAACGGATTTATTTCAAAACCGTAATTTCCATAGTGAATTTATTACTTCAATACAACTAACATGTAAGACACCCCTTTTTGTACCATATGTCAAAGAAACCTCAGAACTAAATCGTAATTTTAAAAAAATTTACTAAGTAAATTAAGTACTTAGTTTATATTTTGCTGTCTGTAATCGTAATGCATACACGTAAATGAGTAAACAGTAAACTTATAACAATTAAGAAAATTAAAATATTCAAAGTTCCTTAACATTTAATGATTACATTCGAAAAAACTGCGGTATTAAACTCTTCCAATGTAAAAAAAATTAAAAAATATTTTCAATCATATATTTAGACAACAAATAGAAATGATTCTCTTGATTCTATGAATAATTAATTTTTAGAAACCTATTTNTACCATATGTCAAAGAAACCTCAGAACTAAATCATAATTTTAAAAAAATTTACTAAGTAAATTAAGTACTAAGTGTATATTTTGCTGTTTGTAATCGTAATGTATACACGTAAATGAGTAAACAGTAAACTTATAACAATTAAGGAAATTAAAATATTCAAAGTTCCTTAACATTTAATGACTACATTAGAAAAAACTGTGGTTTTCAACTCTTCCAATGTAAAAAAAATTAAAAAATATTTTCAATCATATATTTAGACAACAAATAGAAATGATCCTTTTGATTCAATGAATAATTAATTTTTAGAAACCTATTTACTAATTTTTAGATATCTATTACTGGCACATAATGAAGCAATTTAAAAATTAAAAAAATCAATCAGAATTTAAGAAGAAAAATTTTCTAGCATGGAAAATTAAATAGAAATTCAACAGAATAAACAAATAGAGCGTAAACAAAATGAAGGCAAATATTGAATCTTTCGGGCATACCCAGTTTAGGTGTAAAAGATCCATCTTTACGACTGCACCATAAGCTATGATCTTCATTTAAAAGAACATAGTACTCACTATTCATTAACAATTCCATGTTTAGTTAATGAATTTATAAAAAAGAGAATTTCAATATGTTGTAAATCATTTTTTTGTTGTAAACAGATTATATTCAAACCGTCAAAACACCCGTACTCTTTAGAAGACGACTGATCAAAAAACAAAACCAGAAGAAAACCTCTTACTCTCAGTTAAAGTTACATACATATTAATTTTTTAATTTTTTAATAAGTTACATTTATTCTTGTTTATTCTCATTTAATTATTAAAATGGTTTTTGAAATTTTAATATTTCGAATAACAAAGAAGACAAAATATTTTAAAAAGAAATTGAAATAACGTTTCCATAATCGAAAATGAAGCAAACGTAGGCCGTTATAAACCTTCAACTTTAAAGATAAACAAACAAAACCTAGTAGACGATCAAATGATCTGTGATCTCATATTTTGATAAGTTGCTTTGCGAAGTGAAATAAATTTATTGTTAGTTCAAATAACTGTCGGAAAATGGATCCCGCAAGTCGACTCATTCTTAAACAAAATGAAAAGTCTATCAGAGAGTTAGATATGTCTAAATTACGTCCACTTTTGATTGAGTTTAAAATTTTTACCAACTTTATGTTAAGTGACATTTATGACACTAAATCTGAAGCCAATTTGTTTGATGAATTACCTACTCGAGGACCAAATGCCTTTTCAAAGTTTGTGAAAGTTTTAGAGAGAGCTGGCTATACTTCTCTGGCCAATGAATTAAAAAATACCCCTAAATATGCAGAAACACCCAAAGTGAAATCAGTATTTTATTCCATGAAATCGAAACCTTTGGGGTACTGCGTTATAATAAATAATGTACAATTTGACCTTCTCGAAGAAAGAATAGGTTCAGATGTTGATGCCAAAGAATTACAAAAACTTTTTAAAGAATTTTTGGGATTTTCTGTTGAAGTGAAGCATAATATGGAAGGTAAAGACATGAAAAGATACCTAAAAACTTTTGCAAAGTCTGACAAACTCAAAACAGTTGATTGCTGTTTTGTTATTATATTAAGTCATGGTGATAAACATGGGGTTGTCTATGGCACTGATAGTTATGCTCTTCCGAAGGATGAAATTCACAACATGTTTAGTAATATTAATTGTGAAAATTTAAGAAATAAGCCTAAAGTATTTTTATACCAAGCATGTCGAGGAAGTGGAGAAGATCATGGTATAGAAAGTGCAGACTCGCCAAATGAATTGGAATATAATGACTCTGTGACAAGAAATTCAGTAACAGAAACTACGGATGCCTTAAAGTTTAAAACGAATACTTCTCCAGTTTTGGATACTACAGACGCAGTGCCATTTAAAGCAAACTTTTCTTCTTCATTGAAAAAGGATCCTTCAGAAAATGATATTCTTATTGTACATTCATCACTTCCTGATCATAAAGCTTACAGAGATCATATACGTGGCTCTTGGTTTATTCAAGACATAATTACAGTTTTTGAAGAGGAATATAAATACTGTGACTTAGAATATATGCTGAAAAGTGTAAGCAGGAAAATTCAAAAACGTTTATCTATTAGAGGTCAAAAGAAACAAGTGCCTCATTCTGAAAGTAAGGGATTTAGAGCTTTGTTACATTTATGTAGCAATGAGGACTACAAAGGTTGTGATATGGCTGCAAGAGAGTATCTATTCCAATGATATTTATTTGGCTTAATTTAAACCAATGTTTTAAAACTATTAATGCTTTAAAAATTATCTTATATAGCGATGTATACTAAAGCCCTCTAACTTGCCCCTTAATCTAATGAAATTGTTTAATAATACAGTGGCTCTTAATTTATTTTAGCTATAGAACCTTAAATGATTGGGCTTCTTTTGGCAGAACGCCAGTATTATAAAAAGTAAAAAGTTTAGCAGCCATAAATATACTTTAAAAATAAGTCTATTAATTATTTTGAAAAGTTTAATGGAAAGGTAGAAATATTTAATTCTATGAATTTATTCGTGGTGCCTATGATGAAAGTGAATAAAATAAGCTGAATTATGGTTTTCCAAAAAAAAAACCTGTTGTAAACGTTGAGAAGAAGTTATCAGAGAAATATAATTCATTGTTTTTTAATTTAGTTATTTTATTTGGAATTGAAAAGCTTGATTAGAATTTATTATTGAATTTTTTCTAAATGCGTATCCCTTTCTCATTTTTTTTCAATATATTGTTATTAAAAAAGTATGTTTTTTTTTCTTCTTAATTTTGCTACTTTTTTTAATAGCATTTGACATAAATAAGTTAAAAAATCTTAATAAAACAACTGAAATATTATTTAAATTAAGAATTCTTGATTGGATATAAATATACATTACTGGTTTAAAAAATCCTAATTCTCCGATTCAGCAACAGGGTGTTTTTATAAATCATTATATTATTTTCAAATGCCATCTAGTACTCTACTGTTCTACAATTATGCTAATTTTCTCCCTCAACATTGGATTTTTGAGCTTTTGCGGCCTATTAGTCAAAAATGATTATGCATCCCTGATCTTAAATGTGTCATAAAATTTATTGTGATATTCTAACTTTTTTTTTTTTTTAGATTATTATTAATTTTGTAAGTTTTATATTATTAATGTATCAAAGAATTGGTGCCATGTTTTCTAATGACATGCTTCGTTTTAAATTCAGTTACTTTTTATTTACTTGCCGTATCTATATTTTTTAGTTTGAAAATTAAGCCATGAAGTTTATCATAAAGAAAATGTATTATGAGTTTTAGCTGAAATTATTTAATTTTTTGACCAATTGTTTAGCTGCATCTCCAGTTGCTATTGTTTCATTTGTATAAGCATTCTGTAAAGTGACAAATATTTTTAAAAAGTTATACAATTTTATAAGAGAACATAACATTATAACTTAAGAATTATGTAAAAACTGTCAGAGTTGTAAATAATGTTAAATAAAAATCCCAAGAATCTGAAGCAGTAAAATATTACTTGAATAAAAACTTCCTTTACTTTAAAAATATATAAATGGGAAATAACAATCAGCATGTTTCAAGCACTCAAAAACAGGTGCCTATTTTCAAGAGTTCGCAGACACAAATGAGAAGAACCTATATTGAATTCTGAAACANTTTTTTTTTTTTTTTTTCATTCAAGCCTAGCAAGTCTTGAAAATGGGTGCCTGTTTTTGAGCATTTGAAACGTGTCTACTATTATTTCCTATTTATATATCAAATAAAGTAATTGTAATTAATGTACCATTAAGAAAGGATTGAAGACTACAAAGCATTATTACTTGTTATTGTCTGTAATAATTTCTAAAAATTTTGTTCAAATTATCCTATAGCAAAAGTAATTAAAAAAATCTAAATGCAGAACTTAAACTGAAAATCCAAATTTGGTTGTGAATGGTTTTAAAATGACATATTTTACATTATAAAATTACATTAGAATTTCTATTATTCCTTTACACTAAATATAAAGCAAAAGAAAAAAAGATTTTCATGGGTATGTTTCATTTATATAATAAGTGATTTTTTAGATTTATTTTTTATTAATTAATTTATTTGTTTGCATATACAAAGATTTCGTTTCTTTCTTCAGTACCATTAAAAAGCAATACTGAGTTGAAAAATCAGGATTAAGTTCTCATAGCTTGTAAAATAATTTAATTTTACGTTTTTCTGACTCCGTTCTATGTGTAAGCAATTTAAAAATATCCAAATAGATCTGCTCCTGTTTGCTTCACTTACAGAATACTATTTAAATGATTCTCTGTAATTTTTATTTCTTGTCTTAAACCAGATTATTCCTTTAAAAATTTTCTTCGTGATTTTATTGTAATTACTGAGTGACAATATAATTTTAAAAATAACTTTGCTTCAAACGAACAAAGTTCATTCACTCCATATCAGCTTTAATTAATTCAACCATAATTTAATAATTTTATTTACCAACTACGCTTTATTGTAAGTGATACCATCTCTATAAAATTGCAGCTTTATAATTAGAACTGCCATAAAATTGTCATTCTTAAGAAGAATAAAAATCATTTGGTTGCCTAAAAATTACCTTTATATCATCTTTTGATGGTAGCATTCCAAATTCTCAAAAACAATCACAAATTATCAGAACCAAAGTTAAAGAAAAAATTGCCACCATAAATTAATAAAAATTGAAAATAATATTGAAATAATATCAAGTATGAACAATTCAAAGGTGAATGTCATAATGAATTAAAAACAGCTTTTTTTTACTTATTTTGTGCTAATAACTGTTAAATAATAATGAATCTTAATTTATTGAAGATAGTTTTTATAAGAAAAATCGAATAAGAATGTTCTAATAACTATCAGAAATTTAAGATACGTCATATTGTATTTAATAGAGAACAATAAAAGACTCATTGTTTTAAAAAAATATTATAGATATTTAAATTGAATCAAATTTATTTAGCTTGATGTAACTTGTGATAATTGTTTTGTATATCTGTGTAAAATCAATTTTTCTACTTATGCATACCTTAGCATGTAAAATATTTGTTTGTATGATTAATATTGTATTTTTAGATAAGTCTTAAAGCATATATTTTATTATGCAATTATAAAATTGAATAATAAAATTTTTGATTGGATTCTACATGGAAGAATTGTAATTTTTGTTAACATTTACAGTGCTCAAAAAACGAAAAAAGAAAGAAAAGATATCACCCTGAATAACTTTTGTTCTAATGATCGGATTTTCACATTAGCTAATTAATTTGTGCTTACTATTACTTAAGTTACAAAATCATACTCAAAAACGCATTTTTTTTAATTAATCAAATATATATTTTTTTAGCATATTTTAATTCCTGACTCTCAAAATAGGGGGAAGGCAAAATTTCGAAAAGATTGGATCATAAAATGAGGGGCTGATAAGTTAGGCATAGTCGCAAAAAACAGCCAAGCAAAGTTACCGCCGCAAATAAATATTTTAAGATAAGCCATAGACTAATTCAAAAGAAAGGAATACTCCGTTGCTAAGCAACCAAGTTCAGACAATAAAAAAAGGAAAAATTGAAATAATTTTCTGTGATTGCTCAGAAAGGTTTATTTATTAATAGTTATTAGAAAATAGCTCGAAGTTTTTAGGCAATAGATAATTTTTATCTTATTTCTGACCAAAGAGCAAAGATTTATCTGATACTCTCCTTTTAAATTGAGTTCGTAAGTTCCTTAAGATGCAGAAATGGTTGCACAAAAACTTAAAAGATAAAATATTAAATTTCATTGACTCAAAATATCTGATCTCAAAGTTGACTTGCTTCGAGCGTTCAAAAATAGGCGCCCATTCTCAAGACTCGTCAGGCGTGAATGACTTGTGATGCTAGTTATTGGACGCTCGAAAACATGACTACTTTTATTATCATCTATTATTTTTTAAATCCGTGAAGTTTTTATTTTTTCTATTCTGTTTATCGGGATTATTCATTTACAAAGTATATTAAAGCATTTATAAAGTATATTAAATACAGCATACTAAATTACTTCACTCGATATTAAAATAAGTTTTACGTAAGATTAAGGCATAGGTTCTTATATTAAGAAACTAAAAATTAGTCAATACTTTCTAAAAAAATCAATGCAGTGCAACTTTTTTTTTTTTTTACTGCTAGCCTTAACACTTTTTAAGGACAAAAAAAAAAAAAAAAAANATTGATATTTCAAAAGTCGAATGTGAAAATTGAATGTTCCCTAGCACCAGGAATCAAAATAAAATAATAGTTACAAGGACAGCTATTTCAAACAAGTTAACGTTTCCGTCTTACTCGAAATTGTTTGAAAATGCAATTTTTATTTATTGATTCCAAAGTTTATTCTATATTGTATATTTTAGAGTATAATTTAGGCGTACTTTGATCGAGTTTATTTTTACACCAACATTTGCTTAAAATTATTAAATAATTTGCTTAAAATGAATTATTCAAGCTATATCATTTAATGCATTCATAGTATAATAGTAAACGGGGCTTCCATAAGCATATCCTTAACCTTAATACCGCTATCATTAAATAAATGGAATAAGCTTAGATAAATAATAAAATAAGATAAATAATAAATTTTATGACGAAATATAGGGAAAATTGGTATTCACAGTTTCTGTTTAAAAAAAATAAAAAATAACCTTCTCACTACGCATTTTTTTAAAATCAAAATAAATTCGAAAATTGCGTGTTTTTTATTACATTTTTTAAATCAGATGATGATTCTAAAATTGGCACAGCTTTGGAATCTTTTTACAAGTTTCAATTTTTAGTATTTGCTGTTTTATAAAATAAGGCATTTTCCTAAGAACAAATTATGCTATGACAATATCTGGCGGATTGTGATAAAGTTGAAAATTAAACTTATACTAAAAGTTATTTTTTCATCATCTATTTTTAAAAGAACAATTTTCTTAATGTTAACGGTGTAAGTTTAAACATCAAAATAAAATTACGGTTCGAATTCAATTGAAAAACAAAGCAAACAGTTGTGGTTTTTTGAGTTGCACTATTTACTTTTCATAAACCAAATAAATAAGATAATTAAATAATCTTATTATAAGATAACAAATAAATAAATAAATAATTTGTTTAATCTCAGAGGAAAGGGTGCACTAATTTACTACGATCAATCAGTTTTGCACTAATTTTACCATAGAAAATGTTCTTTAATTCTTAGCTAACGCGCTATAGTCCTGAGACTCGACAAAAAAAAATTAGCAATAACATAAAACGAGTATTAATTTAAAGAAAAACTTTATGGGGCAATGAAAATTAAATAAAATAGTTAAGTATATTATCGGGAGAGAAAAATCTACGTGATAGCATAAAGAAAGAGTAAAAAATGTAATGAAATAATTAGTTGAATAGTTCTGTGAATCAATGGTCAAGTAATTAAAAATTTTATTACAAAATTAAATTTACGACATATAAGATACTGAGCTATAAATTTTGGCTAGGTATTCGACAGCTCTTTATGTTTAGTATTTTTATACACCTTGTAGTGGCTTATAAAACATCAACACTATTTTTAAATGATGTATGTTGAAATCACAAGAAACAATAAAAAAAGATAATAATTTATCTTCATTTATCGAAACAAATGGTTTGCTTAGTAAATAGTCAGCTGTTTTGCATAACTTTAAACAACAGAATGTTTTTAATTTTTTAACAAGATTTAATTCTCAGCTAGCAAGCAATAATTATAACTTTTCTTTTAATAATAATTTAAAGAAGAATTTTATTTAAAAGGCTAACCTATATTAAATTACTAAAAAAAATTGATTAGTATATTAATAAAAAACTAATATGCCTGGCAGGGTAAAGAATAAGATTTTTAAAAAATTTTAAAATTTAATTAAATGGTAAAGTAGTTCCGTGGAACACGTGAGGACAGGTAATTAAAAAAATTATTTTAAGATTAATACGATATATAAGATGTTGAGAAATTTTAAGATGCTTAAAAATGTTGACTACTTATTCGTATTAATAATTATAAAATACATACTGAAGAAATTGATAAATATATTATTCCAATAATATAATATATTATATTTGCATATGTAAGTATATAATTTAAATTGTATCAGTTATTAAAAAACAGACTAAATAAAATATAATCACAATCTGATATATAATCCCATTCTACCAGAAGCATGCTTTCAGAAAACTCTCCATTCGATGAATAAAATGTTTTTATTCAATAAAATGTTTTTTTCAAATTTCTTTACTGAATTACGAAGAAATTTTTTGACGACTAAAAAAGAAACATACGCTCCTTGCAGTTTTGGTATAAATGTTAAAATTTATATCTGACAACATTTAAATTCTCCCTTATTTTTTATCTTTTTTATTTTGGTATTCGAGGTATTTTGGTATTCTTTTTTTATTTGGTTTTCGAGGTCTACAACAAGTAAACCTCGAAAATGCTTATAAAATGAAAATTGCGAGGTAGATAAACTTTTATACAACAATGGATAAATAATTATTGTTTAAAGGGGGAAAAAACACTTTCGAACAAATAGGAATTTCGAAAACAGAGGGAGAAATTCGTTAAAGCTGTAATTTGAAATGGTCTTGTCAGCGCATCAAATTTCAACTCTATAGTTGCATTTCAGCGGATAGTACATCGACCAACATTTTTTTAACTTCAAGTTTTACCTCTGACTAATAATTGGAGCCGTAGTCCCTCAAGGGACAGAGTATTCGCCTCCCAATGAGGTGAGGCGGGTTCGAATCCCAGTGATGGCTGGTCGATACGAATTCCCCACCACGCTCGCACCGATTAAGGTGCTGACGTAAAATATCATCAGTGGTCGACGTATCATGGGTTAGAGTCCCCTAGCTGGCTATCAGACTAACCGTGGGAGGCTTTCGTAGTTTTCCTCTCCGTGTAACACAAATGAGGGTTAGTTCCATCATCCTCCAAGAAGGCAAATATTTCACCCAATACTTGATCCTGGAGTTCTCTTGTCTGCTGGATTGAGTTCAAAATTAAAAAGATACGGAGTTGAACATTAATAATTGTAAGCTCAAAATTCGTCGGCTGTTCTATGACGGTTATAAAATAAACTAATAATTGGGCCGGGATAGCCTGATTGGTAAGGCGTTGGACTCGTGTTCGTGAGAATTCTAATCCAGCACACGAAAAATATCCGTGTATGAAATGGTGACTGGGGTGCGTTAAATCTGTCGGGGCTACAAAGTCCTCCAAGTTTCCATAACAAATCAATACCTCTGGGTACTGATCTAGGAGTTCCCTTGTTTTCTGGATTTCGTTCAAAATTACAAGGCTACGGAGTTAAACATTGGTAGAAGTAAACTCAAAATTTTGTCGGCTGTTCAACGACGGGTATAAAATAAAATAAAACTACTAATCGAATTGTGATTTCTTGTATTCTTTCAAACTCCTTGCATATTTTTGCACACCTTCATAATTTCAAGTTTCTAAGTCATATAGATTTTGAGCAGCAAAGCTAAATGTAAGGTAAAAAAAAAACAATTTAGAAAAAATTCGCAAAAAAATAAGCATTTAAAATTGCAAATAACATATATTAGGATTTCGAAGAAAAAGAATTTGCTAAATATATAATGGCCCTTCCAGCAGCATGCCAAATTTTGACTCTGTGTTTAAAATGTGCTTATGAGGAGTTCAAAATGTTTTTCTGGAGTAACTTTGCTTTCCTCTTTCAAAAATTATGTGCAATAAAAGAAGGTTCTACATTATAGTCTCCTCACAATCAATATATTTAACAATCAGGTAATATTATCAATTTTTTTAATAATTTAACTCTAATATTACTCAACAATAAAGAATAATGACAGTTTAGGTGTATAGAAATAGCATAGAACCTCTAAGGGTTCCATAATTTAATCGGCCCTGATCATTTGTTTTGTCCAAAACATGCTACATTAAAAGCATATATGTTTAACATAATGAAGGACAGTTTCAGTTTGCTAATTTTTTTAAATTTTTTCCAATGAGGATTTGTTTAGTACAAACCATTCCATGTTAAGAATATATATGTATATAATTTTTTGCGATTAGGAATTCATTTAAAGCTTTGTTTCAGATTAAAAAGTAAGTGAGCGTCAATTTGTTAAAAAAAAAAAAAACCCATATATTTGAAAAAGTAAGTACTCAAAGTCTTCAAGAATCGTTTGTTTTATACAAATATTCCACCTTAGGAGCTGATATACAGTGATGACATTTTAGAGGACACTTAGCGAATTTCTCTTAATTCTTTACCAAACCAAAACAAACCAAAAAAAACCAAATCAAAGGTTTTTAATTTGGTTTTTACTCTCTTATATCTATCGAGGACATGAAAATACGTAATACTAAATTAGAGTTATATGAACGATATACAAAGAGGATGTTTATATATATATATATATATATACATTAAAAAGAGAGAGCTATTTCAACGAAAAACCTTAAAAGAATTAACCACATACTGGTCAATAGATTGTTAGCAAAAGAACNATATATATATGGCTGGCTGATTTGGAATAGTTAAAATATGGTTGAACCAGGCTTTGTGTATATTGCTTTTACGGAAATTCTCTGGGAGCATGTTCCGGAATTAGTTTCGGACCAGTAATTTAAATGAGTGCAGAGAGATGGAGCAACGAGATGCTTGGGCAATAGTTGTTCCTTTCTTGGCCAAGAAATCAGCTTTTTCACTACCCCAAACTCCGCAATGACAAAGAGGATGCTCGTTACAGGAATAATTCCCGTGACTCTTTTTGAGACATCCATTCCTTGATAAACTATAGATCAAGTTATCCATATCTCATCCACGTAAGTGCTCCGGCGTATGTGTGTCTGGTTGATGGCTTTAGACTTCCTCTAGATCTTCCCTGGATCATCTATGGATGTCAAGTTGACGTCCACCTGGCGACCATATAGACCTTCGTCGTAGTTGTTTAGGATAACGTATAGTGGACATCCATTTATTTCGTGCTAAATGGAATTAGAAAGAAGTACGTTAGTTTCCGTTTTGATTTTCAAATAGATTAAAAACGCTTAAAATAGGAATTCCGTTCCATATAGTTTAAACTATATGGAACAGAAAACTACTCTGAACATAGTTCTAAAAAAGAAAAAAATGCATTGTGGAAACTAAAAAAAAATATTTTTGACTAGTAAATACGAAAAATTTTAAGAAAGGCCAGAAATCAAAATCCTAGAAAGCATTTTTCCGGGTCGTAAAATTACAAGCTTGTTGGCGCGTTGCCTTGAACTGAAGAGATGTAGCGCATTTACTACAAATCAGATTTAATTCTGAAGGCAAAAACTCCTCTCATTTTGTTTAATTTTTCAACCGTGGTGATTTTTAAAAATAATAGGTAGGTAGATACTTTATACACGTCACACCAGAGCTTCACAATGTGCTATTGACGAACATCCCTGAACTGGGTATGGGAAAGATACCTGAGGATGATCGGAAGACATACCATCGCAATTTTCATTCTCTGCAGAGAGAATGGATTCCCTGTTTTGATAGCTCGATGACCTGCACATGAAGTTGAGCACTTTACGGTAGCTCAGTTTAACGAGGACTGATACCGCACACCTACTTTCCCTTCGCAGGCTGATCAAAGTGGTTATCCACCCGCTTACGGACTGCAGCCAGTGATGATTGACTTCGTTGCTCTGCTGGGAACCGTCTTTTTATGATTAGTCCACTGTGGGACCTAAGAATAATAATCTGAAATGGATCGTCTGATGAAAAGGGGTCGTTTAAAGTTTTTCGAAAACTTTTGAATGCGTCGCGGATCATGGTCATCGGAGGTGTGGGAATTGCTTACAGTGAGAATAGCTCTTCAGATAACATGTTTAAGAATTTACATAAACTACTTTTATATTAATAAAAGTAAACTGGCAATACTTAGTAATTGTTTGTAAACAAGCTAATCGTGCGCTCTACGGTCGTACAANGTAAATTAATAACAACAACAACAACATGTTTAAGAATTTACATAAACTACTTTTATATTAATAAAAGTAAACTGGCAATACTTAGTAATTGTTTGTAAACAAGCTAGTTGTGCAGTCGTGCGCTCTACGGTCGTACAAATTAAATACATTTGCAACCATAAAATATGGACATTTGATTATCCTTTTATAAAAAATATAAATAAACACAAGTAACTGAAGAAATCCACTTTATACTTACATTCACGGTATGCCTAAGAGCCTAAGTAGAAGTTTTACTAATACAAAATTGTCTCTCATTTTCCAAGTGTCTAAACAATTGATATTGAAGTTATGAATGTAACATTATTTTGAAATATAGTACTGAAAAGAAAAAATAATAATAATTGAAGTATTCCTGTATTTTTAGTGTCGTAAATATGCGATTTTTAGCTAGTAATTTTTACTTTAAACTATAATGACAATTTGTTTCGTTAGTAATACAGAGCTCATTCTAGGCAGAAAAAAGGGCAGGGTGCAAAAGTTTTAAAAAAGGGCATTATTATGCTAAAAAGGCAATAATTTTACTTTATATTAAAAACACGAATTCTTTACACGTTCTATTAAAAAACATTGTCAATTAGTAAAAGAATTTTTTTTAAAACCTAACTAAGAGTAGCAAAGCAATCATTAATTGCTTATTTTCATTAATAAATTAACATATGTATCGAGTTAATGAGCTAATTAGCTTGGTAATTTATTTAAAATGCATGTATATATTAATAAAATAATAAATGTATGTTTTTAAGTGTCTGTAGTTATGATTAAATAATTAAAATGATTAATAATAATTATGATTTAATGATAGTGGAAGTAACTGCAAACTTTCAAAAACAAGTGCAACAATGAGTTGTGATGGCTATTTTTCCTTTCCCATATAAATCTATGTATTGACAGCAATGACAAACTAAATAAAAAGAGTTAAAAATAAAAGTTTAAGAAATCCATTACAGAGTTTGGGGAAAAAGTAAAGTAGGGTTGAGGAAAGAAAGGGCAAAAAGGGTATGGAGTCTATTACATCAGGGCACTAATTTACTTCAGGGGCAACAGGGTGAATTCTTTTGACTAAAAGGGCAGCAGGGTGCTGCGCCCTGTTTACCCTGCATAGAATGAACTTTGAGTAATAGAAAATAATTTGTAATCACAACACTTCATTGTTGACAACTTTAACTGGGAAAAAGAAAATTATGCTTGCTGTTTGTAGGAAAAATATTTTGTTCTCTATGTCATGATCGCTAATAAAAAGTATTTAACATCGCTAAATTTAATAATTATTACATTTAATGGTTTAAAATGTTTCTGAAATTAAAACTTGCTACTGTTTAATATTACCTGCTAAATGCTTTTTTTTTCTCTAGACATAGGAGCTATCTAGTTAAAATTAGTCTAGATGCAGATGCAAAACGTGAAAAGTAAGATCAATATAATAAAAAACCGTTTCACTGCTTAAGTGTGATAGTTAAGAATTAATATTTTTTTTTTAAAAAAGAAATATTGAGTTTAATAAATGTGGAACTAATCATCTGAGAGAGAAGAAAAAGCTTCCACATTTAAGCAGATGACTCATTTCTATTAAAAGTGAAAGTAGTATCATCTGTCTCAGGTTAAAGGATGCATGTATTGTTGGTATTTAATTCATATTGATTTATTAATTATGTTTTTGATTTTCAGTTTATTTGAAAAGGAGAGAAATGGATTTGCTTCCAAAAGATCACAAAGAATTTGGCAATAAAGATTATTGGAATGAATTTTTTTCAAAAAGGCAACATTTTGAATGGTATAAATTTTTTCTTCCGTTTTGTTTATTTTTGGGGGATATTTCCGTATCGTGATCTGTTGCACCAACTACAATCGTAAGGTGCCAAATAGATTTTAAACTTGCAAATTTGCAAGAAAAAGAAAGAAAGAAAAAAAAAAAAACGTGTAGATGTTTGCCGGGCATTTTTGCCAGACATTTTGTGGAAGGTCCGTTTCTGCAAAATTGTGGAAAAAATTACTCATAATTTGTGAATTTAAAATAAAGAGCAGCTAGAAAAGTCACATTCTTACAATCAGGGTCCTCTTTTGTGATTTTATGCAAATAGGGTCCTGTTATTGCAAAAAACTTATTCAAGGAGTTTTTAAATTGTAAAGACATTCAAGATGTGAAATTATAATTAAAAAAAATTAATTTTTGAAAAATAACCAGCAATTGCTGCTACTAAATTAGAGATGCAACATACAAATATTTGGTATTTAGCCTATACTGCTGCTGCAGAATATTGATTTTGGACGAATAAAGGAAGAAACGTCTGCCGAAAATAAAACTTAGTTCGTTTACTTCTGTCTTTCTTCCACCCCTTCCTGGGAAAGGTTTATTCGATTAACAAAACAATAATGAAATAAACAAATTTGTGAAGGGTCCGATAAATAGAAAAATGATTTTGTGAAGGGTCCGTTTTTAAGTTAAAATATTTTGTGAAGGTTCCGTTTTTATGAAAAGATATTTTGTGAAGGGTCTGTTAACGGACCCAAATTGAAGTAATTCATGGACCACTGCCCGGAAAATTCCAAGACTTGGCGATTATTCTGCCACAGATCATAATATGGAAATCTCCCATATTTTTTATGGAGTTTTGTTGTTTCATTTATTTATGTGAATTAAATGTATCATTATTAATGTTAATGTGTTGTTGAATATTTCTACCAACCTGCAGTGAATTAAGGATTTTTTGTGTGCAAATTATCCTTGCTATATAGCTAGAAAACAAAATATCTAATATTAACAGTGTACTTGTTAGTAGGGGAAAAAAAAGTCCTGACATTCTAATAGACATTAAGATAACATTGTGTCCTAGAAATAGCAAAAAGAACTGAATGCATTGGTCATTATAATGGGAGGTTCGCTGTAATGAGAGGCTGCACTAAAGATTATAGACTGTAATTAATGTTATATTTAATGTTATAGTATGTAAAAAATTACTGATTAGTATATATTTAATCTTAAATCTATATCAATGTTTTAGGTATGGAGAATATGACAATTTATGTGAAGTTCTTGACAAATATATCCATGTCAAAGATAAAGTGCTGATTGTTGGGTGTGGTAATTCAAAACTTTCTGCTGACCTTTATGATGTTGGTATTTGTAACACAGTGAGCATTGATATAAGTGCACCCGTTATTAATCAAATGCAAGAGAGATATGGTAAAGATCGTTCAAAAATGCAATTTGAGGTTATGGATGTAATGAATGTAAGTTATTTGTGTATACTGATCTTTTTATTTCAGTTTTATAATTTTACATATTGTTATATTTGAAGTTAATGTTTGAACACATTTATTTATAACTAAAACCGAGTGTTTTCGGTTTCTGTGGTTTTACTTGTTCTGTTTTCTTACTTTTTTTTTCCTCTCACGACTACTGGGGTTTTCCTAGTTTTGTTTCACACCTTTTTTCCCCATTTTTTGTTAGAACTTTACCTTTTTTATTTCAAATCACTTTTTTTCTTCTCATTCCCATCTGGCAAGTCTTGAAAATGAGTACCTATTTTTGAGTGCTTGAAATTTTTCAACCGTTTTTTCTAACTTGTATATTTTTTAAGTGAATGAAATTTTTAATCAATAACTTTTTTTTTTAAAGGAACCCAAAATAACAATGATCTAACATTTTTTTTTATAAAAATAAAATAATTCTGATTGCATTCAATTTTTTTTTTGTTAACTTCTTTTTTGTGAATTTTTATTTTTGCAAATTATCTTGGCTTTATAGATTGTAAAGCTCAAAATTTATTCAGTTTTAATTTTTATTTAGAAATCAATGTTCTGATTCATAAATTTATTTAGATAACTTTCATTAGTAGTAAATTAAATTAAGAGGGCAAAGCAAATCTTACCATATAATTTCTAATATTTCATCTAGTCATGAATAAACACTACAGAGTTGCCTTCAAATGCCATTTAAAAGTGCATTTTGAATGTGATTATTATATAGATATGATATTGATATCTAGCTTTTTTTCCTAGTTTGTTTTAGCACAATTTCAATATTTTAAGAAAAAAAGTATATGTTACTCGTGTTACATAAAATTTAACTTTAAAATGTTACATTTAATTTTAATGGTGCATAAAAAACATAAATACAACATTTCATTGAGATTAGCATATGCTTAGTAATAAATAATGTAACTAATATCCTTGAACTAAGTTAAAAATTTCAACTTACTGCCTTCACAAATCTATGTAAAAGTGTTTTTGAATTTCAGTTTCATTCAAAAAAAAAAAAAANAAAAAAAAAAAAAAAAAAAAAAAAAAAAAAAAAAAAAAACTGAAGAGTCTTTACTGAAATTTAATTCTCATGTTTGTTTTATAATATTTTGTCTTTAAATAAAATTCATCTGGTATATTTTTATGTATAAAAAAATTCTTTTTTTTTTTGAACTAGATGAAATACGAAAATGAAACATTTGCTGTTGTCCTTGATAAAGGTACTCTTGATGCTCTCATGTTTGATGATACACAACAAACTCATGAAAAAATTGGTAAAATGTTTTGTGAAATTGAAAGAGTTCTACGAAATGGTGGAAGATATATTTGTTTGTCCTTATTGCAAGAACATGTTTTAAATAAATTGTTGGATTGGTGTGTAAACAAGTAAGTTCCCCAAAATTTTGTTTTATTTATTAATTTGCTGTGCTTAATATTTTTTTTTTAAATGTCACATTTCAGCATTTGAAAGCAAATAGCTAATTTGTATTAGACCATTATATCAAAGCTCATACTCTAAGAAAATAACTCTTAGCAGTCCATCAGACTTATCAGTGATCAATTAAACATGTTAGTAATAAATAATCATTTTTGTAAATAGTAAAAAAGGGGCAATTTTTCTCGAGGTAAATCTTTAATATATAACCCAGAGATGATTGTGCTCTAGAAAAAATCTGGATTTATGGATTTTTTTCTAACTGTGATCCGGAAGTTTTCAGAAATCCAAGGTCCAGAAGTTTCAAGAAATCGTCGATCACATTTATGTATAAAAATTCTCGTATTTTTTATTTAGTAATATTAGAACTAGAATTTATACTTGTCATTTCTTTCATTTGTAAATATTTTTTTCTGGTAGAATAATAAATATAATTAGAGATAGAAGTAAACTTATACATAATTATTCATTTAAATTATGCTGCATATCATTTATTTAGAATATCATGTTTTGAAAATATCAGTGATTTAAATTTATAAAGACATTGAATTATAAATTATATTGATACATTTTTGGAATGCGTCAATAATGATTTTTCTCAAGAACTTTTCAGGATTTTTGAGTTGGACTCACAATCACTCCTGATAACCTGCCTAAAAGGAAACATTTCAACCAAATGAAATAGTTCTTATGCAAAAATAAAATAGAAAATATCAGTTAAAAATCATTTGTTGTTTTTTCTTTCTTTGTTACTTTAAGATATAGGTGGCCAACACATGGTATGTATGCTAGTGAGGCATAACAGAACAATAGCATGCAAAAATGTTTTGAAAAATAATAAAACCGTCTTCAGGAGTTTGGTTTAAATCTGCAAAAAACCTATTCATATGCTCTAAGTGAAAGACTATTTTGAAATTGCAAGACTATTTGAAGAAAAGGATATAATCAATTATGTGAAAGCAAGGAGAATTCAATGGCTAGGACACCTTAATAGAGACTGGAGGAAAACAGAGGCACTAAGAAGATATTCAAGGGGCAGTGCCAGGGCCAAAGGAAAAGAGAAAGGCCGGTCAAAAGATGGTTTGACGAGGTGGAAAAAGACCTTAAGACTCTAAAAGTCCGAAACTGGAAACAAAGAGCTAGAGACAGGCGACTTTGGAGGAAAATTGTTGGTGAGGCCATGGTCCAACATGGACTGTAATACCAGAGAGTTAATTAGTTATGCTCTAAGTGCTCCAAATTACATTGAATACAGAAATTTGTACCAACAAGCAGTTTTCCAAATTTACATAATTTTGACTGTCCATTATGTCATATTTTATTTTCATATATTTGTCACATATTTTCGAGCATAAGTTGATATTATGTAAAGTATTAAGAAGATAATAAAATCATATTATTCAAATGTGACTGATGATATTCTCCTAAAACATTTAAAATTTTATTATTTTCAAGAAACAACTTCAATTTAGATTCAATAAAAAACTACAAATTCAGAAACTAATTTTTTAATAATCGCTTAGAATTAAATGTTTCAAGTTTTTCTCTTTTATTTTATAAATTCTCTTATCTAACTGAACCTTTAACAATGTTCAGTAACAATGAAACATTTGCAATTTGAAAAGTTTGCAATTTCATTTTATAGTATTTTTTTAATCTCCACTGGTCAGACATATGTGAAAAAATTTTTGATTGTGAAAAAATTAAAAAAAAAAAAGAATTTTTATTTTTATTTTTGGAAGGTACATGTATTATTTTGTTTCATCAGATTTTTCGCAATTTTTTCTCTTTCAAGTTGGCTACCTTTGGCGGAAGAATTTTTTATAATTTTAAGTGTAAATTTTTTTTTTTGATGAACTAATATGTCTGCACAAATAGCTCATTAATATTCTTTTTTTACAATCCCTGACATTTTATTTTGGAATTAAAAATTTGGACTTATAAAGTAATACTTCAAAATGTTCAAAAGGTTTGTGAAATATAGTCTTAATTTTTATAGTACGACTTTTCAATAAATTATCTAAACAGCAAGGAAATGTCTGTAAATTTTAACTTAAAGAAGCTTGTAAGTGTATCTAATAAAAAACTAATTTTAAAGTTTATTTGTTAGAAATTTATTGAGCCAAACTTATATTTTATACATTTTATTTTTTGTCTCTAGTTCAGAAATCTTTAATCAAAAATCAGTTTCACAAAATCAGTTCACTTTGAAAATCTGTAAATCTCAATTCATGTAGAATTTTTTTTGTTGCTCTTGTTGCACTTAGTCATTTAATTTTATATGAGTAAGATATTTTAAGTTCATTAAAAAATAATTGATGTCCATTGAATCTTAGATCTTGTAAAAAGTTCATATTTTTTGACAATGTATTGAGCTCAAATCTAATTGCAACATATTTCTTAAGGAAATTAAGTATGTCTCTATAGTTATGCATATTCCATTGTGTGTAGTTTTATGTGCTGTTTGTATAATATTTATTAGTTTTTTAATATCTTATTTATAAATAAAATATTTGCAAATAGTGGTTGGCAGTGATTTCATTTCTTGTAAATTTTAATTATTAATATATAAATTTTTAACTAACATAGACTCACGAAAATAAGAAAATATTATATCTTTCTTTATTGTATTTTCTTTTTTGAACCTAATATTTTTTAGCATCTTATAAAAAATATTTTATTCATGCGAGCTTTAAAATAGGTATATTTTGAGATTTGTATTATTTAAGTATTTAAGAGTAATTTGTATTACTTAAGTATTAGTCTCCTTTTTTTCATATATTTATCAAATTATTTAAATGCAAAACTAAAGATTCCTTCCTTTTATAAAGTTGTTTTTCAGTTAATAAAATAAATTGTTTTCCTTTTAATTAATAAATAATAAAAAAAATAAAAAAAAATAAAGTTTATGAATTATGTACTTTGTTTTAATTTACTATTATTGTTTTTAATTTGAATAAAAATTATTTCCCTTTCATGATTTTAATTTAATATTATAGTTTTTAATTTGAATAAAAATTATTTCCCTTTAATGATAATTACATTTTAAATAAAAACTTGTATATTTTTTGAGATTTTCATTACATTGCTTCCAGCGTTTATTTGATTATAAAGTTTAAATAAAATTAAAAAATTTCATGTTGAATTATAAAGCGAAATGTTGAATTATATTGCTAAATGTTTTTTTCAGAGGGTGGCTTTTAAGACTTCATCGATGTTTAAAAGCTGAAGTAAAGCATGAAAATTCTTTGTCTTTTCCAATTTTTGCTGTTATTTTAACCAAATTAAAGAAAATTACTGGTGCTCCTCTGGTAAATATATAATATGAATACAATAAATTATATTTTCAGTCTGATATGTATTTATTAAGATTAATCTATTTTGTACAATTTTTACTACATTAGTGCCATTTGTAAATTAAAATTAAAAAAAATTTGCTAGTAGAATTGTGAAAAGTTTTTCTGGAAAATCCTAGTCAGTAAAAAAAAGAAAAAATTAAGGTTCTTGTTTTTGAATTTCAGATTTTTGATCTTATATGATTTTTTTAAAAACATTTGACCGTTTCCATACTTTTTGAACATCCTGTATACTGTAAGCATTAAAATCAAAAGTGAAGTAATGAAGCAAATCTTTTTTTTTTTTTTTTCAAATTAATTATTGTACACTTGTTTCCATTTGTAAAAGTGTTATTTAACTTAAAACTAAAACTTTTAATTTTTCTTATATTATTTCATATGAAGTATTCAGCTGAAATTATATGTATATTTTAAAGGTTTTAGAGATTGTTCATGATGGGAATGCAACTCCAAAGCGTTATTCTTCTAAAGTAGATATTTTTGATTATGTCAAGTCTGTTCAACATTATGCATTTTTAAAGTATTATTTAAGTAAAAAGTAAGTTATTTTCATACCTGAAAATTGTAATATATTATTAAAAATTTTAATAATTCTAGTTTTAAAATTTAATTTTTGAAAAATTAAGGCCAGAATATATTTTAAAAACTTATTAATGCTATTAAAATTTTTAGTTATCATTTTTTACCTAAATCATTCATTTCTTCTTTTATTTTTAAATTTTATGTGATGTTTAGAAAAAACAGTATTTTCTAAATTTATCTGTGTTCTATAATATGAAATTATTCATAATCCACTTTTATCCTTATTTTCGTTTAATGTGGACTAGTGAAAAAATTAAAGTTAACCATTGTATGCAAAATCATTATTTTCCATAGTGCAGTTTTTACAAAAATGCACTTCTCCTCTTTGAACTCTCATATTTCTTTTCGAGAAAAAAAAGTTGAAAAACTTAATATAATCCTTTAAACATGTACAATAAACACGCTTAATAACTTTCATGCAACTCTTGATGTTGGCGACTTTTTTATATTCTAAACATAAAAATATAAAGTTGGAGTTCCAACAATCATTACAGTTAGAAAGGAATTTTGTGGATAGATTATATTTACACATCTTACAATCAAAATAAGGAGAGACAAGACGAAAGAAATTAAGTATTTTAAAATTGAGTGTTTATAAATTATTTTTTTTAATAAAAAGATTTTATTTCCTCCATGAAATTATATGAACTGAATTATATGAAAATTATTTCCTTATTTAGAAGTAACTAATTAATATTTTAGAATATTTTATTTAGAATATTTTTGTGTCCTTTTATTCACTGAAATGGGTTCAATTGAACTAGTTACTGAATTTTAAGTATTTCTTAAACTCCTTCAATTTTATTATAATAGTTTTGAAAAACAGGGTGGCCACAGAACAGGAAAAATATGAAGAAAATCAGAGAAAAGCCAGGGAATTAAATTAAAATAGCCAAAAAGTCTGGAAAATTGAATCAATTTAAGTTTGAGGTAATTTCAAGATTTTTTCCTAAAAAAATTGGTCTTGTAAAATTTTTTTATAATTAATGCAATTTTAATAGCAAGTATAAATGTTTTGTAATATGCATAAAAACAAGGTATAACTAAAAATGCTAATAATAAAATATATGGAAACAATATGGAAATAATGGACTTTTCCTTCTGAAGTAGTTCCATAATTGTCAATATCCACACATATGTTAAATTTCTTCTTTCAAGTCATAAAATTTGTATCATAATTAGTTGCGGCATTTTTAATCTAAATGTTTAACTCTACTCAAAATTTTAAGCTCAAATACGTTTCAAAACAAACTATTTTAAGACCTTTACTGAATAGAATGTTATGCTTTTTTACTTCAAGCCTAAAAATAACATGTTTGTTTACATTTTCCAGTGAAATATTAATCACAATATTAAAGGAACATGAATTATTAAAATTGGAAAACAGTACAGTTATCAATCTGTAACTTACAAAGCCTTCACAAAGGTGGTTACACAGTATTTCCAATATGCAAAAATACTTTTGTTATATTTGTAGAGAAATATTCATTATCGTTTAACAGATTTTTTTCTCAACTTGTTTTTGGCTTTTAGCTTACAAAGTTTTTAATTCAAGCATACAATACTTTTAGAACACTTTGTAATTCATAACATAAACACTGCATTAAAATTTGGGGTCCCGCAGTGGACTGATCGTTAAGACACGGTTCCCAGCAGATCACCGAAGTCAAGCATCACTGGCTGCGGTCAGTGTGCGAGTGGGTGACCCACTTGGATCAGTCTGCGTAGGGACCGAGGGTGTGCGGTATTGGTCCTCGTTAAACTGTGCTACCGTAAAGTGCTCGACTTCGCGTGCAGGTCGTCGGGCTACCGAAGCGGGGGTGCCATCCCCTCCGCAGAGGATCAAAATTGTGATGGCAAGTCTTCGGATCATCCTCTGGGATGTTTCCCAGACCGTCGCCAATAGCCCATCGTGCAGCTCTAGTGCGACGTAAATTAACAACAACAACAACAGCATTAAAATTTGAAAATAAACAGTTTATAAATATGTAATGTAAGAGCAATGCAATAAATAATTTATAACCTCACATGCATGGAAGATGAATATAAAATTGAGATTTTGTGCTTTACAATTATAAAGTTTTTAGATAAATTTTGGAAAATTTAATTTTAAAAACATATTTTATCTCTAGGAAAGTAATTGATGATGATATTTGCCTAGAGCTTTGTTCTCCTGACACTGACAAAATTAAATATAGAATGTTTGTTGTAGACAGAGAAGGAGAATCAAGTTTAAAGTTTGCAATTTTTATTGTACCACAAGGAAGGTAAGTTTATTTTCTAAAAGTTATACACTATTTAATCCAAAGTATTTATGAATAAAGTGAAAATAAGAAGTAAAGCAAATAAAAAATGATTACTTATGTTTGAAATACGCGTATCATAATATATTAAAAATATTGGGTTTTTTAAAAATCATGCGCAATTGAAAGCTAATATCGCGAAAAAGAAAGCGTTCGAGATAGATTTAAAATATAATCAGTGCAAATTGAGAGTGTCAAAAACTGATGATTCAAATGTGCAATTCAAAGTTTTCGACATTTTTTAAAATTTTTTCCCATTTTATTCAGAAGCTCCTGCAGCTCGCAGGTTATGCACCCCTATTAGGTATCAGAAATAAATATTAAAAGCTTTATGAAGGAAAACAATAATAAAATGTTATGATAAACATAAATTATCTTTAAAAAAAGAATTGTTTTCTCAATGATTCATCCCAAGCCGTTGCAAGGTATTATTTTATTGAATTCGATATTAAGTTAATTACAGCAAAACTGAAATTTAATAAAGAATGAAGTTATTAATCTCTATTTAAGAAATGATTCAATACTCTTGAATTAATTTTTCACCTGAATTGAAACTTCTTCAAAGTTTTTGAAATATCTTGGTTTTGGACTAAAAAAAATTTCATCTTTTCACATTTTTCTTAAATTTTTGTGTTGCAATTGTATTTTAAGTTGAAATTATAAATCGATACATTTTTGTATCTTCTTTTAAAAAGAGTGGTATGCTATTAAAAAGAATTTCAATGACTATTTAACCCTCTGAGCATGAATCTTTTTGTTTTCTGAACTTTGAGCTGAAGGCTTTCCTCCAAGGAAAAACCAGTTTTAGCTATTTTATTCAATGAGAAAATAGTATGCAGCAAAGAAATATCAGAACAATTGCCTCCAGAGGCGTAACACTTAGAGGGAAGTGAAATGAATTGTTTCAGTGACAGTGTATATTAAGTTAGTTACAGCAGAACTAAAATTGTATAAAGAAAGTAGTTATTAATCTCTATTTAAGAAGCGATTCAATTCACTTGAATTATTATATTTAAATTCTTAATAAATTAAATTCTTAAAATGTCCTGAAAGAATTATTTTTGGGATAAAAAAAACTGCCTCTTTTTACAATTTTTTTAAAATTTGTGTTACAATTGTATTTTGAGTTAAATACATTGAGTTCGAATAGTAAAAAAAAGAAAAAACTATAAATTGATACATTTATGTATCTTCTTTCAAAACAGTGTTATGCTATTAAAAAGAATTCTGATGATTATTTAACCCTCTGAGCATGAGTCTGGCCATTTTCTGAATTTTGAGCTGAAGACTTTCCTGTTTGGAACAACTGGTTTTACCTATGTTATTCAATAGTATGAATAACATAGAATATAGAGAAAATAGTATCAGCAGGGAATATCAGTACAATTTCATTCAGAGGCTTAACACTTAGAGGGAAGTGAAATGAAATGATTTGTTTCAGTGACACTTATTAGAAAATATTTATAAGATGAGTTGAGAATTAATTTAAATTTGTAGGGAAATCGAATGGTTGTTTTCTACACCTCAAGGAAGGCAAGAATTAGCTGCTAGCGCAGACTGTGAGCGTTTAGTTGTTGTCCATTTACAGAGAGATCATGTTTACAACAGTTTAGATGAAGTTAAAAGTGACTTATCTGAAAAAGTTTTAGAACTTGCCCCATTATCATTCAAATCACAGGTATTGTATAGAATTTAATTAATTACATAGAATGTTAACAATTCTTTATCTACTACAAATTTTTAGTTTCGCTGCTTTTTCTTGAAGTCTAACAATTAAATTTGTGAGACATTTCATAGAAACCAGCATTTATGCACATTCTATTAAATGGGCTTTGGTAAGATACTCATAAAGCCTCAATTAAAAACACCAGTCAAGTGGCGGGCCCCAACTTTATCAAAATTTTATATAGGACTCTCTTATGTTTGAAGGAACATTAAATATTGCTGTCAGATTTTTATCAAATTGTACAAAACAAAAGTATTGAATTACAAATCAAAGTACAAAGTAGATTTTTACCTGAGAATTAATTTTTTTTGCACCTTTAGTATATTAAATTTCACTGAAATAAAGAAATTAGTTGGTAACCGATGGTTTCAATCAATAGTTTTAAGTTCTTTTTACTGAACAGAATTCTTAGAGGCGCATTAAAAACAAACAAGCAAATGAAATATTATGAATTTTAATGGATATAATAATATGAATAAAAAGAGTTTAATTTTCTCAATTCATTACTAATGTCGACTTTTTTTTTAGTTTTCAATATCTGATATTCAATCTGATCTGAATGCATAATGAAATTCATGTTATTTTGTTATTCCCGCATATCTTAATTTAAATTTTATAACAGATAATTTAACTTTTCATTCATTTGAAATTTATAGATATTATTATTCACCTTTATCAATTTACACTGACAATCAAGCTCATTTATTCATAATATTATCTATTAAAATTTGCTATTGCTATGATTATTAAATGCATAGATTGTATATATAGATACAAACGAGTTTGACTGTATATGTACATAAAGTTAATGTCTGAAAGCACCATTAACGGATGTAACCGACTGAGTTGAGGAAAAGTTGTTTTTAAGTTAATTAATTTCCTATTTTTACTAATTAATTTTTATACTAAATAATTTATACATTTTTTATTCATTTTCTTTTACACTCTTTTTATTCATTTTTCGGAGGTTCTTTATTGATACTTATTTCTAAAAGGTCGATTATCTTAATATCTCTCTCAATATATATAGACACGCACATACATAGATATATACAATCACATACGAGGCCTGTCTGAAAAGTATCCGACCTTTGGCTAGAAAAAATATTTCGAATATAAGACGGAGTTGGGACCCTATTCCTCTTCAAAGTAGGCCCCTTGTGCTTGCACCCACTTAGCCCACCGATCCTTCCACTGCTGGAAGCACCTCTGGAAGTCTTCTTTTGGAATGATGTTCAGCTCCGTCGTCGTGTTCCGCATTATCTCTTCTCTACTCCCAAAACGGGATTCTTTCAGTTGCGTCTTCAATTTTGACCCATGACTTATCTCCAGTTATCAGGGTGTTCAGAAACCCAGGATCAGTGTTGGTGGTGTCCAGAATGTCCTGTGCAACGTCAAAGTGGAGGTCTTTTTGTTCCGACGACAAAAACTTGGGTACGAATTTCGCAGCCCCTCATTTCATATTCAAATCTTCACGCAAAATTGCATGTACAGAATCTTTACTCATTCCAACCTCTTCTGAAATATTCCGCATTGTCAAAAGAGTATCTGCCATCACCAAATTTCAAAACCTCTCAACATTAGCTGCACTCCCGGGCAGTTTGGGGCCTGCCACAACGCTGCTTACTCTCCGCTGATGTGCGGCCATCTTTGAATCGGTTGAATCACTCCTTAATTTGTATTACACCCATCGCTCCTTCTCCAAACACCTGCTGAATCTTACAAATTGTTTGGCTTTGAGAATCACCAGGCTTTTGACAGAATTTGATGCAGTATCTTTGCTCAATTCGTTCAGTCATCTTGCGAGAAAACTAAATCCGACGAACACTACGAACAGCACCTTACTTGGCGATCACCAGCCAGCGACTTGTACAAGCGAAAGAGGTGAAAAAATTCAAGCATGTACATTAAGGTTCCTCCTTCCACCATGCACAGTGGAACCGCCTTAGAACCACTACTTTGAGCGGGAAAAATTAAGGTCGGATACTTTTTAGACAGGCCTCGTATATTGCGAGCTCTAGTTTAAGGTGGTGTAAAAAAAAAAAATTTAAAATATGGTCTGTTTAATTTTAAAAAACCCTACTTTCTGGGAATTTCATTCAGCTAAATTAGAAATCCTAAGATTTCCAAGTGCTTTCCTCATAAAAACAACTTTGCATCTTTCGAGGGCAAGACCTTGTAATGTTCTCTTCACTAAATCACAGTTTGTTCTTGACTCACCTTGTGCAGTTGCAGACTACCTCATGTATTAGGTAAATTCCATCTGTTCCTGCCTTTTGCTCGTTTTAAATGAGTTAGTCTATCCATACATAATTAATTACTTTGTCATCAGCATTATTCTGTGCATGGCCACATGTTTTTTTTATGGCATTGCAAGCAAAGAGATACCAAATGTTCAGAGAAACGCACTTTTTTAAATTTTATTTTCGAAGATTTAGAATGTTTCAACCTTTCATTTAGCTTACCCAGTGTTAAGTCAATTTTTATAAAATTTTAAATTTTTAAAGCTGAATTATTTCAATAAAATTAAAAAAATAGTAAATAAGAATATTTTTCCTTTCAATTTTAGCGTTTGGAATTTTTCCTATTTCATTTAATGTCAAACTAATAAGGTTTCTATTAATTATTTTCTTTAATTAGAGTAGTTTTTTTTAACCATGTGCTCTGCAGATAACTTTCAGAATTTTTCCATGTTGTCGGTCAGTATAGAGATTTCTGTTAGTGGGATACTGTGTATTCATTATAAAATTGTTTTAACAAATTTTTTTTCCACAAAAAACATTGTTTTTTATTACGTATGTTTTTTTCCCTTAAACTTTATAAAAGATTTAATTATATCAGAATGGGTATTGAATCTTCGCAATCAAGATGTTTTTTTTCTTCTTTGTATTGTTGTGTCTTGCTAGTGTATTCATATTTTGTATTCTCAAATTTAATATTATATTAAATTTGAAATCATATTAGTTTAATTTAAATTCATATTAGTTTAATATATCTTTGTTCAATATTTTAACCGGGTTCAAATCTCAACAATGGCTGGGTGATATGAATTCTGCACCCGTCTTGCACCAACCACAATGCTGGCATGAAATATCCTCAGTAATCGATGGATCTTGAGTTAGAGTCTCCTTACCATCAGGCTAACCGTGGGAGGTTTTCCTCTCCATGTAACACAAATGCAGGTTTCCAACAAAAAGTCCTTCACGAAGGCAAATTTTTCCCAATACTTGATCCAGGAGTTTCCTTGTCTTCTGGTTTGGGTTAAAAAATACAAGGCTACAAAGTTGAATATTAGTAGTCGTAAACCCAAAATCGGGTCAGCTGTTCAACAAAGATTATAAAATAAAATATAAATCAAAAGATATTCTAAAACTCATTTTTCTTTAATAGCTTAAGTCAGCAAGATCCTTTGATTTGTTTTGAAACCAATGTTTGGCCTGTAATTTCTGATGCCTGAAACAAATGCCCTCATAATGTTCTGTGTTGTCGATAATTGTTGCTAATATTTTTGATAGGTTGCCTCAGTGGATTGCATTGCAGGCATTTCTAATTATAAACTAGTTTTCTGTAGAAAAAAAACGTTGTTTGTCTAATTGACTGAAATTTTAAACATTACACTGATCATATTCTAATTCCATATTTTCTAATATTTTATCTGTATTTCTAGGTACCGATATTGTCATTAGGTGATGATGTTGGACAAAGAGAAATAAAATATAAAGGAACAAGTGAATTAAGTGGTGAATTTGTGGTAGAGGATGTGCAGTCTGATAATAATGAATTGTATCGAAGACTTGTGTTCCTTAGTAATCCATATTTAGTTCAATCTGAAGCAAAACTAATCATGAGTAAGCTTTATTAAATTTTTCAAAATTCTTACTTAATTCTGTTTTACTTAGTAAACTTTTATATTTATAATATAATTTTTTTTTCTAGGTACAATTAAGAAAAAGAAGAAAAAAGTAACTAATCTTCAAGTAGATTTAGATTTTCTTGCATGTGATCATCATGTCGCTATAATTTCTGGATTTGCTTTTCTGGAGTCTCATATGTTCAGTAGGTAGATTTCAACAAGAAATAAAGGGAAGTCTAATAGATTGAAGAGTGCAGCTAATTATTTCATAAAATTAAAACTTTCAATTTTCATTGTTATCATTATTGTTGCAAAAGAAAAAAAAAACTATTAGTCAGACAATGACTTTAGCTAAAGCTTATATGCTAGATAAAAGATTAACTTTATTTATTTATTTTTTTTAAATTGGTGCTTGTCTTTTACAGAGGGCAGTTTAGCTTTATATTAAGAGAACAGTTTAGCTTTCTGCAGTAATTTGACTGTTTTTTTTTTTTTTAAAAAAAGAAGTGCTTATGATTGTTTAATGTTAAATTATGCTAAATCTTTTCAGAAAGCAGCAAGCAAATATTTTGTGAACACAGCACAGACAACAGTGCCATTTCTGGAAAACTTTTATTGTGCTTTATTAACAAATTGTTTTTGCTAAATAAGATTTTACTAACGAATAATTTTGATAATTGAAAATTTTCAATGCCTAAAATTAGTTATATTGTTCACATAAGAATATTGTGTAATTTTTTATTTTTATATGGCACTTAAAATCCAGCTTCATTCTTATTAGTTGAATTATTAATAAAGAGCTCTTGAGTAAAATAATAATTTAATTTCATTTTAATAATATGTTTTGGAAATGTCAAATCAAGGTTGGAAATAACACAAGTGTTTGAAATTAAATTTTGTACATACATTTTTATAGCCATCAAACTATGTTGAATGGCTATAAAAATATCAAATTTATCTTAATACGAAATAAATGTTACTTGCCAATTAAATAATTTTTTTAAGCAAACAAAGAATAACTTTTGTTCTTTTAAATTTTATTACAGATCCTCGTGTTTTGCTGATTGGACTAGGTGGCGGAGCTTTAGCCATGTATTTACATAAGCATTTTCCAAATGTAAGTTACATTAAAAAAATATAGATTTAAAGTTTATATTCTAATTTATACAAAAAAGTAATTTATATAAGCAAATAAAAAGTGTTATTAATTCAACTCAATTTAAGCTTACGTCTCTTAGTCATTAGTATTGCTTTTTTAAAAAAAATATTCCATAATAGTTTGTTTGATGAAGTATTATAAACTGTAAATGGTTGAAAAGATTGTATAGTAAAATCTGTCTAAATCTGACTCTGTTTGACCCCGGAGTGATACGGAGGATGTACCACCATTCCAGGGGAGTTACAAAGTCTCAGTAGTTTTTAATAAAATAAATTTTGTTTACTTATTTTCATAAATAGGCTAGTAAAACAGCCATTAATAAGGTCTCAAAAGTATATACATAAACACATTTCAGTAATTTGGGCCAGGTGCGCCCTTCCCCTGTGAATATTTTCTCACTTGTTGACCAATATAATACTTTTTAGCAAATTATTCTAAATTTCATTCATTATCTTGAAATTAATTCTGTGGGGGAAATAATTTTGGTATTTGTTCACTGCAGATGCAAAATAAGTTATAAACTTGAACTTGCTTTATAATTCCCTTATTTGATAAAGATGTTTTAATTATAAATGAATGTGAATTTTTTTAAAGTTTATGAATAAATCATTCATTAATGTTGTCTAAGTTTGTTAAAATAATTGAAATTTAACCCTTTTTAGTTCAAAATTATTAGTGTATAGAGAGTATAATTTGTAAGTGAAGTACAATGTATTTTAGGCATTTATTGAAGCAGTTGAATTAGATTCTTGTATTCTGGAAGTGGCTAAAAAGTGTTTTGATTTATCAACCAATGAGAAATTAGTAGTAAATATTGAAGATGGAATCAATTTTATCGAAGAAGCATCAAAAAAAGGTGAGATTTAGTTTCCTTTTTTAATAATATAATATTAGTACTTTCAGATTAAAATATTTAATCTTCATATTAGATACAAACAAAATGAAATTTTGCAATGTATTTACTTTTATTTTAATTTCTGTATTTGAACATTTTTTATATTTATTTTATGTAGGGTCCAAGTACGATGTTGTGATTTTAGATGTAGATAATAAAGATTCTGCATTAGGTATAAGTAGCCCTCCAGTGACATTTTTAGAGACTACAGCATTACACAATATTTCAAAAATTACAGCTGATGCAGGTTTGTTTGGATTTTAATGAAATATGTAACTTGTAAATAGTTTTAATCACATATATATTTTTTTCTATTTTGATTTATTAACCAAAATTTTTTAATTATATGGCACCAATAGGTTACCCATATATTTATTACAAAAAAGCCTAGTTTTTAAAAATTATTATTAATCTGCCTTATGCAAGTACCAAAGCATAGATTACTCACCCAATAATTCTAATGGTATTCAACACTTAGTTACAGCGATTAATTTTAAAATTTGATTGCACAGCCACAATTGCACTTAAACAATAAATAAATAAGAAAAGAAAAAAAAAACAATATTTTAATCTGTTTTTTTTTATACCTTTTATGACTTCAGATTCTATCTATTCCTGTTAACAGGGATGAGAGTAGTCAGAACGTAAAAAAGAGGAAATCCAAGAATATATATATATATATATAAACAAAAATATATGAAACTCTACATCGAATTTAAAAAATGCGAAAATACAAATCATGATGCGTAATTTTTAGATCAAGACGCATAATTTTAAAATCGCGCGATATTACAACCGCAAAAACGAATCACGANCGCCCATTTAATACCTGTTTGTATTAGTTAATTGCACCTTAGTTAAAATAAAGGTTCAATACAGATAAACGATGTTGCACAAGCAAATGGCTTAATTTAAGTATCAGCTATGCAAAAATGTAAAGTAAGCAGTATTGTTCCGATTTTGCCTCATTTCTCATCGTAAATTGCAATAAGTTCAAATTAAAAAATAATGAAAAATTGATAACATACATAAATGTAATTGTCAGCATTATTAGAGTGTTTTTTATAACTTAATAATTCTATGTTTCAGTATATAGAGTCTAAAATTTGGTTTTTTGATACAGTATATGGAGTGAATAATATGGTTTTATGTTAGAGTTATGTAACCCATATTTTGCACCTAAAATTAACAAACCATTTGCTGACTTCAAAGACTTAGCGAAATACTATATTTTTACGTGAAATTAAAAACATAGTTATTTATGATTTCATAAAGCCACTGGATCCTGAAAATTATGAATTTTTTCTAGATTTCTGCTTACCAGTAATTTATTTCTTTATGCACATTATAGAACTACTGGTATCAAATTCAATTTCAAAGTAGTTCACAATGTCTTTAGGGTTGGTTGTATAATTTGAATTATAATCTTGCAATGATAATTCTTAACACATTTTCTGTTTCAGGCATCGTAATAGTAAATCTTGCTTGTCGGAATGCTGATCTTCGTAAAGAGGCATATGCAAAGTTAAAAAGTATTTTCAAGTTCATGTATTCAAGAAAAATACCAGCTGAAGTGAATGAGGTGGTGTATTTATTGAATTCAAGTCATTCTTCTGAAAATGTTAAAGAACAGTATTCAAAATTATCTTCATATCTAGACGAATCTACTAAGTATCCTAATGTATTCGATCTTACTGATTTTGAATCTTGTTTGAATGAAATTACGTAAATAAATAAAATTTTTTTATTGATTTATCTACCACTGGACTATATTTTGTTAATTCTAAGGTCACTAAATTTAAAATTCATAGAATTCTGTCAGTAAGAAACATTAAAATCTAATAATGCAACCATTTTGATTACCTAATTATTTGTATTGAATATTTTTAATTCAGAAATGTGTTTTTTTATACACAATTATATAGAATTTAATATGCAGGGTTCCCACAACTTGGAAAACATCAATGAGTGATAGCTAAGATTTTTCAAGAATATTGAAAAATACTTTTGTAAATTATAAAATTATTCAGTTATTTTTGCACCCATATATATTTCCTTTAAATTGAAAATTCATTTATAGTTTAAAATATCTAACTGGATAATTCAAATTTAACTAAACTAAATTTTTGTCTTTTAAATGCATAGTCCATTTCTTTGATGGACAATGAACTAAATTAATGAACTAAGACACTTTTAAATTGATTACTTTTTATCAAATTTATATAAATAATGTTCAAGATATTAATTTATAAAACAGAGGTAAATGGTTTTTTGTTAATTTTTTTTTCACGGTTTTGTTTTTCTTGATCTGCTTAATTTTTTTTACTTTGTTCATAATGTCTAAACAAACAAAAAAAAAACAAACAGACCTTACCATTTTTTAAAGTTATGTATTTAACTAAAAACTACGTATGTAACACATAAGACTTAAATAAATATGAGAAATTTAACTAAACTATAAGGAAATTCAGTCAGCATATAATTTATTGAACATTTTTTCTCCAGAAATAATATATACAATAGTATATACAATTCTTCATTTACACAGTTGGCTTGTACCCTGATTTCGATAAAGAGTTATCCTGAAAAATAGTTTTATTAGAATTAACAAGATTAGTAATCAATAGAGTAGATTTAAAGGTCTGTTTACACGGTCCAATTTCTTGAATCCGAGAAATTGGACGGATTTCTCTGTCCAAGAAATTGGATGATTCGTTGACACTATCCAAGTTCTTGAATGTCGCTGATTCGTTGAAAGAAAAACTTGCGCATGCGCATTGTTAATATTCAACATTATAAAATAATACTTACATAAGTTTAAAATTACTAAATAAATTCAAATAAAATCATAATAACACAAATAAACCTCAACAGATCAATTTATTTGAACTAAAATATATGAAAACCCACAACAAAATGACATAATTTGCTGCCAGCTTGTTGACGTCACAAAACCTAAGACGCTGATTGGTTAAGGGAGAAAAAACTTGGATGGAAAGTAGAACATGCTCTACTATCGTCCAAGAAGTTGGACCAAGTTCTTGGATGTTTGTTTACACGATCCAAGCTCAAAGCAAAACAAGTTTCCATCAATATCAATCAATCTCTGTCCAAGAAATTGGATCGTCTAAACAGGCCTTAAAACAGTAATTTATAATAGAGTAATTTAAAACGAGACATAAGAATGATTTTTTAAAAAATTATGTATATATTATTGAACATTCAGGCTATTTTGGGAGACAGTTTAACAGATAAACATTTTATAATTTTTTTTAAAAAAAAAACATTATAAATAATAGTTAAATGTTCGAAATGTATATTCAGAAAAAATAGCAAATTTATAGTTAATAAGTGCATGTTAAATGATCTTATTAACTATAAATTTGCAACTAAAAAGATTTCAAATTTCTTTATAGAAAAAATATGTATTTTTTAACTATCACAAATCTGAGGACCAATTTTTGATCATGTATAAAATTCTATGCTCCTAAAAACTTGGTTCTGTTTGCTAAAGGGAACTTTGGTTTGAAATTAAACAACATAATTTGAGTTGAGTAATAAAAATATAAAATTGCTTACCAAATTATTCTTGAAAGCTTTATTTAATAGCTCAATCATCTTTAATTTATGTTTATTGAATTCTGATGGATCAGATAAACCCGATTTCAGTAAGTCAACAACTGTTGCTCCAGACTGAATATTAAATGCCTGTGTGTACTTTACCGGATTTTTTGAAATGTTTAAAAAATCACTGTGAACCTAAAAAAATTAATGATACATCAAAATCACAAATAAAACTGAAAAAGATGGAAATTTATTATAAAATAAAGTCAATAAATATAATTTAAAGATGTAAATATTTGTTTCATTCATTCAAAGCAATTATCAATAAATATTTAATGACAATTTCCATTTATCTTTGCTTCAATAAGGAACTAACAAAATAAAACTATAAGGAACTAACAAAATAAATGTATCTTTGAAAGACTAAAATATTTTTTTTATTAAATACTTTGAACTGTCACCTTTTGTAAACCACATTTGATATGACCATCTTCTTTTCAAACAGGCTATCAGTTGGAAGACACAAGTAAATTTTAATCAGATAATTATTATCCCACTTTTTTTTTGTGCTTGTGATCGAGTAAAAAGTTTTCAGGCTTTGCACAAAAATATACAGTTTGGATAATTAATATATATATTTTTCAAAAACTTTGTTTATTTCCATACTTTCAAAAAATTTAATCCAATAAATAGTTTTTGCTTAATTAATCTCACCAATTTAAAAATTTTTAAGTTACACACATTTATAATGACATTGTGGTTATTTGTTAGCCTGTGCCTATTTTTGTTTAAATGGCTGTATTTGTTAATTTATTAAGTACATATATTAATGGTTTTTATAGTTTAAAATACTAATTTTTCAACTGTTAATACAGAAGTTAAAACTTTGATGTTTTTATAATTTGAATTTTGCAGTGGCTTTGGAATTTTATTATTTAATGAGCTGAATTTTTTTGTGTTAATAATTAAAACATAGAGGTAAATATATAATAATTCATAACAATTTCAATAAAATTTTATTAAAAAATATAAATAATTCCAGATTTTTTGATTTAAACAGCGTTAAAAATTAACAAATATTTATATCAATTAATAAATAAAGGATTAAACAATTTCTTTTCAATTATGGTTTAAAACTTGCTTACTGGCAAAGGTGGGCATTCACTGTTAGTAAAATGTCCATCCCAAATCGAAATTTCTATACTGGCAGCTTCCTGTTGAAGTTATTTGAATAAGTTATAAGATGCAATCATTTTTAATATAATCAATAATTTTATAATAACAAATATTATAAAAACTTACAAAAACTTTAACTTGTGTTTTGAATTTTTTGCAAATAAAATCTAAAGGAAGATAACTAAGTTTTTCTATTATATCATCAGGTGGTCTTCCTTTAAGCAATGGAACATGATGAACTCCAGCAAATACAGCATCCCTAAAAAATTACAATAGTTTTTACTATTAACCACTATGATAATGCAATGCTTGTTTTTTAGATACATGTTGGTTTTATCACTTAAAAAATGGAAATTATCAAATATGTAAGAAAGGAAAAAAGAAATAACTGAACACATAGAACTATCATAAGTTCATTATTTATTTCACAAGCTTCAAACCATTAATTTTTGATGAGTATTAGATTATCTTCGTTAATAACTGGTGTTAAAAAGCCAACCTAAATCTGTGTTTAAGATAGTCAATGTTCAACTTCCTAGCTTTGTCATTTTGAACCCAATTCAGAAGACAAAGACTCTCTTGGATCAAATATTAAAACAAACTAGCCTTTGTAGAGGACTTACTGATATAACCAACCCACATTTGCGTTACATGGCAGGGAAAACTTCTCAGCAAGGGGATTCTAACCTATGATCCGTCTACCAGTGAGGGTATTTTATGTCACCGCTGTGGTCAGTGCGAGCAGAATTCGTATTGACCAGCCAATGCTGGGATTTGAACCTGGATCATTTTATTGAAAGGCAAACGTTCTATCGCCTAAGCTAGTGTTCCCCAACCCCCGTTCCGTGGATCAAATGGTACCGGGCCGCCCATTTAATTGAAACTGAATTTTAATTTCTAGGTTTATACCCAATTAAAAATATTTGTGTTCCATTATAAAAAAAAGGGCCCCCCGAAGGAAGTGACATAAATTTTTTAATATTTTAAAAAGTAACAAAAAAAAAAGGAAACCACCGAAACTATTTTCTCTTCCAATTAGTTTTAATAAAAAAAAATCAATCATCATAACTGTAAATATCATAAATAAAACACGAAAGTGCGGCACAAAATTTACATTGCAACATTACATTCAACATTACAACGTGACTCATTGATTTAACGTTCTAGTAAGTTAAAATGTTAAATCACTTTATATTTATTTTTTGGTGTAACTGCATTTTATTTTGAAGGCATGTTTAAATACATTTAAATTAATAAATCAAAATAATCTAAAATATAAATAATCAACTCACCCCCCCTCCAAGAGGCCGTGGTAAAATTATAAAACGTTGACAAGTCTGCGGTGATAAAAAGGTTGGGGAACACTGCCCTAAGCCATAATGGCTTGAGTATTAGATTATTAACATAATGAAGTTATTTTAACAAAAAATGGCACTAAAGCGTAAAATTAAAATGGTGAAGAAAAAAACATTGAATTTTTGAAAAAAGCTTCTAAATTTATAAAGTTAAAAATTGACTTTAACATAAAAAATTATTTAATTAAAATCTTACTTGTCGAAACAAGGAGCAGCTGTCCAAGCTATTGCTTGTTGCAAGTTGAATTTTGGCTCTCGTCCATCTTTATCCATTAATTTTCCTGTGTTTGCATCAAATTTAGGACGTAAACCGTAGAGACAAACCAAAATAAAAGCTTTACTATCATATTCAGGATGGACCTTCTACAAAAATAAAAGTATTTTTAAGAATAAAGTTGCTCAAAGAATTTCAATGATTCTTAATTTCTACATAGGTTGTGTACGATACATATGTTTTAAAATGATTTCATACATATTTTTATCCTTTTTCAAACTTGAATTCTAAATACTTATGCAGCTGTATAGTATTATGTAATGCTATTTTATTTCTACAGCATTATCATTTTAACAGTGGCCGGTTGTGAAAGTTAAGATGTTTAGAGCTTGATGAACTGAAAGTTATGTCTTATTTTGACACTCTCCCCTTCAAACAGCTCCGAATGAGGACCTTTTAATAAAATAATAACAGGGAGATATATAATGTAGAATAATAACAGGAGGATAATAAATAGGAGAGGAATCTCTTTTGTTTTTTGCTTTGGTAGCCCATGATAATTTTGTTGTTTCTCTATGGTCTCACAAAGTCTGACAAGATCCATAAGATTGTTGACCTTAAAGAAGTGGGTAAGAGTATATATTTTCCAGGGAAGTGCCCAAACAATATATAAATATGCTTAGCAAAAGCCCGATGTTTGTGGCATTTGGTGAAGGTGTCAAAAACATTCTTGCTTTCACTGAACAAGAGCAGTGCATCTAAGGAGTGTCAGCAACATGTGATGGTTAGTACTTGAGAGGCTTCAACAACACATGATGGTTAAAACCAGCGGAGCCTCAGCAACATGTGATGGTTAGAGCCAATCTCAGACATTAACCCTATAATTCACCAAATCTGCCTTAATTTGTGTTTTTTTTAAAGTTAGTAAAATTTCAGAGAGGTTCGGCCGAAAGGAGTTAAATGACTACCCGTCTTTGAAAGTAAGTGAATTGATTTATTGAGATGAGATAGGATGTCCAGATGAGATGTGAAGATTAACATGGATAAGATTGAAATACTGACTAATAGTATTTTAAAGATTTGTTATAGTGTTAAATATAATAACTTTATCATTAACAATTAACTGAATTTGATAAATGTACTTCACCAGATGCTACCAATAGAACAATTTTTTTTAGTGTACATATTTTTATTACTACCTGAAATTAAATCAACATGTATATATATTTATAGATATAAACTACCATTAGAATAATAAACATCCATATATTTATTAATTATATATTACTTTTGGATGATCAGACCAATCCGGTGCTCTCTGGAAACTAGTCAACTCCAATTCATTAGTGATAAAACTTATTGCCTGGGATGTCCCATGTCCAATCTTAGTATCTTCACCAGGAAATATTTGAACAAGACATTGTAAATATCTTCCTTCTAAGAAAACTAAAAACAATAGGGATCCCTTTTCAATAATTTTGAATTTGAAAAAATAACTGGCAGTTAAAAAGCAAATTAATAATTTCTTTAAAGTAAAACATATTAAACTGAATTTTCTGAATCAAGTAGTGATTTGCATTTATATCATACTATTTAAAGAATCAATACAGTTTGAATAAGTAATGAGCTAAAGAGTTCTTTCAACTTAAACTTCTAGACAGTCATTAATATTTGATTATTTGTTTAAAGTGTAATTATAAAATGCCTAGAGATAATTCTCAATTTTATAGAAAGCTTATAAATGTCTGATGAGGATGGTTGCAATAGATGAATATCTGTTTTTGATATAATGCCTAGAGATAATTCCCAATTTTATAGTACTGAAGCCTATAAACGTCTGTCGATGATGGTTGCAATAGATAACTATGCGTTTTTGATCATCAGTGAAATTAAAATTTTTTTCTTAACAGTTCTCCACAAATCATCTGTTCATGTAATCATTTAAAAAGAGGGAACTTACATATTATTCCATCCACCATTTTCACAAAAACAAAAAATAAATAGTTGAAATTCAAATATTTTCTCAGTTTTGGTCGCATCAACTACAGTTTTTAATGGTTTAAGTCAGTGTTTCCCAAACTTATGACTTTTGTGTACCCTTTCTAAATTTTTCGTAACGCTGTGTACCACTAATAAAAAAATTTATGTATTTTTTACTATCAAAAATAGCTCAAAAGTTAAAAATCACAACTGGCTGTTGACACCACTAATTATTATTTGTTAACTCTGCAAAAAATAGCCAATAGAAAAATACGTAATCGTACATTTTCATGGCTAGCTTTGTTTTTAAGTGAAATTTTTTGAAATTTTCGTTTATTGCAAGATATTTTGCATAAAAACGCGTACCCCCGCTAAACTGTTCCCGTACCCCTAGGGGTACGCGTACCACAGTTTGGGAAACACTGGTTTAAGTAGTCCGATTTTTTAAAACTACAAAGATGTTTTATATTCTTATTGTAAGCATAATTTTAATTCACATCGTAACATAAATCATTAAACTTAATACTTGCACATACATTTAAAAATCTAATCTTAATACATTTAAAAATCTATTCAGATCATTGCACATTCTTATTTTTTTTAAGAAAGTCATATTTAAGACTTTAAGTAGTTATCATAATGAAAAATAAATTCTTACGCGGTAGTCCAGCAGCTTTGTCAACAAGAACCATCATTCCTTGATTTTTACAATAATGTATAAATCGTTGATAAGGGAAGTCTTCCACATCAGATCCTTCTTTATGTAATTGCTGTTGTATTAGTTGTTTTATGGCAGCATCACTATTTAGTGCTAAAATGATTGCAAGAAAACTATTTGAAAATTAACTTCTAAACTGTATTTACTGAATAAAAACTAAATAAACAATTAATAATCATTAAATATCATTTGAAACAAATTTCTTCATTCAAATTTTCAGTAATTCTTTAATGTTAAATGAACTACAGTTTCATGGGTAAAAGCACAAACTATGACACAAATATATAAAGTTTTTGGTACTATAAAATGTTGAAACAAAAAAAGAAAGAGAAACACAAATATGGAGGAGAAATAAAGTTAAAACAAGGTAATAGATAGTCAATCCAGGTAAGGGAATAGGATGGAACAAGATTTCCAAACAATTTTTTCCCCAAAAAATGTTTGCAGAACTAGTTTACTATAATTTCGACATCTGTGGTTGAACAGTTAAAAAAGGTAGTCTTTTAATACCAAAATGATTCTGTCTGTTTTTGTGATGTTAATGCCTTTTTCCTGTTTTAACATTTATATACAGCCTTAAAATAATTTTTTAAAATTTAAATAGTTAAATGCACTATATATAATTAATTAATATAAATAATTTTGATAAGAAAATTGATAACAGATAGTTTTAAATAGCATCAAATTAACTCCTATTTTTTGTTACATTTTAAACACTTGCTGTATTTTTTTTATTCTTAAGATTGTTTTTAATTTTATAATTTGAGAAAATTCCTTGACATGTTCCCCTAAAATCAAGATTAAAAAGGAAACATATAATATTAATAAAAAGACTTTAAAATAAAAATAATTTTTGCTACAGATGGATTTGTGAAAATAAAAAGTTGTAAGAATGAATATTTTTTTTTTTTGGTTAAAAAGCAATGAGAATTTTAATCATTAAAATTTACAGCAATGAAAGCATGCATTATGAAACCAATATCTATATTATTAGATGAAAGAACTGAAGTTAAATTACTTTGCCCAGAAGTTAAAAGAGCTGAATCTTTTACACTCATAGAGAGAGTTTCTGACTTTTTGTAGTGGTTATAGAGTCTGTTTTCTGATTCATTTGGTTTGGCTATTTCAGAACGATAATAGTTAGTTTCATATCCAGGAGCATTAATGTATTCCTAAAATAACATGAAACACTTTGTAAAAAAAAAGGAGGATTTTCAGAGACATTTTCCTGAAACAACTGAATAACATGTGCATTTAATGTTACTATTATCATTTTCAAGAAATAATTTTATTTCAAAACTAAATAAACTATATTTAAATTTGAGAAATTTTTAAGAGACAATTTATACAATTGTAAAGAGAAATATTTAACACCAAAGAAACAGATAAGTATTATACAGTTATATATAGATACCTATTTTTCAGTATTGTCAAAATAATAATTAAAAAAAAAACAAGTGTAATTTATTTCAATAATTTATCTTTATAGAATATATCAACTGATTGTGATACCAGATTAAGTTCCTATTTTTTGCCACAAGGCAAGCCACCTAATATAATATTGGACAGATTTGTTAAAAGAAAATTTTTTGAATTTTTTTCTTTTAAAATTACAACAAATTCTTCAAAAGCTTTAACTCTTCAAAAGCTTTAACCGAATATTTAAATTTTAGACTGAGAACATCAATGTTTGAAACAAAAAGTTTTTTTTTTCCAACATAAAATTAAAGTAGTTACAGTTTAAAGTTACCCATATTTAAATTAACAATAATTTTCTTTACTAACTGAAAAAAGTTTTTAAAAACAATGTAAGAATCCCATTTTATATAAATCCAGATACAATCCCCTATTAATTGCAATACAGCCATTTTTTTGCAAGAAATACACAAAGGAAGAAACTATTGCATTAATATAATCTTTCATTGAAGCAAAAAGGTATATTTTATTACATAATTCAACATACACTGCAAAATTTTGTCTTAAATCTTTTCTTAATCAAAATGCCTTTCTTCAGAAGCAATAACTCACTTGATGTACTTATTTTTTGTCTAAACTTTCAGATAAAATATTTCTCTATTTGCCTTGAGTCACCTACCATCGATGACTAAGGGTAGTAATTTTTATATTACTCATGCATTTATCTAAATGATTCACTGAACACCAGGAGTATTTTGTCTAATATGATGCAGTGATCAAAATGTTACTCTAAAATGTTTTGTTCTTGGATAACATACTAAAATTATATTTTTATCCTTTTTTGTGACTAATATTTGATAAAGAAAAATGAAAACTGTTTTACAAGTGACAGCTAAGAGAATATTGCGTTATTAAGTGTTTCATTTTGTATGCTTTTGATGAAAGATTTAAAAGAATGAAAAAAAAAAAATGAAACAGGTGCATTGAAATTAATGAGTGGAAGTAAATGTAATATTTATGTCATTTAAAAAAAGGCTTTTTTCTTCTTTTTTTAAAGTGTAAATAATAGAATTTATTTTTGCCAACTATAAAATATTTTTAATATTTTAAAACCACCAGTGGTTCTACACGTAGAAAGTCGTAATTTTTTTTTTATACCTCTCTAAAAATAAAAAAAAATAAATGGTTGAACCTTATTTCATTTTCTACCAACAAACATTCCTGTACATAGCAAAAGTGTCTGATTTTTTTGCACCTGTCACTTTTCTAGAATTAGATAGTAGAAACATGACCTTTTATACCACAGTGTTCTGATTCGGGGGCAAGGGGAATCAACCTGAACTTAAATTGTATAAAAAAGTGTGAACATTTCGAAGAAGTAAAAATGAAAACGTCAAAACCACCAGTGGGCGAAATATGCGTACCTTCTTTCTCTATAATCTAATATTTAATGATACACTACTAATTAAGCAATTTGTGAGCATCTGTGCTTTTGTTATACAGATAAGAAAATAAATAATAATTACCTTATCTTGGTTCAGAACTCTTAATAGTATAGTAACACCAGGTATGACAGGATTGTTGTCCATGTGAGAAGCTAACATATGTTCCATATTAAAGTCTGGATCAGGGATTCCATGCCGTACACGCACTTGATGGCCACCTATTCTCAATTTTACATCCTAATGTTAATAAAAGTATATCTTAAATCCTTGCTCCGAAGTTTAATTATATCTACAAAAATAATAATAAAATAAAAATAATAGTAAAATAAATAAAACATTAAAATCAGACAATTACTTTCTTAGAGGATACATACTACAATAAATGTTTTTTTGTTTTGACTTTAGGAATAAATGAACCTATCAGAATGAAACCTATAAAAAACGTTATCTTTTATTTTTACAAACATGCTCAAAAATAAAGCTACTCATAATTATTAATTAGATGATATAAAAAATACTCAATTGATTAGTTTTTTAAACCAAGGCTATCATACTATAACAAAACTTAACTTTTCTTCTGGTCCTGCATATAGTACAATTCCATATCATCACTCATAGATTTTAAAAAAGATCCTACTAGCATGTTTTAAAAAAAGACCAAAAATATGCAATAATTATTGGTCATTCTAATTTGTGAATTACAATTTCATAACTGTATTTACCATTTTGAATAGTAAACGTCATAAGTAATATGGGAATTCAGATATAAGGCAGTGTGGCTGCATTAATAAATAGTTCAAACTTATAAAAGAAATAAGCTATCTAATACTGTGAGGAAAAGTAAATAAACAAATTTATAAATTAGAAATCTTTTTAACATTGCAAGACTTAATATAAAGAAGACATACTATAACTGAAGGTATTCTTTACTTTCAATGAAATTTTTTAAAAAAAACATGATATATAATTAAAACACAATAAGAGCATACTCACTTTACCATGTTTATTTGAGAATGGCCCAAATAGACAAGATCCAAGAACATATGTATTTTTGGAATGTTGCTCAACAGCATAGACTCTAAGCATAATAACAACATCAGGATTCATTGGTAATCCTTCTTTATTAACGACTTGCTTGAACTTGAAATTTGGGTAACGCCAGTAAGAATTTAATTCTGGATAAGACTGGAATTTTAGTGACTTGTTTTTCTGATTCAGATATAAGTTTAGAACTTTTCCAGTAACCTACAACAATCGAGTCAAAAAGTTTAGTTAGTTAAAAAATACTTACAGCAAAGAAAAAAATGTATCACATTACTTAATTCACAACATACATAATTACATAATAACAAAATCAACACAACATAACATTATTAAAATTTTTTCACAAGAAATAAATAAAAGACTATTTTTTTAAAATACTTAAAAGTTAGATAAGATGAAATACCAGAAGAATCAAGCATTTTAATAGTATCCACTATCTTAAAAAGTTTTATCTTATAAGTAAAGATTATTTAAAAAAAAAACTGAAGACAAGATATGATTATTTTAGAATCAAGCAGCATTTTTCATCAAAGCTTTCTTTTTAAAAAGAAAACAAATGGGATAAAATATCTGAGACTCTTATTCAAAATACCTCTAAACTTGTTTCTGATAAAAATTAAAAAGCTGAGCTGAGAGAATGCTGCAATAGAACAAAAAGAAAATAATTCTTATCCCGTTACTTGATTACAGATAACTGTGTAGGGATTTTCGGTTCCATTGAATAAAACTCAACTTAAATGTAACCAATATAAAGTTTTTATGAATAACTTTCAAGGACCTCATATTTGTTAATTTTGCTACACTTATGTTAGATTAAGCTGAAATTTTATAATAATAATCTTTGACTACGCTGTGGTCACACACAAATTTGGAATCATGAAGATTTTGCTGAAGATTCACACCATAAATTCTGCTACTTGGAAAATAACTAAATATAGAATAGATAAGACATAAAATTTATTACTAATAAATAAGCAAAGTTAAAAAAATAGATTTAACGGCAATATTAAATAACAATATGGATTGGACATGCACTTGACAAACAGAGAAAACTAGTATCAGACCATATGTATTAATGATATTAAAAATCTAGTACTTTCGACTTATTTTAGAAGTAATCCCAGTAATAAAATTTAAGGAGTAAATATACTGCACTATCTTTCTAAATCCAAATTTTTCTGCGACCTCAACACAGTAAGATTCAGATTATTATTGCAAAAATTAAGCTTGAATGAACGTATATGTAGCAAAATTTAGAAAATATAAGGTTCTTATACATAAAAAATTTATGTTGCGTGAATTTTACACAACAGTACTATAAAATGGAATAAATTCCTATACAGTTAAGTCTGTAAGCAAGTGATGGAAAAATAATTATTTGCTTCCTTGTTCTTTGAAATGTTCTCTAAATTCAATTGCTTTAACGATGTTTTAAAAAGTCAATTGGGAGTTTCAGCAATTTTCTCCCATTTATATGTTTGCCTTCAAAACTTAAATAATACTTGCTTAAACTTACTTTTAAAATAAAACTTAGAAAAATAATTTGCAGGTGCTGTAATAAGCTGCAGCAATTTGCTTGGGGTAATAATTCAAATAATTTCAACTTAAAAATAATTCAAATAAATTCAACTTATTTCAACAATTTAATGAACAATTAAATACAAATAGCACAAAAACTTATGACTTTTGCAAGAAAGAGATGAGATAAGCAATTATTTTGTTTTAGAAGTAATATTTACTTTTATGATTGTTGCACTATCTGGAATGAATCGCACAGAGTCAACATAGAAGTCGAACGGAATGTTTACTTTTCCTTGTACGAGATTTAATTCCTTTTTCTTCTCCTTATTAAATGGCACCCAAGGTGTGAAAGTAGGTATAGGTTTAATGAGTGGTGGTTTTGGTGGTAACACAACAGGTTTAGGTACAGGAGGTGGTGGAGTAGGAGGCATTGGAGTAGGCTCTGAAGCATTGATACTTATATTTCGATTCATTACTGGTATATCGTGGAAGTTGCCTCTTTTTTGAATATGAGACAAAGCTTTTCTGATGTCCAAAAGGTATAGCATGCTTGGCTCTTCTAAAAACACCTATTTTGCAAAAAAGTACATTTTTTAAAAACTTATTTTTTTCATTCTATAATAATGTCAAAAAAAAAAAAAAAAAAACAATTATGACTAACAGCAATTGAATTATACAATGACTTATTATTCCAAAATATAGGGCATTCCGAAATCGATGCTTGTTTAAATAAATATAGTGCTTTGACTTAATTAGAAAAATAAACTTCTCTGACTTATTTTGGCTTTTTACAAAAATATCAACTAAATCCAGATTTTATTTTTGCAATACATGGCAAACTTGATAAACCTTAAGTACTAGGAATTACCAAATTTGAAGTTTAAAAGTCGGATGATTTCACCAAAAATTAGAATATTTTGAGCATGATATAAATTTTCATACTTGAAGCACTTAAACTTTAAAAAGTATTTCAATATGCTTTTTTTTCTTTTTTTTTTTAAAAAATTTTCCACAGAATATTGAATAGAAAAGTAGAAATACCTTCAATGAATTTCAATTTTGCTGAATAAATACCGAATTGAAAAATATAACTTTATAAATACATTTAGTAATAGTGCTTGGTTAGAGAAATCAGCTAAAATACATTTCTTAAAATAACACATAAACAAGAACTCTAATATTTAAAAATAAACAAACAAATGTTAGGAGTTGTAATAAAAGAAATTTAAAAAAAAAAAAAAATAACACAAACTATGAAAAATCCGAACTATGTTCAATTTAAGTTAGTAAAAAAGAAACAACAATAAAATGAATAAAAGTAAGACTTAAGGTATAAAACAAATATGAAATATAAAATATTTCAAACACTGTTATTAAAAGAAAAATTAATAAAAATTTGAGATTTAGTTTCTTTCTTATTTATTCAAAATACAAATATTAAAATGCAAGCAATATAGTTTAGTTAAAAAATACAATTAGTTAAATATTATTTAAAAACATTTATGGTTCAAAAAAAAGTAAAATCGAAACTATGCAAAATAAAAATTATACAAAAATATTCAACAAATTAAATATAGCTTTTTTTTTTTTGTTTTGTTTAACAACTCATTGGAAAATGTAATGAAAATTAATCAGATTATAAGCGTTCAATAGGAATTGGAACGGTAATCAAAATATTTTGTTTTAGGCATGCGATTGCTGGAAAAAGAAATTATCTGAAATTTTTTTCTGCAATTTTCAGTGTGTAATTTTATCTTTTAGTACATAAGTTAAATAAAAGACAGTCATTTTTATGCACAAAAGTAACATTTATAAATTTTTAAAAAGAGAAATAAAATTTTTTTTGTCTAATAAATTTTTTTCTCAACTCATAAAAGAATATATATATTGAAACGAATTACATATTACTTTTTTTACACACTTAATAAATAGTTATAGCATAAAAAAATTTAAATCCTTGTACAGTTTTTACATGAAATAACTATAAAAGATGATCGATTGGTTTTGAACTTCACTGTTTATTGTTACCAAGAATTTTTTAAAAAATGATTATTTTCCATACTTGTTGTAAGGCTTTTTTTTATTTAATATATTTGATAAATCAGAAATCTCACAAAACAAAATACTACATATACAGTTTGGAACAGATTGTCAACATATAGAAACACAAAGATATAATCTTACTTTAGTGACATTCTCTTTATTTTTAGCCAAGAAGAACCAAGGTTTTAAAAGTCCAAGTAAAGCCAATGTAATGTCTTGAAATATTTTATTTTCAAACCTATTGTAGAAAAGTTGATCCCAAATAAAAAGCAGAGCATAAGGTTTTAAAACTGATGCAAACATCTGAAGAAAAAAAAAGATAATTTAAACAAGTTAATATAAAATTTTTTTTTGAAACTGGATTAAATGATGAAAACAACTTACACAGAAAATCCATTGTTTTAAATAGAAGGTAATGTCACTAGAATCAGCAGATGTATTCCTTATTGCCTCTGACACAGTTTCAGAAGAAGTGACCTGAAGAATTTAATAATAAACACATTAGTAACAAAAATTAACTAATAATAGATTTTCAAATAATTATGTGATGTTAAAGTCTGCAGTGGGTTTATATAACAAACCTCATCATGTTTCTGCTTAGAAGTAAGCATCAGTTTTATATGTTTTTCCAATGGTTTATCCAAATCTACTAAAGTCTGGTATGTTGAAGATGCTATTTTATCAGCTTTATCGTTTGTGAGAATTCCTAATCGTAATATCTTTTCTAACAAAAAAGAAGCCTCTCCATAGTTATCCTCTAAAAATTAAGAAAAAATATTTACTTTAAATTTAAAGAAAATATCATTGAAATAAAACATCAATGATAAAATTTTCATCCGTAAAAGTTATCAACTTTAAATATCAAAATATCTGTGATTTTTTAAGGGGGAAAAAAAGAGAGAGTCCATTTAGAAACCAATTAATAAGCATTATACTTCTTAACTTGCTTTGCGACATTATCGCAACAAATTAGACCAACTTTTTAATTATTAGAAAATATTAATAAAAATATTCAGTTAGAAAAAAATTTATGACAATATACCATGGTCAATATGCCATCTTCATTTTATGCAGATTTATTAAACTTTACAGAAAGACAAAAGACTAAAAGTCTATCAATGACTAGCTTCTTTTTCTTGTTTAAGAAATTTTCAAATTTCATTTTATGCACATATTGAATACAAATACAAATATAGAATAGTAAAATAATTTAAATAGCTATACTCTAGAGATAGATTTGTATGATGATAAATCATTTGTTTACAATAGTTCAGCTCATAGTTAGAAGATAAACAAGATTAAATAATACAAATGCAAAATTATAATAAGACACTCGGAAAATTTTATAATCTTAGTTTTCATTATTATATAATGTATTCACATTAGTTTTCAAAATTTAATAAATTGCAATTATGTAATTGTCATACAAACAACAATTTATCTTGATGTAATGGCTCATGATAGTTTGATAGTAACAAATATAAAAACTTAAAAATCATGCAATTTAAATCCTCATTAAAATCATTTCTGATTAATAGTTGTATTTAACGTATTCAAGAAATGCAAAACTTTTATGAAAATAATTTTTAAAGCACTTTCTTAGACTGGATTAATAAAGAATTTAAGTCAGAAAATCTGCTCGCCAGGTTAAATTTAAACATTAAATGTAATAAAATTATTGTTATAAACTAAATAAAAAAAGAAAAACAATGAGAAAAATTACAAAAGAATTTTGCAGTTGTGGGACACTTGGTTAGTTAAAGGCAACCCCTAAGGAGAGTTCGCCAGGTTAAATTTAAACATTAAATGTAATAAAATTATTGTTATAAACTAAATAAAAAAAGAAAGACAATGAGAAAAATTACAAAAGGATTTTGCAGTTGTGGGACACTTGGTTAGTTAAAGGCAACCCCTAAGGAGAGTACTAATTAAATATTTAAACTAAATTTAGGACTCAGTAAATTTAAAATCATTATTTATTGTTATTAAACATAACTCAGGGGTAATTATGACAAAGTGAAAAATCCTGAAAATTTTAAGAGTGAAAACTCGATATCAATTTATATACTCGAAATGTTTAATACATCTTTTTGAACTAAGATTTATAATTAAATTACCTACTAATGAAGAATATCACACTTTTATAGTAACTAATTTAAGAAAAAACTAAATTCTTACAAGAATCACAATATTGGATTTTAAAATCGTGTGAATATGAATCGCAATATCGATTTTTAAAATCACATAAATATGGATCACTATATTTAATTTAAAAGAGTGCAAAAATACAAATTGCAATAATGCATTTTAAGAACATGAAAATACAAATTGCGATGCTAGATATTTAAATTACGCAAATACGAATCCCAATATTGCTTTTTAAAACACGTAAATACAAATTGCGATATTGGATTTTTAAATCACATAAATAAAAATCGAAATGTACGACTTTTAAATCTCATGAATGCGATTCACGACATGTAACTTTCAAATCAAGTAAATAAGAAAATCTATGTTTGATATTAAAATCAAGTGAAAATGAATCGCGATATAAACAGATTCCAACTTAGTTTCAAATATTAAAAGCAGTAAAAATCTGACGAATCAAATAATAAAAATCAAATTGGAGAGAAATCACACGTATGTAAACATCTCGTTAACAGGATTTAGCGAAAGTTTAAAATTTAAATTCTAGAAATTTTAATTCTTACTTTTAATTCTTACTTAAGTCTTGACTCTTACCTTAAATTTTAGATAACAGTGAAAATTTTGTCGTATTATAAGTTTTATTTCGAGGACACATTGTATGCCCTGCTCCTAGTTTTTATGCCTGGAAGATTATGAAAACCCTGAAATACAATCACCCCAGATAACTCTAAAGAAAGTTAGAAAGGAAGTCTAATTTAAAAACTGTACCTGAAGCTTTTAATTTTTCTTTTAAATAAACTTGCTGCACAACTGAAGCTGGGAAAACAAAATGAGGCTGAAATTTGCGACCATAGGCATTGCATATACTAAGAATGGTCACAGAAGATTTCCTGTTATCCTCAGAATTGATTGTTTTTAAACATTCAGTTTCTTTGTACACCTAAAAGAATAATTTCAAATAATTATAAATCATAAACACATGATCAAACACATGATCTTGACGTACAATTAAATAAAATGAAAAGATAAAAGTTTAAAATTTTTAAAAAAAGGATCTACCTTATAAACAGCAGACTCAATGTTTTTGTCCAAGTCGCCATTTTTTCTTTCTCTAGTGTATAACTGAGTGAACTTTTCTTTAATTTTCTCAGAATTTCTACATGGCAGAAAAATAAAATTATCATAAGGGGGAGAACTAAAATATAATTTTAGAAAATAATTTGCAGCTAAGGTACTACTAATGCCTACTAATACTAATAATACTAATGCCTTTGATGTAAAAAAATTATGGATAGAAAATAACACTGAACATAAATGTAAGCATTTATTTAATTTAAATAAAAGTATTGTTTAAGCAAAAGTAGATTAATTTTACACATTTTAATCAAAGCAAGATTTTTTAAAAAACAAGTGTATAAAAATGTATCAAGTTAATTCATTCCACATATAATAACTAAAAAAAACTAAATAAATAAAATTAACAATTCCTATAGAAGTAGTAAAAATGCTTATCTCTATCAATATTTCTCACTTATGTACAGAATACTTTTGGTCACAAAGTCAAAAAAATCTACAGAAACTCTTAAATATATAAATACTCCAAAGGAATTCTACTGCAACAGTATCTTCAAAAATTAATCAGTAGATACATTCAAAGAAAGTTTTGAAAACACCTTTCATTATTTTTTTCCAAGACATATTAGAAAGTTTTTCAATAAGATCATCACATAGTATGTAAAATCATAGAATGTAAAATTTAGTCACACAATATTAACTTTGAACTAAATAACAGAACTAATTTTTCAATTACACATATTAACAGACTTGTATGAATATATAACAGCTCACAATTTAAATAAACAATTACAGGACAATTTACATTTAAGAATGATGTGACAAAAAATAACTATAAAAGTAAAATTTAAAATGAAACGGGTTTTTCAAAACATATATTATGAGCTATATATTTTTATATTTTATAAATTTTTCTCTCTACACATCTTTTGTTAATATAAAAATTTTCTTTTTTTTAAGGAACTTTAAAATTTTATGAAAAATTGGTACATTAAATAGTAAAATCTAAAAATAAAAAAAAATGTTGCCTTCATGAAATTTAAGACACATTAAGCAACCTTAAAAAGCAAGAGTAAACTGATTACCTAAATTACAATGAAAACATCTTAAAGGAAGAAAAAAAAGAAGATCCAAGCATGTAATATTTACAAATGAGTTGCGTTGAGATACCAGACATTTTATTTATACCGACTTATTTCTAATAAGAGAGTTGCTTAGTGAAAATAAGGAAATATTACTTAATATTTTTAGACTTTTCTTTGGAAGAAATGCAAGCAGGCCAGAAGGTCATCCTTAAATTATCAGTTAGTACAACAAGGTTCTTTCTCAATGCTGGTATCAGTTGTTCTGCTCCATTTGAATTTTCAGTCAATAACGTAGAAATCAATTTTTCATGCAAATCAGTCTTTGGTCTTTTTTTAGATTTTATCTGTAAAGAAAATAATATATATATAAAACACATATTTAAAAAAATATATATAATAAAAATGTATTACAAGTTTGCCAACTTTAAGATAAAGCATTAAATAATTTGATCCCAAGAAGCACTGCAATAATAATAATAATAAAAAATCAATACTAGAATCTTGTATTATTGTTTTAGTTCCCACACTCAGTAACATAGAAACGCATATAAAAATAAATTTAGCTAGAAATGCAATGATAACAAAAATCCAATTTTGAAAACATTGTTTACAAAAGAAACTTTTTTTAAAAACCAAACTGTTATTTTCCAAATTTCTTCTATGACTCATACGAGTGAACTTCAATTTGTTTAATTCTAAGTATAATAACTTAGAACACAAAAAAAAAAACTATAATATAACTGCTACTTCAAGATGTTTATAACCTAGAAATTAATTTCCTTCATATTTATTTTAAGAATCATTGTTTCTCTGGTAAAGAATGTATGAAGTGAAACAATAACTCAATTAAAAATAATTTTCAAACATTGTTACAAAAGTATTTTTATTAAAAAATACAGAATGATATGTTAGATCACCGTAGCAAAACCACAGCACTATCTTTATAAACCTAAATTTGTCTGCAACTTTAAGGCAGTCAAAATCATTATAACAAAAATAAAAAAAAAGCTTAATATATATACATATAAATATATACATAAATAAAATAAATATTGAGGAACACATGATAAATAATCTAATAAAGATTAATGAAAAGAGAAGAAAAAAAATATTTAAAAACATAAATAATATAACGGAACATGCAAGTTTATTTGAATTTGCAACTTGCTTTACTGATTACATTTTATATTTTTCTGTATTTTTTTAAACATTTCATTCTCTATTTTTGCTTGATATGTTTTTTTTCGTATATTTTTTACTAGATATGTTCTATTTTCGTTAAAATTTTTTTGGGGTGCTCCTCACATTATAGTATTGATATATTTTGCTTTGGCTATATTAATACAATATTAGAAAGCACTCCTTTTTACTGATATAATTGTGCGGGCTAATGACAAGATATACCTTTTCATTATAATTTTTTTTTAAATTTTTAAAAATATTTCATTTTAGTAACTTTTATTCTTCTCTTTTTATTAATCTTTACTATATTATTTTCCATTTATATTCCTCTATATTTTTAACTTATTTCTTGAGTTCTATATACTTGCAGCTTATGTGCAGCAAGTAAAACTTAGTTTTCCTTTTATCATTTTTCTCTTTATTGTGCT